GCTTCAAGTATCAGCGGCATCCGGTGCCGGGTGCCTCGCCGGCTCCATCGACAGAGTTGGCACAGGAGCATCCGGCTGCGAGGGCTGACGAGACCGCCTCCGATCAGATGGAAGTAGATGCTCACGTGGACGAAACCACAAGAGCACCTATGAAAATCGAGAGGAAAAAGACATCAAAGTCCCCGGTCGAAAAGGACTCTGTAGAAAACGTCAGAACGAAAGATCGCCGACTGGACAAGTCGGCGGTCTCCGAGACAAGAGGAGAAAATAGCGGCAACAGCAGCAGCGACATCATCGAACAGCCGACCAAGAAGTCAGCTGTTGTCAAAGGAACAGCTGAGAACGACGATCTCAGCCAAGCGCTGATGCCACCGGGAACTTCCGAGCGACGCAGGAGGATGAAACGCAGGCCACCTGCAATCTTCCTCTACGGCTTGAATGACAAGGCTAGCGCGACCAGTGTATTAGAATGGTTTACGCATAAAGGAAGCAAACCAAAGAGAGTCTCTAAACTAAAAGTGGAAAGAGGCGGATCATCCTTCTGTGTCAGCTTTAACCCGGCAGACTTCGAAAGATGTTTGAGTCCCGAATTTTACCCGAAGTTCATGAGGGTGAAGAAATGGAGTGGATTCTTCCCGGTATCTGAGAAGATCCTGGAAACTGCACCATCGAAGTGACTTACAAGCAGCGCCAACGGGAGAGCCTCGGCTACCCAGCACCGATTGCTTCTCTGGAATGTGGAGGGACTCAGAGGAACCCTCGGGCGAATCGAGGACGCTACAACTCTAGCGGAGCATCAGATACTATTATTCACAGAAACATTCAGTATAGAAGATGTGGAAATCCAAGGATTTCTAGGACATCATTCATTTGCAAGAACCAGAGAGGGTCCGGGTAGACCAGAGGGTGGAGTGAGCATATACACCAGCGCCTGCATACGACGTCCGAAGGTGATCCATCGGGAGGAGAATGTGTTGGTGCTGGAGACGTCTGACTTGACAATCGCCCTCTTCTACCTGAAACCAACCCTCACGTCCACCGAAGTAATGTCAACAGTGACACAGACGCTCAGATATATCGACACCCGAACGTTCACCGTGATTGCCGGGGATTTCAACTGTCGAATGGATAGCCAGGCAAAGGACTCGAAAGGATGCGTCCTGCGAGAATCTTTAGATGAGCTAGACTATACACTAGCCAATGACGCGGATGACGTGACGAATATCTGCTACAACGGATCGAGCACCATCGATCTCTTCTTCGTGTCACATCTTGACCGAGTGATTGCCTGCCAGGTAGTGGAGGCGCCAATTAAAAGCCATCTACCAGTGGTACTCAGCATCACCGCTCGGGAAACCCCGAAGAAGAAGGAGCTCAGACCGACTCGGCGCATGGATTACAATATTCTAGACGAAGAACAAGAGTCACGACAGATCTCAGGCAAGATGAGAACGGCTGACGTGAATCAAGCTGAACAAGAGCTAGTTCGCCTCGTTCAAAAAGCTCAACTTCTTCCTCGCCCGTACAAGGCGAAAAGAAGACCATGGTTCAACAAGGAATGCAAAGAGCGCAGGAGAGCGCTACTCCTGGCCTTACGGAAGGCGAAAATTGAAGGAGGGCCGTACCGAAGGGAGTACTGCTTTCTACGGAAACGGTACCATCATCTAGTTCAGCATCGCAAGAGCGAGCACCGCGAGAAGCAACATGAGAAAATGTTAGCTGAAGCGAAAAAGAAAACCCACATTCTACTGAAAAAATGTCGGAAGAAAACGACATGTACCGCGAGTACAGAAGAGATAACTCGACACTTCAAGAATTTACTTTTCGAAGAAGATATTCCCCCGCCAGCCGCGCAAATCACTCTGCCGCTCACGTTAGAGCAATGGTTGATGAACGCGCCGTGGACAGAGAAGGAAGTTGAATTTATTCTAAATTCCCTACCAATGAGAAAGAGCTGTGGACCTGATGGTATCTACTACGAGAACTGGAGGATGGGGGCAACCGCACTCGTGCCTTTGATAAGTTCTCTCTTCAACAAAATCATGGAAGAAGGATGCATTCCGGACACATGGCACATCAGCCGGCTGACTTTGCTATTCAAGGGTGGCAGGTCAGATCCGAGAGATGACATGAATAAATTTCGAGGAATAGCCAGCGAAGCGACACTCAAGAAAGTGTTCTTCAAAGGCATCATAAGTAGACTCGAAACATCTATCGAGAACAGATTGCCTCCAGAACAATTCGGGTTCAGGAGAGGCGTGTCAACGAACGACGCAATTCACGTTGTGATGTCGGCCATCGAGAGGGGGCTGGCCCGTCGAAACCAGGCCCAACTCTACGGTGGGTTCATCGACTGCTGTAAAGCATTCGACAGTGTTCCGAGGCAGGCAATGGTAAATGCCTTCGCCGAGGCCGGAGTGAACGGACAGCTCCTGAAAATCATCGAAAGCTTCTTCTACACAGACACACTCATGGTGCGGACTGGGTCGGAGGATGTCATTGCGAGGCAGAACAGAGGCACGCCACAAGGCGACCCGCTGAGCTGTATCGCTTTCACACTCCTCCTAGCCGACCTGCCCGCGAGGGTCCGAGAGGAGTCGAAGGATGCGGTCATTTGCCTGTATGCGGATGACATTTTTGTGGCTCATCATAACGCCACCATGTTCAGGAAGGTCTTCGCCATCGTTGGTGAATACCTCCGACAAATTGGATTAGATCTGAATCCGCAGAAGTCATGTGTTGTTAAATTCCGGAACGGAGGACGACTAGCTAAGACCGACAGGATGCACTGGAGAGGGGAACCGATCCAGTTCGTACCGAGCTCGAAGTATCTCGGCTTGCACCTCACCACCGCCGGCACGAGTTTCTCAGCTCACGTGGAGTTCGCGGCGGCGAGAGCAACGACAGCGATGGCTTCGGGTGTGGACAGGCCACGAGATCTCCCACTCGACATAGCGGATCGCCTCTTCAAAATGAAGGCCGTCCCGGTCCTGTCATACGGACTGAAACGAATATGGAAGCACCTCACAGTAGCCAACTTCAAAAGTTTGGAACGCTCCTACACGCTCTTCATGAAAAGAGTACTTTGTCTTCCCCCAACGTCCAAGTCACGTTATGTATATGTATTCACCCAGCGGCCGCCGATCACTGAAGAGCTACGGAGGCAACTGAGAGCCGAAAACACGCGGGCATTCGACTCCTTCGTCCATCAATGGAAGGAGAAAACCGATGCAGCAGCGAGGGAGGCGGAAGGTCTGCGAATATACACAGACAGGAAGCTCTGGGACGGCGCACTCAATAAGAGGCGACACATCTACACGAGGTTGATAGTTCATGGATTTCATCATCAATTCTGTACCAACACAACCTTCCACGAAGCGGACACGAATTGTATATGTACATACTGTCACATGTCATGCTGTAAATACCACGCGCTAGACTGCGCGGCATCTCATCCGTCGCTGACGGCGGTCGCACGAGCAAAATAGTGCAATGTTCGAAAAGAACGCTCAGAATAAATAAATAGACTCTTCTCCACGATATTTCCGTGAAGAATCGATTGGAGAACGGGACGTTCGCTCGACCTCATATCGTTTCTCTAAGGTCCAGATCTCACGAAATCCCCCGTTAAAGTGCGAGACGATAAAGGGTGATATTGTGAATATCATTATCATTACGATCTGCCTATGATCGGACTTGTCGTCGCGAGTCTGCAGCCGTTCAAATGAGTTCTATCGGGTTTGACAGAATCCGATTACAGAATTCCGTAGTCGCCTGCGACAGTTTCGCCAGAATCGTCGTAAAAAAGTGAAACACGAACAAACATGGCATCATCTGTCTACCCAGCAGGGCATTGGAGAAGACGACATTTTCAACTCTCGTGAAGAAAATAGAGAGGAACGATATGCGGCTTCGCTCGCGGCGCAGTGAATGAACCTAGCACTGGGTGAGAACCTCGGAGCTTTCAAGATCGTCGATCCGATATACGAGTCGGGCTCTCTGACCACTTAATGGTCGATCGCTGGAGGCATCTGACTAGATTCTGAGTTGTCGATCGTTCAAGTTCTCGTCTTCTGACTAGTTCAAACGTTTTCTAAGTATTTCGGTCCGCTGGCTTGACATTCTGGTGTCGCACTTATGACGACGATCGTTCTCCGTGGTCTCAACATTTTCTTGCAATCGTGGGTTCTTCGCTCGGAAATTGATTCTCCGATCTGCTAGAGCTCTGTTTACTTCTTGGACGATTTCTGAACACACCGCGGCCGCTCGAATGACTCGGGGAGCGAGAAAGAGACAGATTCGAGCGATGCTTGAAATCAAATAAATGTCATAACGAGAAAGCGGGGAATTCTTCGATAAGACAGCATTAGAGACGCGCGTTCCAGCGAGCGGCGGATGGATGTCGTCGCCACTCGGAATTTTCACGCGTGCCCATATAGAATTCGTAAACGAGAGTAGATGTTGGCTGCGTTGCACGATTCCGTGGCTCATCAGTCGCAACCCTTGAACCCAGCTGGGAGACTGTCGGCTCGAATTTCAGCTGGAGCTTCTGAGGATCTCAACGCTTCGATGCTACACCGATGAAATCGTAGGGAAAAACAGCCACGGCCCTTGAATTCGGGAAGCTGATACACAGGCGAGGAATGACAGTGAAGGAATCGAGAGAGATTGAAGCCCTCATTTCGAGCCTATCGGATCGACATCTCGGTCGCTTTTCCTCTCCACTGTACTGGATAGGTCGAAGTATGAGCAGCTGAAAATTCTGCGCCGAGCACCGTGTTAGATTCAGTCGTCTATTCAGTCTGTCAGGAAAATCGCGTAAAAGAGCGGTTTTCATGAACTGCTCAGCTTCTTGTTCTCTCGGGCGACTTCCTCCCCATTTTCGCAGCTGTCCGGAAGATTATGTGGTTTCCCGTCGGATCGATCGGAGGATTCTGCAATTTATTCCATACCCGTCTCGTTATTCGACTTGTTGGACTCGAGGAAGTATGCTCATCGGGGTTCGAATCCTGAGCAGTCGGACAAAGACTTGCTGAAGATTGCCAGAACGAGAAACGAGAGGCTGGCGTCCCATGCAGCTTTGACCCGACCACGCTTGGGGTCGTCGCATGCCTATTCCCTTATCTCGCACTTGTCTTGCGCCCGCTATCGGTGCGGAATACTGATGTGGGTCGATCGCCGTGGCTTACATGCGAAGTTACCGGCTCTCTTACTTCTCCGGCACCTTTTTCCCGAAGTCGGGATGGGAGCTCCCGGTAGAACCTAGGCCCTATCTATCGTCCCCCTCGGATTTCGCCCTCCCGCTTATGGACTTGATGGACACAGCACGTTCCGTTCAAGATTCTAGAACGCGCATTCGGAATCATCCCAAACTCCCACCGAATTTGGAGGAGGCGATCGGTCTTGAATAAGTCGCCAGATCCGAGATGATCTGCAGCACGTGAGAAAATGACGACCTGACCTATGACAACCCATCTGGGAACCACTACGAGCTCCGCCCACTTCGCGGGCTTTCATGGAGACTTCAGACCGTCCTAAGAAGCCTTGTCCGTTTTCTTGGCTTAGCAGTCGCTCTGTCGCCGCGGAGTCGGAAACGGCTTCGCGCACGAGAGATGGATGTCCCGTACGTGACCGAAGTCTTCGGCCATTTCCCCAAGACCGCTCCTGACTTTTACAACTTGCTTAGCCACCCGAATTCGAGCGAGCGGAAGGTCGCGCATTGTGTTCAATTCCCATAGTTAATCGTTGTCCGATGAATACTTCTCGGAGCGACCGTCTGTAGCCTTTTCTGGTAGGCTGGCGGGTACCGGACTTTGCGTGACAGTTAAGCACAACTTCGGCTTCGCACCCGCTGCTTTTATAGGGAATTTCAATCGCCCATTCTCTTCACAGAAGACAAGTCCAGTGATGTAACAATGACTGATTTTCGGAGGTGCATGGAAACTAAATTGCAGTAATAATAGACACGCAAGCGTCGAGATTTTTCAGTTACGAATCGACAGTAAAATAGCGTATCTGCACAAACTGTGGGAAGATCCCGCCGTGCGAACGCTCCAAGTCAGACAGCGACGAGAGCGCATGATACGATCTTTAGTTAGGCTTTCGAACTAGGCTCGTTATGAGCTCCACCGAGTAAAATGATCTAATCGTTCCTGAAACCTCTCTCGTCACCTCGTAAAGACTTTCGGAATCTGCACATCGTGACAACCTTCAAATGACCGATGAGTTCACAATCATCAACCATTATTATCACAAGGCCCGTGATTTTTCACAACTGAGCATGCTATGAGCCTTCAACACGGAACGCACAGCATGAGCGAATCGAACGAACCCGATTGATTGTTCACTGTTTTAAAGTCCGTGTTAGAGAAAACGAACTGGTGTTCGCTCCTCCTTATCGGGGTTTGTTACAGTCGAAGGCGGCACAGCTCGACGATAATCGAGAGTTTGCCTTGTCCTGGCTTTGCGGGTAAATTAATTCATCGATTACGATAAGCTACTTGGTGACTTTCCAAAACGTTTCCTGCTGAACAGAGTGCCCGACGAGCACCTGTCGGATCACGAAATTCGTTACGAATCGATTCCGGACAAGTAGCGGAAGACCTTGGATCGATGTCGCACGGAGGGTTTCCGCGGGGAAGAGGTCGCAAGCGTCGAGGTGTGTCGGGATGAGCCGAAGGTAACGACTGTCTCGACAGTGGTAGAATAGCGTCGCGTATTCCCTCTTCCGAAAGAAGCGCTCGTTATTGAAATGGGAATAAAAGGGATTACGTTAGCGGACGAAGATCATCATGAGGGCGGATCACATCATCGAATAAAGGCGACGACCAGGAGCCATTTGACCGAAACCACCCACGAAGTCACCGCGAGTATTCGCTCTCCGTCCGATTGACCGCGAGTCGTCATTGTGTGTCTGCGGTAAGCTTCTCTTACCCCTCTGAAACAATTCGGATTATCATGGGACTGATGAGAACTCCGAAGCAATGACGTCGGTGGTCTACGATACATCTCACTCAGTCATGTCTCGCTATTTTTTTCCGAAATTTGAACTCCGGAATTGCTCGTGCAAATACTAGAATTCCCGAGCTCCACATTGAGCAGGACTTCCCGAGGAAGTGTCAGGAAGCTATGTCTCATTATCCAGATCACATTCCGATGCCCGATATCGAACCCAGAAATGAAGAATGTGTGAATCTACACACGTCGTTAATACATGGTACAGTCACCGACTCGGTCACTTGAAGCTTATCGAAAACAGTCAATAATCCAGCGAATGACGCCGGGAAACCGTAAATGGCACGAGGAGAATCATGAGCAATGAGACCGTGGAAGAAAGTCGTACCGGGACCCATGAGAGTACGGGCAGACGATGAAGCGGCATGAATTCAAGAGAGCTTTCGGAGAATCGACGGTTTACGCAAATAGTCAGCAAGCATCAGCGCCTGCATACGAGCGTGTTGTCGATACAACACGCCTGCTCCTCCTCATCGTAACTCTGACGGAATAGCGATGGTGCACTCGTTCTTACACAATTGGTTGTCCTCACGCGCGGAAGGGATACATGCAGGAATCCCCGGGGACTGCGAAAGTCTCGTCAAAGACTTCGCCCATTAACTCACATGGGTTGCTGAAATTGGGAACATTAGCAGAACCCGACAAGTTGGGTCGTGAAGATCGATCTGAGTCTCACGTGATTTTTTCTTTTCAGCCTCCGACGTCAGCGTACAGTCGGCCTGGAATTGATGCGCCAGGCTCCCAGTCGGTGGGACAGTACGGGAAGCGTGAAATATTTTTTCTCAATCTTGAAGACGGTTATTTCGGATGCCAGGTGAACGCTTCCACCGAAATCCTGCAACTTTTTGATCTCAGTAAACTGTGCGACGGGGAGTCGCAGTGCTTTCAAGGTTCAGACGAGAACTCCATCAAACTCAAATGCCAGGATCGAAGTGAGTAATTTGTCATATTTTCTCCGGGAGTGTGTCCGCTATATCGCACCGTAAGAATAGATGTGCATGGCTCGAGCTTGAAGATCGAGAGTTGAGAGTTTAAATTAGGTAGTTTACGAATACGATCGAATCGAGATTATTCCTGACTGCCCTCGAGCAAGAGAACCGATGCTCCCGGGAATTTGGAGACTCATCTTGAAAGCTTTGAAGACTCTAGGCGTCACAAATGATCGATATCTTAGGCCTTCTTGAGGCTGATTCATTGAGTGATCGATCGCTTGCGCAATAGAGCGCGCATCAGTGACTCGGAAAACGGAAAAATTTGGTCCCGAAGTTCTCAAGAGCCGTTCAGATCAGGAGCGAGTCAGAAGATCAGAGAGGACATTGCTGGAAATAAAACACGAAGTACGCATTCCGCATATTCTCTCCGGCCGCAAGGTACCCGTTGCTCTTCGAGGTGACGAATCTTTCCGCACAGTGAATCGTGGCCGATCCTTCTGAAGCGTAAAACGAGCACCGCTACGAAGAACCATAGTCGTCGCGAACGGGTGCTCGCCGAGAATGATATCGACTTCTTCTGTAAGTGCTCATGATTGATGATCGGAGCATTCGGGTTTACGGTGCGATCTCGGGTATCCGGAGGAGGCAGTCGACGGAACGAAACCCGACCGAAGTGGACACGAGTAGAAGATGGGCAAAAAGATCAACTTCAAATTGAGGAAAAGAAGTCATTTACCCTGAGGAGCTGAAGAGAAATATCAAGCGTGAGCACCTCTCAGGGGAAATTGCGTCAGGGGAATCCGAGGAGATTAACGAACTCCAGCACCGGAGCAGACGCGTTAATGCGTTATTTGATTCAAAATAATCATCATGTATTTTTCTCACCGGCTCGGAAGGCGGGGAGGAGGCACGGTGTTGTTCGACGTCGAGCTTTCTAACGAGCCGAGCTCTTTCTTCGGCACTTTAGATAGCATCCACGACGTTGCCCCTTCTTCTCTAGAATATCGTGGAGTTCCACCGTAGTCTCTATCCGACCGTCCTCGACGTTTTCGCACGCGAAAAAACCTCAATCACCGTGTCGCTCACCCCGTTCTCGGGTGAAAATTCCGGCTACCGCTCGATACTCGCGCTCTTCGTTCCGCGGCATCCGAAAGAAAAGTCCCTCTGGTCTCCGAGACCCTTGGATTTTCAGTTCGGGATGATAATTCCGCTCGGGCTTGTCAGTTGCGACATCTGGACGCTTTAAATGGATTTCCGCAGTCTCAACAGAGGGACGGTGTGCGAGACAGCGCTTCGTCCACGAAAGCTATCACGCTCAAATGGACGGGCGATCAGCGGCTCTGACAGAGACATCGCGGTTCCGTTGCGACCCGGGATCAGAGGATTCCGGGCGTGGTACGGAAGCCGTCGAATCTCTTCTTCTTTCTACTCCTTCTTCTTCTATTTTTCGGAGACATGTTCGCCACAAACTAAGCTTCGGACTTCGGTCAGTGATCCTCTTTCTCGGCTGCCGCGTCTGCTTGTCGTAGTGGTGCTGGTTGGTGGTGGTAGTCGTTCTTCTTCTTCTTTTCTGCTCACCGGCTGCCAGGCTGACTGGTTGTGGCGGTGGTAACTTCAACGACAACAGCCGCAACGAGGATCATGACGGTGACGTCGGAGTCTCCGTCGGCGGCGACGTCGTCGATGATGATCTGGGGCCGAAATGGCGCCGCAAGATCCTCGGCTTGTTACATCTGTTGAGTGAATGACTGATCAGGCAAAATGACTGCGGCACCGGGCAAAGACACTCTCATACGAGCAGATGTAACTCATACGCTTCTGGATTGGCGACTCGATTGATGGATGGATAAATCCGAATTCAAGCTCATTGGATTTCTCTTGGTGAGCTCGTTCGTTTGTTCGTTGGACGGCGGACCGCTGTCAGGGGAGTTGTTCTGGGATCATTTTTTTCACCTTCGCTTCGTAGCTTCAGCAGAGCGATCGATACCATTGATTGGAATCGGACTCGTCACGAACTCGTCACTCGGAAATCTCTACTCGCCCAAAATCTTCACTGTCCAGCTCCATTTGTTAGCCCTTCGCTCCGCGTCGAGTTTTCCTCCTTGTGCGCGGAGCTTTTCGGACCGTCCGCAAACATGCTGTGATTCTCTGAAGCTTGTTCAGGAAAATGGAGGTGGATGGCCGCTTTCGGGCTCTGAAGCCGGAGGGAAAAACTCAGGACTGACCAATGCATTTTCCTCGCCCAAGTGCACTTCGTTGTGGTCGTCGCCCCCGTGGTCCTCCGCAAGACGAGAAAAAAACGGGGTGGTAATATTCGGTGGCGACAACGGTGTTCTCCGGGAGCGATAGAGGGAGCAGAGATCTTCATCTAGCTCTACGTCGCGTCATGCTCACGGTGGTCTGACGTTCGGAAATGCCGATGGAATGAGATACGAGTCGGTGTGGCCCAGTGAAGGAACGCCAGTTTCGAGACCAATCAGGCGACAGAGCTGTACTTGGCCTTTTTCACTCCTCGTGTCTCTAGGTGGCTCGCCTAGAGTTTCTCCGGATGGAATTTCCGGAAGGCGACCACACCCGTCCTCGCTCCGGCTCGTACTCCCGAAATCTCATGAGCCGTTTGTTGTTCCCATTCTCAAAGTCCATGAGCGTAGCGAATTTCAATGCAATTCTCGCCATCACTCGGGTGAAAAAACACAAGTCCTTCTCCCGGTAATAATTTCAGACCACGGAATGCTGTATATTGGAACAACAGAAACCCCATTCGTCTAACACAAAGAACCCCTCTCATTCCTCGGGTCCTCTCTCTCTCGTGAGAGTTTTTTCCCAGATTCAGTCTGCCGGACTGGGTGGGCTGCGTGGCGACCGCCCGTCGTTCGCTCCGCGGAGTCCCTCGGAACGAGCTCGGGACGAAGTCTAATAATGATGGAATTAGCTTGAGGGGTCGGATGAGTGGGTGAAAGATTTACGTCCGAGATTGGACATCCTCCTCGCCTCGTCTGCTCACGTAATCAGAAAGAGCGAGAGTTCGGAACAACTTGGGCCTATCGTCATCAACGGTGCTCTGTTCACGCATTATGGACGCGTCAACGGATGGAAACGATCAGATTCGCCACGCTTCCTACGATGGGTTCCCATTTAGCAGTGGACACGAAAAGCAGTGGAGATTGAGCGACAACTCCATCCTGCCCTTCATTAACTTCTCAGCTCCGCCGACGGAGCTCAGCTCACCGGAGCCTGACTGAATCATTCGGCGAAGATGCGGGGTTCCCTGAGGGAAGGAGAAAAGGATCCGGAGTCGCGACAGATCTCGAACGAATTCGGAAGCGGAATGTTCTCCTTCAAATATTTCAACCGAGCAATAGAGCTCAATGTCTCGCATGTCAACTCGACGCGAGGGTGGCTTGGCCGATTTTGTGGAGATAACAATGCCCGGCGATCTCTGTTTGTTTCTTCTTTGACCGTATCCTGCATAAGTCTCGTTACGCTCCGTAGACGCCGTGAGAAACTCGAATGGTCATGGGCGGCATCACGATACTTCTAATCTGACAACGCTCGATCAGGAATTATTTACTTTCATTGGTTTTCATTCAAAAGCGCAGAAATCTAGAATACCCATCCTAAACTCCTCGAAATACTCAGATCTATCCTCAGACCTGGAGGAAGAAGTTCCCGTTCGATCTTGACAGTCCTTAGCTTGGTCTGCCGTAGAGAGAAACATTGATACGATGTGTCTACCTTGTATGTTTACACCCAAGTGCGGGAGAATAATTGTCGAGAAAAACCGTGGAACGAGCCTATGCCTCCTCACTCGAAAAAACTTCCCCTCTTCGGACAAAAGATCTCGATGCTCGCCTTTTTTCGGGCTGAGCTCCGTACTTCCTTTCTTACGCGGACTTTTCCCACTTCGAAATCGACGACACCGTGTGGCATCCGACTCCAGCTTTCTGGAATTCCGCTTCATGCTCCTTGCTCGTTGGGTCAACGAACTATACGCTTGAACTGCATGCCCGCTCGTGTAAGATAATCCAGATATACTGCTTCTCGCGATACATCACCGAGTACAAGATTCGCTCTTCAATACGGAGAACAAAAGACGGTATTCGGATCGTCTGAAAGTCCAGAAGAAGTACCTACATTTGGGGGGAGCGGGTAGCGGGCTATCACGCTCGTGAATTGCGTAGACACAGCGCGCTATACGAATCGGCATACGGAAATATCTTGTGAAGGAGAAGAGTTTTCTCATGGAGCCTACATATCCTGGTTCAGGAGGACACACCGTTGTGTGAGACCGACTATTGGTCTCCGCTTCTTCTTCACGAAGGGGGAGTCGAGCGAAGCAGCCGAGGAATGTGCGCTCTCGTTCAAATCGCTTGACCAAGCGGTAGATTCCCTTTTTCGCGCAACCGGTTTCTGTCAAAAGCTGCATGCATGAAGGGAGGGCAATAAGAAAACGTGGACAAAAGCGGATGATTTACCCGAACACTACATAATAATCAACGGTTCGCTGATAGACGATCGAATGGGGCATACGTTAACCAGCGAGCTCTGGAAGAGTCGTAGTCTGGTCATTCGGAGTTCAACACCCGAGAAGAGAGTACAGACTGGGTGTTTCATCAAGCTCTTCGTGATTAAGTCTGGAACTCGCAGTTCTGGAGAAGGGGAAGTGAAAAGCGGGAAAAAACGAATAATGGAGATCAAGAGCGAAATTGGTCGCTCAAGCCGGAACATCCTCCTCCACCACCTCCTCGGAGCTCTCAGTGGAGTTAGCGACTGTGAAATCGGATTTGAAGCAAAGCGGTCCCTATGGTTAGGGCGGGCGGGCGTTCCCCGTCGTCATCGCAGTCATCATCGCCTTTGTCGTCATTGTTTTGTCCGGTCGCCTGGTCACTCAGTCGGCCCAAGTCGCGTCTTCAAGGCAGACTCCATTTATGCAGCGACGGCTGCGGTAGCGGACTTGGTCGCCGAACCGATGTTGACGGTAGTACTCATGGCTGTCGTAGCGGTTGTAGTAGTCTTCTTCCGACCCCAATTGTCTGTAGCCGGACTGTTTGTGGCGAGCAGCACGCGGCTAAGAAAGTTACCGGCGGACCCACCGGCTATCTGCCCGCTCACGCTGTGCTCAAGTGTTGGGAACCTTTCCCCGCGCTTCCCGACAACGAATGAAGTCGAGTCGCTTGAGCAGTAGGGTAGAGGTGAACGACCCGAAAATTCAAGCACGACCGACTGTCCGGCCGGCTTCTGTTTGTTTGTGTGTGTGCGCCGATTTTTTCTGTCAGTCGGTTTGTTCTTTCGTTTGTCCATTTGTCAGCTCACATTGGACGTCTCTCTCAAGACATTTTTTGATCGAATCTCTCGACGACAGTCGTGCCTTGGTACAAGTCTGGGGCCGCAGAAGCAATCGAGTCTCATTCCTTTCCCTATAGGGTACGAATAGTCACCAGCCCGAGTCGGAGGATATCTCCCCGGCATCCTGTACACGGCTCGGAAAGGCATATAGAAACCTACTTCGCATAAAAGCCCAGTATCGGATCTATCCGATGGATACCTCGATGGATCGGATGGATACTCATGCAGAGGAGACGAGTGATCGGCTCAGGGGCGTGTTCTCTCCATGTCATAAATCTCGGAAAATCCGCGCGCGCGTAAATCTTCTCCTGCCCCTCTCCCGCCTTTTCCACCTTTTCTTATTCTTCTTCTGCTCTTCCACTCTGTGTGAGCTACCGTCTTCTGTAAAATGTCTCGTCCGAATCTCCAGATATGCCCTTCGGCATCCTGCGCGTGATCGGGCGATTATTCAATGAGACTGTCCCCGTCAAAAAATAAAGCTGAAACTCAGGCGAAGGCTTCTCAGAATTTACCAGCCACAGTAATTAGGATCATCTCCGTCTCCGAAGCCCACGACACGAACGCAATCTTCGATTGTGTCGGCTATACTTCGAAAGTCTCGTGGCAAAAGTCAGAACCGTCTTCTCGATCATCTCATGCTTTCACGCGCCGCTCGCCCGATTACAGCACCCAGAATACCCATGACTCGGTCGAATGAAGACAGTATTCCGTTTTAGCGGGTCGCCATCGAGGAGCAAAGTTCTTTATCCCAATCTGCGGGAACTGGCGCCGCCGAGGACCAGACAGCTCAGCTCGCGGTATCACTGATGCGGTAATTGCGACTTGAGAGCTCTCAGAAGTTCGCGCGACGCTGAGGCGTTGACTTGAGGCCCGTTAGCTCCTCAGACTGTCAACTTATCACTTCCGTCGACCGGTCAGCTATCCGTCCGTGCTGAGTGTCGTCGCGAGGCATCTGATCAATAGCCGAAGACTCGGACGAATTCCGATTATCGGCAGTGGGATCCGTTCTGGTAAGACGGTTCGGAACGATTCCCGACCCGATTTACTCCAAGGTTCTCCTCGATAAAGACGAATTTTCTCGAGTCTCGATCGAATCCTGGAATTCTCGAGGGTCCTGGCAGAATCAGACTCAAGTTTCCGTGATTCAGATCTCTCGGTAGACGATTCCGGGTTCTCCGGCATCGACGTGAACAGACGCCGGCCTTCCCATGAGAAACGAGCCGACTTTTCGGTGACTTCACTAGACGTCCCGACCGGAGAGCCGTTGGATTCTGGCGAAGTCTGTTCTCCAAATAGTGCATTCTCGGCGCGCAGACTTCGAATTCAGCGATCGGTTCGGAGAAAAGAAGAAAGAAGACAGCGCAGGCTCTGGTCCACCAATCACGACGGACTTCGATTTTTTCTCGCGAGTCGTGGTCGAGTTTATCGACAGCTCATTCATTCTAACGGTGAATTTTCAAATGCGGGCCGAGTGTTCGACAATGTGATTCGGAATCGCGATTCCGGATCACGCATCCGAATGCGCGGAATAGGGTGAAGATCAATGTGGAGAACTCGAGAGTGTTGACAGTTTAGCTCGGGATGACATTTTCGTATGAGTCAACGCTAAACAATTTTCTGCTTGTCGCGTTTCTCCGTGGGAACCGTAACGAGAACACCGAGTTCCTCACATCAGAGGAGTTCATTCTAATGAGAATGATCGATGGCGATGGGACTGAGGCCGCGGCTGTCCCGTATGCTCCTCAGTATATTCCAATACCGGATGCCGAGCCCGAAAAAATCGTGTTCGAGTCGGACCGTATAGCTGAGGGTTTACGTCTGACATATCACATCGCTTTCGAAGACGGATCTAGAAAGCCGATGTACTCGCTTAGATCGAGGTCGGAATCGGAATGTGTTCCCGGCAGCAGGAGTCGAATCCATATCTGCTTCCGCCTGAACGGCTGCCGGGTTCCACGACGTGAAACGCACGCGAAGTGACATACGCGCTGACCACTCAATCACCCGCCTCTTCCTAAACCTGGAATTTTATTTTCAGACTACTGCCACCCAAAGATGGCCCGATGTCGGAACGGCGCCTGTCTCGATGGACTGTGTTACTGCAACGATGGTTACGGGGGCAAAGGCTGCGAAATGCCCGATGAGAACGAATGCAAATACAGGTGAGTCAATAGAAGGCTCCTACGAAGGATGAACGGAGAACGCATGTGTACAAACTACAGTTTTGATGAAAAGCACACCGATTTGTTAGTTTAATTCTCTTCCGATTTATAATTAATAGTGCACAAACTCTCGGTGAAGGCAATCCGTACGAAATGTCAGATGAAGGCTTCCCGCCGCGAAGGTACACGGCGCATGATTGAAACACCGACCGTTATGAAGAATGAATTCGGGGAGATTATCACAATGCAGACGATAAGCGAGGGATTAGAGCACGCCAGAACACTGCAGACCGCAATCTGTTGCGGAGAGAAGCCGGGCTTCGAGATCAATTCCGAATTATTGAAATTGACATCCTGCATCGGAGCAATTAATTGGCGATGCTGAGAAATGAGCAATTCATGCTCCATGGCGCCCAATCCGCTCGATTCTTTTCTCGTTCTTGAATCCTACTGTCTCTTACAGGCCCTGTGATGTCTTCGCGCACTGTACGAATACGATGGGCAGTTTCTACTGTTCCTGTTTCCCTGGCTATGAGGGTGACGGATTCGAATGTAAAGGTGAGTGAGGAAGCCTTATCGTTGTATATACTCCACATCGCGTGTCCTTCCCGTGACGGCGCTGAATGCGGGGGCGGAAATGAGGATCACCTGAGAACTGACCCGAGACCTTCGCACTCCAGCGAACTCTTTGCTCGTGCACAAATCCAATCCATCACAGGCTTATCATTATGATTATAATAATGTTTTCATATTATCCATGATGCACATACTATACTTCATGTATCGTGATAATTATTTGTCAATACTTATCACTAGGGCTGGGAAGTTGGCGCGATCGCGCCGAAATCCTCCATAGGAAGTCAATGCGGGAGGGGGCGGGGGGGAAATTGTCGTGAATTTGCGAGGAGAACGCCGTGGATGATTGCCAGTTTTCATGTATATGACCATCAATATAATTCGTTTTGCATCAAATTATGCTTATACAAACATTCGGGGAGAAATCTCCAGTGATTCGGCGCTGGAATCATCGGAGCGAATGTCTTCGTCATATCAGCGATTCCGATCAAATCCGCATCGAGGATCATGCTATCCGTCTCGGAATTATCATTATCTCTCATCGTGTAGGAGACTCTGGATTTACATGGAGTCCTCGTGGGCTACGGAGGCTTGCGCACTGGAGCGTGCGCGGGGTTGGTTTTCTCGCCCGTCAAGATGACGATCACGATCACCTCATGACGCTTATTACTAAGCTGATCATGACAGATCGCGCCATGATTCTTTGCCGCTATCTGTTTCGAAATTACACTTCTCAGAAAATTGGACGCATCTCTTTCCATCTGAATCAGGCGCGTTCTAATGGAAACTAGTCGTTGGCCTTTGGTGGGTGATCAAACGACGCGTCGTCGTTGGGAACTGCTGCTAGCGAGAGTTGAAATTTGTTTACTCGAAGTTGATTCCGACGTTTCATTCTTGCTCGAACTTCAACTCGGGCCCCGAGAATTCCCCGAGTTGTCATCGCTTCTCGTCTAGATCAACAGCTCCTGCAGGACGGACGAGAATAGATCATCACATAATATCAAATGGAATAACGTCGAGCGAAAGCACTTCTCCTGAAGACACTCGCTGCCGAGCGTCGTCGCGTCGTGGACGCGAAAAGGGAGAAATGGAATTCGAACCGTGAACAGCGAGCGACCGAACGAAGCCTCTCCGGCGGCACATGGGCTGCCCGCACGGACACCAGAACTACTCCGGAAGGAAGAAGCCTGGCGCGCGAGGACTTGATTGCGAGGACTCAAGTTCGGATACAAGCCCAAATCCCTCAACTAGAAGATCGATGCAAGCCTGAGCAAGATTTGGAATAGAGGCTCAATTATCACGATACACGAGCAAGGATATTTGCCCCCCATCGGCCAATTAAGTCAAAACTGACTGGATTATTTCGTGATGAAATATTGCGGAGTCTGCCACGCGAAATAAATGTCTATCTCCGAGATGATCCGAATCATCTATGGACCAAAGGCATGCCGAGGGGGTCTCGAGCTCGATACACTGTTCCAAAGTCAGTATCCGCGAGTCTCGTCCAGAGGATCCAGCGAATCAGGAATCTCTGACCCCTTCGTCGAGTATTGCCGATTCCGCGAAGCGATAGAGCTTCTTCTCTGTCAGCCAGAAGAAGCAACCCATATTAGAGTCAGCAGGATCGCGCTCTGATCACGAGCCAGGCCTCACAAGACTTGCGCGATTCAGCGGCTGCTTCAATTTCCGAGTTGCCGGCGATCAGAAAGAGATTGAGTTTGGGGAGCGGATGGAGTTCCGCTCCAGGAAAAGCTGAGTTGAACGCCGCTCTCGGCGGCGAAAAAAACAGAGCTCATCTCTGCAGTGAACGAATGCTCCAGTTTTCGAGTAAGATCTCAATGAGGTTTGCGGTTGCGAGTCGCATCAGCACCACTACGCAACGCGTGCGTCTATTGAGCAACGGCTCCTTACCGCGCTCAGAGTTCGACTCATTCTCAGCACAGCCGAGGTCTCGAGCGAACAGGGTCGTCGTCGACTTCTTTGTGGGCGAAGATCCCGCTTGAGAAACATCTCGGGATCAAGCTCGGGCTTCGATTTCCACACGCCGATTCATTCTGGCCACTGGACGGCACCGGGATTTCCGTCTTGAGGACGTGCATGTACATGCCTCTCTTCAACTCTCGGTCCTTGACCGCGCTGAACTTCCGAACGTCAGCGACAACAACAACATCAGGTGGATCGTGAGCTCGATGAGGCAAGTTGGCACTGTGGCCAAAATTCTGTCAGGAGCCAGCCAGCGGACTAAGGCGAAGCTGCGGCATCGGCAGTTTGTTCTAACATGCGTGAAATTGTATTTACACGAAGTGGACGCTCCGCTGTCTGGAAACTAAATATCGCGTAATTCCGAATTTCGTCATATTTCTTAGCGGGAAGCTGAAAAATTTCTCCATCTGATCGTTCTCCAGTCTCCTGAGACTAGGATCCAAACTCGCAAAGGGTCCTTCCGCATCGTCCGTTTCATCTTTCAGTATGTGGAACGCCCCGGCTCCGAAGTCCGTCCGGAAGGTATTCCGCGACGCATTCGTGTCCTGCATGAAAGGTCGTAGAATTACTGACGACTGCAACATTCTGCTCGTGTATGCCGCGAATCTCCGGCGCCTTTGGAATCCCCTGGGAATACGACCGGGACTGTCTGGAAACGTCTCGTTACGTCCGACTGCCCGGCTGTTGATTTTGGGATGAGTCCGCGCGGACGACCGAGAGAGAAGATTGACCATGAGCCATGAGTAATTCGTCGAGCTTCTCAACATAGAAAGGCGTCGAGATCTGGAAGCTCGTTACGCGACGGGGTAGGCAGCGACCGAGAGTCACAATAACTTTCCTTAGGTCATTCGGAGAATTTCGAAGTTTTGCTATTTGTTGTCGGGCACACAGAAATCGTTCGGCATTTCGCTACGATTTCATTGTCGTCATCGTCATCGGGATTCTCCGAGCCAGAAATGAAGCTCACGAACCGACCAGGCCCACAACGATGCTGTTAGAGCCAAGGACGCCGATGTACGACACCTCGAAACGAATGAATTTTCCTGCCGTTGATGGTTTACAATGGTGACGGCGCGGTGCTCGTTCAAAATATACATAGGTACTTGCTTGGCTGCGGTCTGCCTGAGTATTTTGTATGACATTTGAGACTACCCTGAGCGACAGTCGACCATGTGTTTGTATGTCCCAATCGATTCGAGCAAGCGAGAAAAGGATCGCAGTATATTCCGGACACCTCCCGAATTTTTCATCGAGATACAATCCGACAAATATGCGGCTGTGTCGAGTCCCGGTCGAGTATTTCATCGGCGCGTGTCGACTTCATTCAGCCGTTTTTTCTGATCACCGGCGAAGCGAGCTCCGCCGCCGTCGAGAATCAGGGCGGACGGTCGTGATGCTAAAATGATCTGTAGCAAATCTGCTATTGGCCCGAAAAATGAAGCGCGTTTACGGACACAACTAAGTGCTGCAAATGCCGGTCGATGCATTCAGATCGAGATCGAATTACTCTCATCGGTGGTCGCTTGAAACCGATTGCCGGGGCGATCAGAGGAGGAGCCGCATCGACCGCTGCATTTCCCTGTTCGGAAGATAATTCCAGATTCGAACCATTAATTGCACCAGTCGAGCTCAGGTTCGAGAATTTCTCACTGCGAGGAATCTCAGAGAAATTCAGAGCCAGCTAATCCGAGTCGAATCCGCGCCGCGCGCCGTAGCGAGTCTCATCTCAAACGTGCAGGACGATAAGTCGGCATTCTTCGAGGAACGGGTAGCGCTCATCACTTGATGAGATGCATTGTAAAGGTTCGATGCTAATAACGAATGGACGGAACGAATCGGCGAAGGTCAATTCGGATGTCGAACGCCTGTTAGCGTTCTGTGGAAGGTATTTGCATTTCGTGAGAGACAAAGCTGCAGTCCGGCTCCCGGCGTGCATCAATATTTTGGCTCCCTACCGCATGATGGCGTCTTTTCGATCAATCGCTGTTCGGTCCGCCCATCCTGGACAGTAGCACTGGTGTCGGCGGTCTTGTTCTGATTGCCGATTATCGGTATGGGAGAGAAGGAAAATCTCAATTCTCACATCTGACTGGTCGGCGGCGTTCTGATTTCGCTTCCAATGTGAATGTGATTCGATTTTTTTTTTCTTATTCTGAGCGTATTCTCACCCCGGATAATGATATTCGGCCGGGGCACCATCGAACGCGCGAAAAGTTTTCGGAATTCTCGTCCTTTGTTCTCCTTCGACCCCAATGTGCTCTTAAATTCTACCGGAGGCATTACGTTCGTTGAAGGGATCGACGGGAGCGGTCTGGACAGGGGCCGGGGTCCAAGGAGAGGGAGAAGAGGCTGAGAATGAGACAGGGATCGACCGGGACAAGATCTCAAAGAAACCGTTCTGCCCATGAGTGCAGATACCTTCGAATGGCGCCAGACGCAGAACTTGAAACAAAAGCCGGGTTTTCGAGCTTCAGCGTTTCGAAAGGACGTCCGCCACCTTATTCGAATTCCACTGCCCGAATGATCATGTTTTATTTTGAGCGAATGAGGGACGCGCGGCGTTCACCGCGATGAGTTTGATGTCGTTCCGCGACGGACACCGCAAGTCGTTTTCGGCAGCTGTTAGTGCTGGCACGGTGAACATGATCGCGATCGATGTGGTCATTGGAATAAAATTCCCATTAGGCGAAAGCAACGTTGATTGATGTCAGAAGAAGAAAATGAACGACTCAATGACAAACAGAGATGAAGACAATCCAAATATGATCGCTCAGGGTCTTTTATCTCGTGGCGGGATCTCCGTCGGGATTGCTTGTCGCTGCCGGATTATCTGACGGAGGATAAGATAAGGAACGAATGTTCTCCGGACGAAGAAATATCGTTTTCTCCTCGCGGAGAATGGCGTCAGCGAGACGACAGAAGAGTTCACCGGAACGTCGGCGATAGATGGGTCGAGGTAGAGAAAGAAAAGTCAGTGCTATTCAGTTTTTGGAAGCTTGAAACCTAATCCTCCGCATTCCTTCCAGATGTGAACGAGTGCGAGATACCTGAGCTGAGGTCGCTCTGCGTGCCAAACTCTGAGTGTTGCAACTTGCCTGGTCATTACGTTTGTAAATGCCTGGAAGGCTTCACCGGCAACGCTACAGACTCCTGTCTAGATTTAGATGAATGCGCCGATCCCGCAGCTTGCGGTCATCAGGTGAGCTCCTCATCCTTCGGAGCAGAGAATCCTTAGCCTGGATGCGAGCAGAAGATGATCCTTAAATCACCGCAGAATCAGATAGATTTACTTTTTGCTTTCGATTTTGTCCTGCAGGCCATATGTCAGAATACGCCCGGCAGCTACCAATGCGTTTGTCCGCCTGGAATGACCGGGGACGCGTACTCGTCATGTGGAGACATGGACGAATGCACCGACAATCCATGCGGACCGAACGCCGTCTGCAAGAACACCATAGGGAGTTTCTCGTGTGAATGCCTCCCGGGTTACTCATTCGCAGATCCTTCGGAACCGCACAGAGGTGAGAATCTCATCCCCATCGACCTTCAATGTGGCGCATCTGGCGCATTCCTCGATTCGAGATCCCGATACCTATCCCCTGTATTTCCAAAATGAACCGGATTGTCCCAATTGAGTCTAATTGTCCTGACCCTCTAGGCTGCGTCGATGTCGACGAGTGCTCTTCGGACAGGAATCCGTGTGGAGCGCAAGCAACGTGTCAGAACACACCGGGGAGTTTTTACTGCCAATGTCTGCCCGGATATACCGGTAACCCTCGACTCGGATGTCAGGACATCAACGAATGCGTTCAAGATGTCTGTGGATCTCACTCAGTGTGTACGAATGTTCCGGGGAGCTTCAAATGCAGTTGCGAAACCGGCTGCGAAGGCGACCCTTACACCAGGACAGGCTGCCAAGGTTCGCCATTCATAGTAATGAATTAATCCAACGAATTTTTAACGAGCTCGCGTACAAAATACAATAATAATCATGGACTCCTGAGGCTGACGAGAAGGGTTCCTTCCTTATAGATATTGACGAGTGCAATCGTGCCAACATGTGCGGACCGAATGCCCAATGTATAAACAACTTCGGATCTTATCAGTGTCAGTGCCTCGAGGGATATTCTGGAGATGCCCGTCTGGGTTGCGCAGGTGAATATCGGTTGACTTTTGGATGGAATTCGTGGATTGATTGATGGATGGATTAGACGTCGGCATCATCTTCTTCCCTCCGGGGCACCTTGCACAAAAGAAGCCCGCGCGTGACCATGACTTCTGGGATAGGCTTTTAATGACCCTCTCTCGCCGCCATCCGGTATTCAACATGTGAATAGAGGCCTGTGGGCTGATGCTACGTTTGTGAATTCCAGACATCGACGAATGTGCTTCCCATCCTTGCGCTCAGGGATCGGTGTGCTACAATTCGCCGGGATCCTATCGATGCGAGTGCCCTCGGGGTTACACGGGAAATGCCTACCAATCTTGTGAAAGGGACGTGGTCGAAGTGGACTGTACAGGGGACCACGAGTGTACCGGCAACGCTCATTGTGTGGACAGCACGTGCCAGTGTAAAGCTGGGTATCAGGTGAGCAGAAGATTCCCGACCACTCATTCGAGTTCTTCTTGATCGCTAGCAGAATTGATGGCGGCGGAACGATTTCACTGACTTCATCTCGGTTCCCGAGGGGAATCGAGGCCGAGCAAGAGATCTTGCGGGGGAATTTTTCCTCATTCTCTTTTCCCAACCAGGTCGGTCCCAATGGACGCGATTGCGTCGACCGGAATGAATGTCTAAGCCGAGGAACTTGCGGACGTCACGCCGTTTGCGTGAACACCGAAGGAAGCTATCTCTGTCAATGCAAGCCCGGATTTGAAAAGCTCTCCGATGGGGCCCGGTCCAAATGCAAGGACGTCGATGAATGCTCATTGGATCCGTTTCCTTGTGGATCGGGAGCCAAGTGCGTCAACACGGAAGGTGGTTTTCGATGCGCCTGTCCGGATAATCTTATCGGTAACCCCAAGGAAGCCTGCATCTGTGAGTTCACTTTACCGAATAGGATTTCCGACCGTCGGATGAAATTGAATAACTCCGTCCATAAAACCTCCTCCTCGATGCTGTTCCGCGATGCGGTCTGCTTGCTGACGGATAATAATCGGACGTTCTCTCATGTCACTCCAGCTCCTTGTGACGCGGTCGAGTGCGGAGCTCATGCCACGTGCCAGGCTAACGGAAAGGAAGCAACATGTATCTGCGATGTCGGCTTCACCTTCAAGCCGTCGAACATCGCAGCTGGCTGCGTCGACGTCAACGAATGTGAATACGAGCACGGACCGTCTGGACTCTGTGGAGCCGGAGCCCTTTGCACGAACGTGCCAGGCAGCTTCCACTGCGCGTGTCCTCCCGGATTCACCGGCGATCCGTTCATACATTGCGAAGACATCAACGAGTGCGACACCGCTTTAGGCCCTCAGGGATCTTGTGGTCCCAACGCGCTCTGTACGAATCAAGTCGGATCGTTCAGTTGTCACTGCCCACCAGGTTTCACAGGGAACGGCAGAGTCCGCTGCTCAGGTAATGGAAGGTTGTGATTCTAGGCCGCCGCGGGTCCCTGATCGACTCGGCGAGATTCGATGAAAATTCCGAATTGGGTCGACATGGGGATTCGCGGCGCCCACCGATCCGACCGAGGGCGCGGCGTTGATTGAATGATCGATTCATATGGGATCAGTTGGATGATGAATTCTGAAGACGTCCCCAATAGTTTCTCAATCGTATCGTGCTTCCAGATATCGACGAATGCTCGACGTCCTACGGGCCTTGTGGGAAATGCGGACACAATGCCCAATGCACAAACACTCCGGGAAGTTTTACGTGTTCGTGTCCCACGACATACACGGGGAACCCTCATGACCGATGCGAGCGAGTTGCGGTCTGCACTAGTCGACAGGATTGCCCCGGTCATGCCGAATGCATTGACGGCCAATGCTACTGTTCACCTCCCCATTTCGGGGACGATTGTAAACGTGAGTGGAATCCGTTCCGGGTACCGTTCGGTTCGGCGATGCCCGTATGACACTCCTCGCCTTAGTGATCTCGAATTAAACCCGTCATCCAATTAAACAATGTATACATGTGTATCTCTCCAGACCCTTGCGATGTTGTATTTTGTGGAAACCATGCGAAATGCGAGCTCGACGACAACGATCAAGCCCTTTGCGTCTGCGCCAACGGATACACCGGACATTCGAATTCTCTCGGAGGATGCGTAGGTGGGTGGACACGCGGAAAAACAATCGATCTTTCGCCAGAGTATTCCCTCGCGGAATACGGGTCTCCCGACGAGGGGACGTCGTTTATTCATGATTCGGTTGCATTCGTCTCAACGTAAACACTCCACGGAGATGTTCGGACACAGAAACGTGGACTAAGAGTACTCGACCCCGCCACGTCCCGGAAAATAGCGAGGCCTAGTTTCTTGAATCGGAATACGCCACCGCGTTTCGCCGTGTTAAAGTTGAAATAATCGCTTGATTCCAGATATCGACGAGTGTCACGCGAGTGACAAGTCCTGCGGAGCCGGAGCAGTTTGCCGGAACCTCCCTGGATCGTTCGAGTGTATTTGCCCCCAGGGAGCGTCTGGTGACCCATATGCCGGGTGTCTGTTCAAGGTGAGACCTCGGCTCATAGTTCCACCGAATCACGACCGAAAATATATGCCGAACGGAATCGTCTGCATAGCTCTCTGAAAAATCACGGCACCCGCTTTTTCAGGAGGATCAAGTAGTGCACGCGTGTTCACCCTCGAAACCGAACTCTTGTGGCGTCAACGAAGAATGCGTTTCAATTGAAGGACGAAACGATTGCGTCTGCCGGCGAGGTTACACTTACGACTCTCAACTCTGTCGCTGTCGAGGTAAACACGATTTCCCTCAGCTGCTTAATCTGATGATCCGCATCCGAAATGCGGGAAATTGCTTGGAGTAATCCCGTCGGATTCCCTCGATCTGAGGCAGCGGAAGCGTCCATCCAATAACCGCGAACTTCGATCGGAATCAGATATCAACGAATGTACGGAGTTCAAAACCAAGGAACCATGTGGTCGAAACGCTTTCTGCCAAAATCTCGAGGGATCCTTCCAATGTCAGTGTCCCGCGGGCTACATCGGGGATCCCTACGATTGCTGTCATGCCGAAGCCTTCGAGTGCCACAAGGTAGGTCCCGGGAGGCGAACTTTTCTCCTAAGGAATGGAAATCGTCGAATAGAACTCGTCGAGCTCGGGGGCTCGGTAGGTGCTGGGAAGTCGCGGATTGAACGCAGACGGTTGCACGGCTGGTTGAAGCCAAGACGAGGCGATGAGCGCGCGGACTCATGACGGGAATTTCGCCGCGCCGTCCATGGTGAAATTCGAATCTCTCGTCTGTGTTCCTTATTTTCGAGGGCGGGTCCTTTAAATTTGAACTCGTTCACAGGATGAGGATTGCGCTGGGAATACGGTTTGTCGCAAAACGTACGGGAGTGAGGGCGGCCGTTGCGGATGCCGACCGCCGTTCCAGAGAGAGGGAGACTATTGCATCCGTAAGTCTCGGAGACGGAAGAGCGAACAACTGAGGGAGAGATCGATAAACGTGAAACAAGCAAAAACCTAAACCTCTTTATCCCCAGTCTACGGCAGAAACTGCACGTCAACGTTGCCCTGTCCGGAGAACCACGAATGCGTATTCACAACACAAACTACCGGATACTGCATCTGTCCGAAAGGTTTCACCCTTGAGGCGAATGGACAATGCCGAAGTAAGTTTTCGATGGGATTCCGACGTTTCATTTTCCGCTTTGGGAATCCAGAAACTTATCCCCGCCGTCGATTCGTTCCACGATCATCCGATAAGCTCCGAGCTGAATGCGAGGGCACGCCTCCCGCTGGATTCAGAATTAGAAGGTGGGTCATAAAGACGAACTCATCGCGAATCCTCCCCCGCAGATATCAACGAGTGCCTCGAAATACGCGACTACAATCCGTGCGGACAAGGCGCTGAGTGCCGAGATCTCGTGGGATCGTATCAGTGCAGCTGCGCTGCAGGGTATACGGGTAACCCAAAAACAGGCTGCACGTGAGTTTTGCTCATTATCAGGGGTCTAGGATCTACCAATTCATTTCTGTCTCAATTCCAATACCATGATAGGGATGAAGTTCCGTGCCAAAGCACGTCCGATTTCTTCCAGACCAATCAAAGTGCGTTGCCGGGGTGAAGGCGATTGTCACGCGAATGAGCAATGCATGAACGACTGTTGTGAATGTCTTCCACCTTACGTCCTGGATGGAGACACCTGCAAACGTAAGTTGGAAGCTTCGATACCTCCCTAAATGATCGGCGGGGAGGGGTGATTTCACTCGCTCTTGAATAGACGAGAATCAAATCCAATGCCGAGGAGAATTCGCGGCACTCGAGGAAAAAGACTCGGGTCTGGGACGTTATCCAGAAATTCCCCATGCTCCTTCTCGTGGAGATTTCTGGGGGCTTCAGGGTCTCGAGTCCCTCAGAGACTATTTGACTATCCTTCGGAGACAATGCAATGACTAAGAACGGTTGCATGGATCAAGATCGGCGCCCTTTCCTGTAGTTAGAGCCCACCAGCTCATGCAAGTAAGGGGTTGACTGACGACCATCACCGTCAAGGTCACCGTCGACGGAATCGAGGTGATGCTGACGGTCGAATTCAAAATTGCTGTCGAAACTGTTTCCGTTTGTTTTGATTGCTCTTCTGCTCGTTGTTCGATGAATATCCGCTTTTCGAACGAAGTTTCGCGAAGGAAGGCTCCGTAAATCCGATTTCTGAGAGGCAGATTCACTTTTTTCTCAATAATGAAGCGAAGTAGATCTTCATATATTACATGTTTGTCTCGTTGTATTACATTGTTTGTATTACATGTTGATCTTTATATAATACATGTTGCTCGTGCCGCGAGACGGAGCGCGAGCTCCGATCGTTGGCCGCGTGAAATCGGGACCGATTTCCGAGAACGACTGATCAGCGAGAGGCGTCGAATTGTTCAGTGAGCGAACTCTGCAGAACCAACGGCCGCTCTTCCGGTTGCTAGATTCTGCGACAGCAACGGCAACCAATTGGCTCGGGTGTCGGTTCGAGGAACCCTAGTTAGTCGGACGAGGCTGACTGACGATGTGGCTTGTGGCTCTGATCAATCCTCGGGAGCTCCCCCTGAAAGTGGACGATTTTCTGAGAGAAAAAGGCTAATGTGATTCAGAAGCCGCGATGCGAAAGTGACGTTGTGCTGACTCGACGTCCGAAAATTATTTTTAAGGTTTCATGTTCCGGCTTTGTGATTCACGCCCGCCGAGCTCAAGCCGGAGGTGAATACTTTCTCCTGGGTCGGTTTCTCCACTCGCAATCTTGCGCTCGATGATCAGGGCTGATTGTTGCCCGGAGAGGGTCGGAAAAAATGCATGCTTTCCTTCCGAATGTACGTGTTGCGGAGCCGTGAACACCTCCTCCGTTGAGTGTCCTTGCGCGCCCACGGAGGCCGAAGCTGGTCTTCAGATTTGTTCGCCGGATTTTTGTTTACCGTTGGCGCGGAAGGAATCCGCGCGATCCGCCTCCCCGTTCGATCCATCGAATTCGAACGAGTCTTCGAATTTGAATTGCTCGTCGCTCATTTCTCGAAATTCCTGAAAACCTCAAATTCTCGCTCTATCCCTCTCTCTTTCGTTGAGCTTCCCGTGCGGGTTCGTCGTTCGATTTCTGAAGTTCTTGCAAGGGCTCCGCGACCTTGTACCGGGTCGTGAATGACTCAGGTTTCGTAGTGATCCGGAGCCCGTACGCAAATCAGACGCTATACAGGGCGTATTACTCCGGTAGACAAAAAGCATGTCTCTGCGTAACGTGTTTCCACGCCCACGGTTCCGATTCTGTGTAGGAACTCATGCATCCACATTTCATGACATCATTGGAACATGTCAGGAGGCATTGCAATGAATGATCCCGTCTACGAGTTGAACATAACATGAACAATAAGCCTTTTCGAGCGCTAATGAGAGGTGCGCGAAAAAAAATAGAACTCCACGACAAGTTACGCGGTGTGTCGGCTCCCGGCGGAGGGTACGTCGGGACGGCTGGCCCGTCGCTCATCAACGTCAGGAAATCAGAGCATCAGGGATGTTAGGCTCCGCGGGGGGAAATCCGCGTTCGAACGTCCCTAGGTCGAACGTGGCGATTTTTCGCGGAAGCTTCCTACAACAATAGCTTCAATTAATTTACGACGATTGCAAAGGTCCGATGACGAAGAATACGGCAAACGACAACGAGTTCTTGGGTCACTATCGCACCGCGCGCTGCCTTAGGCCCCCGCGACCGATGCTGAGCATAGCATCAGCCGTGTGGGAGTATGCGGCTCGCTTGCCGGGTGGCAAGCGGTAAGCGAGCGAGCAAGCTTAGTCAACGCGCACCGACTCGTCCCTGTGCCACCGGGGATATACGTACATGCGTGCCGTTCGTTCGACGCAACGTCCTACGTCCAAGCCCTTTCCTTGCTGGAGCTGGCGCCGACGTCGGCAGTTGCAAGTCAACCCGTGCGCCATCGATCGGGGGATGCTGTGGTGAATTCGACGTGTGTGTGTGAGTGATTGTGAGGCAACTACAACGGATTTGACTATTTTTTAATCGTCCGGAGCCAATCACTCAATAACTATTTAATCAGTGAATCCCCACGAAAAACTGCGCCTGCTGAGTGCGCCCTACGATGGCGTTGGGACGAACCCGCGCCGGGTTTCTAGTTGTTTTCTTGTTTTCAATTGTGATACTCGACGCTGTCAATGCGTACAAGCGTCCCACTGAGGACGATGACGATGATCTTCCTGCTCAGAAACCAGTGAAACAAGTCACGGAGGTTTTCTATGAGCCCCCTCGACCACAGTCACAGCACCCAGGAGTTTATCTTCGACAAAAAGGTCAGCCGAAAAAAAATGCAAGAATCCTCAATAGCTCGAGAACCGGTGACAATCGTCTCTGAAACCGAGTCGCAAGTCGAATCTTGATAGAGGACGCTTGTCTTAAGAGGAGTCCGCCGGTAGGCACTCCCTCACTGCCTAGACGGGAGCATGGAGCCTCTTTTTCCGAAGAGGGGCGAGCGAGTGCGAAGAGAGCTTTGCACGGCGCTCAGGAATTCCGCCGAAAATCCCCGGGAACAGAAAAATACTCTGTCGATCGAATCGGGAACATGACGTTCTATGGGACCCTGAAACGGCCCACAAGCTGATTACATCACCGCCTCGCTGACTTTCGAACGGGCTGGGAAATTCCGGAAAGTTCCCGCGCTTACGTTGCATCCTCGAGTTCGCGTGATGCTCTCGGCGAAATAATGAACTCCTTGAGGTTGCATTCGTATAGCGAGAGACCAGCGGGGAGCTGAGTTCTTGTTGATCGAACACACGAAAAACGCAATATTTCGTATGTGAGAGTGGGCGGCGGCGGCCGTGCGGGGTGGCATTCGGATCGTCGGATTCTGCCGCGGACGACGATCAGATGTGACTTCGACCGTTTGTCCGTTCGCTGTATCCATCGAATGAAAGGCAAATCATTTAGAGAACATTGGTCATGGTGACCGCGGCGCCAATGACTTTGAATTGAGGTGAAATCCGACGGGAAAACGTCGTAAGCATTTCCGATTGTTTTAGGAAGCCATTCATAGGCAGACGAAACAATTGACGCTTAAGAAGATGTGGGTTCGGAGCCCTTGGAACGGTCGCTCGCTGACAGTGTGTTGGACTTGTTGAATGAGCTTCGGCTCCCCAGCTGGGGAGCCAGGGTCAGAACGCGACTACCTGTTGGTCCAGCCGATTTAAAATGCGATTTTTAGGAGAGGCCCTCTCAGCCTGGGAAATTCACACCGTTACCTCGATCGGTGTTTGAGTCGTTTCGCAACTTCCGAGTTGGGGCGCTCCTCGTCTGGATTCTAGTTTTGTCAAAAACTTCCTTATCGGGACAGCGTGACTGTCGCTGCACCGAGTCGCGCCAACAATTCTGATCTTCCAGAAAATCCCGTCGGATGAATAGTTGCAGAAACGACATGATCAGCAATATACCCGATCGTCAGCTAACACTGAGGAGAATCGCTTCCATTTCTTGATCGAACAGGGAATATCATCGTCAAGAGAAATATAAAACCGACCGCTGGCCTCAGCGGTGGTGAAGTTTCCTCAGAATGTTTTGTTTCGGATCTCGATTGGGACAGTGAAGTTTGTCATGACAAAGTGGTCTTGAAACGGCCATCGTGAGACGTCAGCCCGTTGATCAAGGACCTCTGCCCACTTGAAAATGTGGGCTTCAGCGGCAGACAGTGGACGGAGTCGATCTCGCGGAAATTCCGTTGCATTACAAAAAGAAAGAGAATCGTGGAACATGAAAGGAGATTTTTTTTTCCTCTCGGACTCGTGAGTTGATCCAATGCATCTACCGGGTCCAAGTGCTCACAAGTGATCCTGCCTCAAGAAATCCGAGACCATATATGTACCTGAATACTGGGTCAGCATCGGATGGATCTGACACCGCGAAGCTGTCGACTGTTTCCGGCAGATAGGCTGAGAGAGCCCCTTCGGGCTTTCACATCACTCTTAGATCGTAGTCGAGTTCTCTGGTGGCTCCGCGCGGTCCGCGGAGGGAGAACTCGATGGTCCGTCACCTCGTTCTTTCAATATACCGAGTCCGGTATCGGTTCTCGGAAAACGGCGTCTGATCTGAATCGATTGCGGTTGGAGATCCTGAAACATTAGGGCCATCTGAGTCCATCTGAGTCAGCCGAGCCTTGCCTCGTTGTTCCGTTCAGAGACCTTTACCCAGTGAATTACGAGTTCTTGGCGAGAGTTCAAAACCTGCAGACCGTAGATACATTAGCTGCCGTCGCAACTGTAAGATTATCACAAATCCTTGCGAGGTTTCATTGAGCCGGGAGCTATTCTACAGGATTCGCTATCCGGGTCATGTCGGAGATCGGGGGATTCGAAACGCGTGATATTCGGTCGAAAGGAATGCGAGTCGAGCCTCAACGAGCCTCACAGCGCAAATATCGATAGTCCGGACTTCAGAACATGAATTTAAGAAAAAATTCTCTTTTTGAACATTTCAGACCCCTGTGATTGGATGCAATGTGGTCAATTCGCCACCTGCAGTGTGACGCCGAAAGGTCCACAATGCAACTGCAACACCGGGTGCACCGGAAATCCGCACACGGGCTGCTTGGACGTCAACGAGTGCACAGCGAACCTACCGCTGGACCCGAATGGACCTTGCGGTTCAGGAGCGACTTGCATCAATGTGATGGGCAGCTACAAATGTGAATGTCCACCCGGAACGCGCGGAGATCCCATGGTGGGATGCGAGGGCGGCCGCGCAGGTGGATGCCAATCGGACGAAGAATGTCCTCAAACGGCTTCGTGTGACGTCAAAAACGGCGTTTGCTACGATCCCTGTTTGACTTTCCAATGCGGCCCGAACACCAGCTGTGAGCCGGAAAATCACAGAGCAACCTGTTGGTGCACGCCTGGATTCGAAGGTATGTAATTACAAGGACTCTGCACTCTCTCTCTTTCTCTGGACTCTGATGATCAATTGAGGGGGATCCTTAGGAAACTACCGTGAGGGTAGGAGGGGCGCCATTCTCGACAATCGAAGGGGAGACGAGGAGAGATCGGCTAGGCGTTTACAGGAAATGCGCGATCGTCTCTAGTTCGCAGTCTCCTTTTTCGTCTCTCTCCTCTTTCGCGGAGAACGGCGGTTCCTTCGCGTCGCTGCAAGAGCCGTTTGAACTCGGCGCGCGACTCCGTCGAAATTGAACATTTCCCAAGTGAACTCTGAAACCTTGGGAGGCATGTTGTTGGGGTGGAACACAGTGGGTGGCTTGTCGTTGAAGTTTATGTCGAGTGTGTAGCTCTCGTTGTATCGTCGACCAGCTCAAATGGCCGCTCGCTTTTCGCTGACTGGCTAACAGTGGACTTTACTTGCTCACAGCGGGCTTCTTTGTAATTTTAAAGCCAGTCAAACTACTCAGCGCCGCCGACATACAGCATGGACGTATGTGCATACGTATGCACGCCCACCCGTATGCATTCTTGGCGTTTCCTGCATGTACGTACGTCCGTCCTCCGTCTGCCTGCGTCGACGTCTCACCTCAGGAGCCGGCGGTGGTTCGGCAGGGGAACGAATGTGACGATTTCTCGAATTCGCCCCCCTTTTGAGAAAATGCTCAGCAGGCGACAGAAATGTCCGCTGATGCTTTCTGTCCAAATGCTCTCGGGCTGACCTCTTCACCGGGGTCGGTCCGTGAATTCTTGGTCTGGTTCTGGATGCAAGACGAGTCCTCGCATTCCAAGGATTAGATTCTCGGGGACGGAAACGGGCCTCGAAAAAAACGCGAACCAGAATCGACGGCGCAGGACGGCGTCGTCCATATCAGGCGATTCCCGGAGGGTTCTAATCCGATTGCGTGATTACGATTATTGCAGGTGACGCATACAACAAGGAAGTGGGATGCAGATCACCGTGCGCCGATGTCTGGTGCGGTGTGAACGCTCAGTGCATCGTCAATCAGCACAACGAAGGAGTCTGCAAATGCTACGAGGGATACCACGGAAACCCTTGGGAAGGCGGAGAGTGCAGTCCTGAACATGAATGCACGCCCAACCGACCCTGCCCCGACGGGCAGGAGTGCCACGACGGCTGGTGCATCGATCGTTGCCGAAACATTCGCTGCGGCTTGAACGCTCGATGCGACAGAATCACCGGACAGTGTGGGTGTCTTCCCTATTTCATCGGTAACTCCGAGGTCATGTGCGTGCCTCCCGCCCTACCGCCCATCTGTAATCCGCGGTGCGGACCCGGAGCTCACTGCGTCTACGGCGTACCCAACTATTGCGTGTGTAATCCCGGCCTGTCCGGTAATCCGTACAGTGGATGTTCTCCCGGAAATACAAGATGCTCATCGCGACTCTGTGGAACGAATGCTATCTGTTCGGAGCTCGGAGCTCTCGACTGCAGATGCCCAGCTGGGCTTCAAGGGAATCCCTACACAGCTTGTACGGATATCAACGAGTGTCTCGGAGGCTCGCTGAGCGTGTGCGGAACTGGAGCCAAGTGCGTTAACACATTCGGATCATTCAAATGCGTGTGTCCCGCAGGATACGTCGGAAATCCGCTGTTCGCCTGCAGTGAGTATGCCTTCTCTTTGTACGAATTTTCTCCCGGCACGGAACTCTCTCGTCGCCCCGTCCATCATCCCCAGCCCCTCGGCTCCTCTTCCTTACCCTCCCCTCTCCTCCTTGACCCCCGGCACCCCCCCCCCTCTGAGATTTTTCCCTAAAACTCTGTGCTACCATCAAGTCTCATTCGTCGTTCGCCGCCGCGTCGTTCCTATTTTTCCCATTTCCCCGACCGTTTTTTCTTTCCCCTGTGCTATCCTCTTCCCCATCTCAATCCTGGGAACTCTCCTGTGAGATTTCTACCTTCAAGGAGCGTTTGCGAATTCTGTGATCATGAGAAACGATGGGAAAATCTGATCTGCAAGACTCCGCCCATAAATGCATGACCCCATATCCCTAATTAGGTCAATTATGAGATTTCGGGCGGGGTTCGAACCGAAGACGAATCTATCAGTTACTGTCCCGAGGCCTAAGTTGCGTTCGCTTAGTTTTCGGCGCGATAGCGCTTCGGAACGAAATCGCCCAAAACGGGTTCATTGCTCCGATAATTCGGTCGTCTCCAAACGCACTCCAGTCACCGTAAGACGCGGCTCGCGACATCTACGCCGCCGCCCACAAAGTTCTTCGACCTCTCGCCGTATTCTAATGAGAGCGTTCGCATAGCGGCAGACGGGCCGACCGACTGACTGACTGACTGAGTCATCTTCTATTCCAGCGGCTATCCTCACTGCTCACAGTCCACCTGGAATCGGAGGGATCGCCGGTCTACCAGGAATTTCCGGCGGACTGTCGCCGGCCGCACAGGCGCCTAGCGCGCCCCAGATACCTTCAGCACCCGATTTCTCAATCGGCGGCAGTCTACCGCAAGTTCCCGGTGTCGGCGGATCCCTGCCGAGCTTCCCGAGCATCGGCGGCAACTTCCCGAGCATCGGGGGCAACCTCCCGCAAGGCCCCGGTAGCGGCGGATCCTTCCCGCAGATCCCGAGCATCGGAGGCAACTTCCCGCAGATTCCGGGCATCGGAGGCAGCTTCCCGCAATTGCCCGGTACCGGAGGCGGCTCCCCGCAATCGCCAGGTACCGGAGGCGGTTTTCCGCAATTACCTCAGCTGCCACAGATTCCCCAACTTCCCGCTTTTCCATCCCTTCCGCTTCTGCCCGGTCTGCTACCAGGCGGAGGAGGTGGTGGTGCAGCGGCTCCAACATCGACACCTGCACAATCCCCGACCACGAGTGAACAGCCCGAATTGGCCCCGCCCGTTCAGTCGAATGACTGCGAGTCCCACGACCAATGCGACCAGAACGAGCTCTGTGTTCGACGCAGATGTATCCGTGAGTGCTCTCGGGGAATCTTTTGACTTCTCTTCCGGAATAATTTTCTTTTTTTCTCCGCTCGCAAGGAGTAGTCGGAGCAGAAACACGCTAAACTTGATTTTGGACTGGAAATTTAATAGCATAATACCGATAGATAAACCGCTGGCTTCAATTCCAGGGCCCTGTGACACTAGACAGTGCGGACCTAACGCCCACTGTCTCGTCGAAAATGACCACGCTCTGTGCAAGTGCGAAGAAGGATATTCTGGACGTCCAGAAGATCAGAGAGTTGGGTGCTCCCCGCAACGATGTACGTGTTTTCGTGAATGTTTCCGATGCTAGACGGGCGCCCTCATCTTCCCGCGATCCATCTCGATTTGCAGGAGGGCAAAGCTGTGGGTCTCGGAATAGAGACTCGGAAAGCGCTAGACAATAATTGAATATTACGTTCTTTCAGCCGTATGTGCAAACATTCAATGCGGACCCAACGCGCAATGCGAATCCCAGAACAATCGAGCGACCTGCGCGTGTCGACCCGGTTTCGGCGGGGACGCCAACGACCTCATCCGAGGATGCGCAGCGAAGGCTCAAGACGAGTGCCATGACGACAACGGATGTCGCGAAGATCACGAGTGCAAGCTCGGCACCAAAGGCGTCAAACAGTGTCGTGACGTCTGCGAAGACAAACTCTGCGGTCCCAACGCCAACTGTCTCGGAGAAACGCACAAAGCCGTCTGCGAGTGTTTGCCAGGATTCGTTTTTGACGGAATCGGATGTCATGGTAAGTACTTCGATTCGGGGGTCGCCTAGATCCGAGAAATCGGGAGATCGTCGAATTCTCGAATCAGCGCGACGTCGTGGATATCGAATTAAGCTCCTCCTCTTCCTCCCCCTCCCCCATTCAGTTCCGGACGACTGTCAAGTCGATGGAGATTGTCTCGGCCACGAAGTATGTCGCCATCAGCCGGAAGGTAACAAATGCGTCGACGTTTGCGTGTCCCAACAATGCGCACCGAACGCGAGGTGTCACGCCGTCAACCACCGAGCCAACTGCGTCTGTCGGGAATCCTTCTTCGGTAACCCCAACGACCAGAACCGAGGCTGTCAGCCGATCCTCGACAACTGCCTCCACGATGCCGATTGTCCGGAATTCGAGAGATGTCTGCCCAACTCCCAAGGCATCAGAAACTGCACGGACACCTGCATCAAAACCCGATGTGGGCCCCACGCCCACTGTATCGGGAGGGATCACCGACCGGAATGCGTTTGCCGGGAAGGGTTCGCGGGAAATCCCGCCGAGTTCTCGATCGGCTGTCAGGAGATTCGACTGGACACCTGCAACACGAACATCGATTGCAAACCGTTCCAGGCGTGCAAAGTCACGCCCGTCGGCGTCCGTGACTGCGTGGACGTCTGCAGCGAGAAACGTTGTGGTCTCAACGCGAACTGTTTCGCTCAATCGCACCAGGCGTTCTGCGAATGTCTTCCCGGATTCGCCGGAAATCCAACCGACACGGTCAGAGGCTGTCAACGGCATCTCTGCAATCAAGACGCTGATTGTGGCGATCCCGACGCTTGTACTCTGACCCGGGTCGGAATCCGAAACTGTACCGACGTGTGTTTGGACAAGAGATGCGGCCCCAACTCGGATTGTATCGGCAACGGTCATCGCGCGACTTGCGTCTGCCGTCCCGGCTTCGAAGGAATTCCTGACGACATCCGTGAAGGCTGCATTCGTAAGTGCACGTGTTCCGCGGGTCATTTTCTTGCTGACTGATTACGAATAAAACCTCGCCGGACTCGATTTTGGCTGATTGACGTCATCGCAGCTTTCGATTTGACGGGCGGGAGACCCCTATTCGGTCTCGCATCCCGTGCCCCCCGACAGCTAAAGAGCTGAACTTGTGATTTTCTTTTGAAGCTTCGCCGAAATGCCGAACCAACAGCGACTGCCGAAACGACGAAATCTGCAGCGTTGACTCGACGGGTATCAAAGCGTGCCTCATTGGATGCTCGACCGTGCTATGTGGACAGAACACCAACTGCAGGACCGATAATCACATCGTAGAATGCAGGTGCCACGAAACTTTCGTCGGCGATCCTTACAACCGTGAAACCGGCTGTACACGTAAGTGAAATTCGAGTCCGGAACGCCGGCACGGGAGCCGCCGACAGTCGGTGTCACCAGTCGCTTCGTCTCGTGCCTCGAATACTTGGATTTGGGAATAAGAGAATTTATTCGATTTCCAGCCGTGCCTGAGCGTTGTTACACCGACCACGACTGCCCATCCATAGCGACCTGCAAGAAAGGTCACGACGGCAAAAACGACTGCTTCGGTGAGTTCGAAATACTCAACGTGGGTCGCGTAGGAAGAGAGAGAGAGCTAGATTTAGTCTGCCGAAGCCCCTCAGTTACGTCAGCGATCTCATGGTGGAGCGATCTCGGTGGCCATCGATCACGCCTAGCGCTTGTAAAAAGTTCCCATAGCGATGAGATCTCACGATTAGATGATCCTGTATCTTTCCATGGTGCATTTGATGCAACACCCTATTGGAACTTCCCTATCCGTTGCACTGTTCTTGTTTTCGACCGGGTAGTCTCGGGAATAGCGTGAATATGGAGCTCGCGAGTCTTCCCGGGGACTAGGACGCGCCTGTCCCGGGAAAAACTCCCGTCCGATGCTTAGGCGGCTCGCCAGTAGAGGCTCAGTTGAGTAATCACTCAATTCATTAAAATGTTACAGATGCCTGCGACGGATACCAGTGTGCGGAGGGAGCTTGTTGCGTAGCCATCAACCACAGACCTACCTGCGAGTGCAGGCCCGGACTCATCGGCGATCCTCTCGTCCGCGGCTGCCGAAGTGAGTTATTGTCTTGAAGTTTTTTGCAAGCATTCGACTTTCCTCATTCATCATACGGCGAAAATTATCTCTCTGGGAGAGTGCCCGAAATAATTTCTGTATTGGCGTGACTTTTTTTGTCTTTTCTTTTTTTTCGTTCGATTCCCCCGCCAAGTCCGGGAACCGATCGAAAAAATGCCACAATCGACCATCATTGAACTACAACACGGATTCCGCTGGATTTCAGACCCCGACGAGTGTGACCGAGACACCGACTGCGCCGACGATCTCATCTGTCGACCCGACTTGGCCGGATGTCGAAAATGCGTCCCGGTTTGCGTGTACGAGAAATGCGGACCTCATTCGATCTGCGTCGGAATCCGACACAAGGCTCACTGCAGCTGCGAGCCCGGTTTCGAGGGCGATCCCTACAATCCGGGAAGCGGCTGCAAAGTACTCGCCCCGGTCGTCGAGGGCTGCCAAGTGAACGAGGACTGCGCTCAGACCGAGATCTGTATCCGCGGGAACCGATGCGTCCAAGCCTGTGACCGCAGGCAGTGCGGTCCGAATTCCGTTTGTCACGCGTTCAACCACCGTGCCCAATGCAACTGTCTCGAAGGGTTCAGAGGCGACCCCGATAACCCGATCAACGGCTGCCGCCGAAAAGACGAATGCCAAGTTGATTTCGACTGTCCGAACATCCATGACGTGTGTCGCGCGGACAACACCGGCGAACGTCGGTGCGTGAACGCCTGCCGTTACAACAAATGCGGCTTCAACACGAGATGCATTCCCGGCGAGCACAACTACCACTGCGAGTGCATCGAGAGCCACGTCCGGGATCCCGGAAATCTGTTCGCGTGCGTCCCCCGTGCTATAGATGAATGCAGGAACCATACCATGTGCCCCAGTACCGCCCAGTGCCTACCGAACTCACTCGGCGTGTTCCGCTGCGCAGAGGTATGCATCAGCTTCAGCTGCACGCCTGACGCCGATTGCATTCCTCTAAACCACATGGGACGTTGCAAATGCCGCGAAGGATACACCGGAGACCCGAACAGCAGAGACGGCTGCCGGACCATCCCGGAGCCCGAATGCATCAGCCATTCCGACTGCGCCCTGCCGACCCAGGTCTGCCAGTTCGACGAGCACTACGGCGAACGACGCTGCCAGGACGGCTGCCGTTTCCTCAAGTGCGGCCCGAGAGCCATCTGCGTCGTCGACAACCACCTGCCCAAATGCGCGTGTCCCCACGGAAACTACATCGGCGACCCGTACGACCAACGTGACGGCTGCCGTCAAGTCGAATGTCTCAAGGACGAGGACTGCCATCCGAAGAAGGCGTGCTTCCCGACGTTCTACTGCGAGGATCCTTGCGTCGACGGTTGCGGAATCAACGCCGCCTGCGTCGCCCAGAACCACCAACGTATCTGTCATTGCCGACCCGGCTACACCGGAGACCCGCTGGTCCGCTGCGAAGAAATCCACTTCTGCAGCTCGAGCCCTTGCCACTCGTCTGCCAAGTGCATCGACACGCCCGGAGGCTACGAGTGCATCTGCCAGAACGGTTTCATCGGGGATCCGTACCGTCAGGGATGCCGTCATCCGAACTCGTGCCCCAACGGCAACGGGGACTGCCCCGGACACCTGGCCTGTTTCCCCGACCACAAGAATTCGCCCATGTGCCAGAACCCCTGCGACCACTTCTCGTGCGGACCGAACACCCAATGCCGACCGGACAACAAACACGGCGCCGTCTGCGAGTGCCTGAGCTATTTCCGAGGCGACCCCGCCTCGGGCTGCGTCCGAGAGTCGTTCGGATGCTTCCACGACTCCGACTGCGCCAACGGATACGTGTGCATCGACGCGCAGTGCCGACTGGCGTGCAGCCGCGAGAGCGATTGCGCCGTTGGGGAGAAGTGCGTCGGCTCGCGATGCGTCCACATGTGCTACGGAAACGGCGACTGCCCGCCCAAGGAGGCGTGCTGCTCCGGCGGATACTGCCAGATCGGATGTCGATCGAACGCCGACTGTTCCTCAGAGGAGACCTGCAGCCAGAACCGTTGCCAGAACCCGTGCCTCATCAAAGGTCTGTGCGGCCCCAACGCCATCTGTACGGTGAGGAACCACGAGGCCTACTGTTCGTGCGGTGACGGCCTCGTCGGTAACCCCACACCTCAGATCGGCTGCACGAGGGCCGTGCTCACCTGCACAGGACGTGGTAGAGGCGACTGTCCTAGCGGTCTGTCTTGCTTTGAGAATCGTTGCCGTGCCACCTGCAGCGGCTGTATCGTCGGCGAAGCGTGCGTCCGTGACTTCTGCATGTCGTCGTGCGCCGGCGACAGCGAATGCCCCGCGGGAGAGCTCTGTATCCATGGCCACTGTCAGTTCGGATGCCGAACCGATAACGACTGCCAGGTGCACCAGGTCTGCTCGCTCAACAACTGTCACTGCAAACCGGGCTTCAGGGAGACGCCGTACGGCTGCGAAGACATCGATGAGTGTCTCGAACAGCCCTGCCACAAGAGCGCCATCTGCCAGAATTCCCTCGGCAGCTTCTCGTGCCGCTGCCCCGAAGGATTCATCGGGGACGGCTTCATCAAATGCTCGAACCCGGGAGAGTGTCCCCGGGGAGACGTCGACTGCCCGCAGCACGCGGCCTGCGACCGAACCGGAATCACCAGGTGCGTCGACCCGTGCGCCAACGACCCATGCGGACCGTACGCGATCTGCTCCGTCATCAACCACCGCCGTCAATGCAATTGCCCCAAGACCGGACTGTTCACCGGAGATCCGTACGACAGGAACCGCGGCTGTATCGCCGTGGACTGTCTCGCCGATACCGATTGCCATCTGTCCGAGCACTGCGTCAACTTCGTCTGTCAGAGCCCTTGCGATAATCTAAACTGCGGAGCTCACGGAACTTGCGTCGTCAGGAACCGTCAGGCCTCCTGTGAATGCGACCGAGGGTTCGAAAACCAGGGCTCTCTGCTCTGCGTCGATGTCGACGAATGCGCCAACCAGCCTTGTCACTACACCGCGCTCTGCGACAACATCGTCGGCGGCTACAGCTGCAGGTGCCCGCCGCAGCTGGTCGGAGATCCTTTCGCCAAGGCCGGTCAGCCCGGCTGTCACGACCCGAACATCTGCTACAACGGCAACAGCGACTGTCCGTCGTCGTCCGCCTGTATCGACGTAAAAGGAACGCCGTACTGCAAGGATCCCTGCGAAACGCCGAACACCTGCGGAGGCAACTCCAAGTGCACCTGCATCAACCACCAGCCCGTGTGCACCTGCGCCCCAGGATTCACCGGAAATCCCAAGATCAGGTGCGACGTCGTCGAGTGCATCGCCGACGGAGACTGCCGCGACACGGAAATCTGCGCGCTCAACAAATGCGTCGACGCGTGCCGCAGCAACGGTAACTGCGGAATCAACACCATCTGCGAATCGAAGTCCCACACGGCGGTCTGCAGGTGCAAGGACGGATTCCGAGGCAACCCGAGCACCGGATGCATCAAGGACATTCCCTGCGACCACGACGACAACTGTCCCATCGGGGAGTTCTGCTACCACGGTCTGTGCAGACTCTACTGCAAGGCGAACCGCGAGTGCGGCAGCAACGAGATCTGCGAGGACGGTCGTTGTCGGGAGGTGTGCCGTTCGAACACCGACTGCCCCGAAGGCTTCCGCTGCGTGCTCGGTAACTGCGAGCCCGCCGATCGCTGTTTCCACGACGGCGAGTGCGGTGAGAGCCGAATCTGTCGCTCGTCGCACCGCGGATACGACAGCTGCCTCGACCCTTGCGAGAACACGCTCTGCGGCCGGAACGCCCTGTGCATCCCGAACAAGCACAGCGCGATCTGCAAATGTCGCGAGGGATTCATCGGCGACCCACTCGACCAGAGGATCGGATGCAAGAAGGCCGAGTGCTTCCACCACGAGGACTGCAGGGACGACCAGATCTGTCACGAGAACAAATGCGTCGATCCTTGCGTGATGCGTCAGGGCTGCGGGGCGAACGCGCACTGTCTCGCGAAACGCCATTCCGCTACATGCACCTGTAGAGAAGGCTACGAAGGCGATCCTGTCGCTGGCTGCGTGCTCATCGACTTCTGCAGAAAAGGCAACCCGTGTCACGCTACGGCGCTCTGCCGAAACCGTTTCGGTGGCGCTCACTGCGAGTGCCCTCCGGACCGTCACATCGGTAACCCCAACGGTCCGCCGGGCTGCCGACATCCGAACGAATGCCCCAACGGCGACGTCGACTGTCCGCCGACGGCCGCCTGCATCAGAGACGGTCCGACGCCGATGTGCAAGTCGCCGTGCAGCGTGCCGCACACCTGCGGTCCGGACGCCATCTGCCGAGTCGATAACCACAAAGCCAGCTGCTATTGCCCGCACGGATTCACCGGCCAACCCTACGATCGTGCAACGGGATGCGTGCGTATTCCGCCGTTCTGCGACGACGATACCTCGTGCCCAGCGCCGCTGGTCTGCGAGAAACGCCGCTGCCGAACGCCGTGCGCCGCCAAAGACGAGTGCGCCACCCGCGAAATCTGCAGTCGCGGTCACTGCATCCAGGGATGTCTGGAGGACCGTGACTGCCTCGACAAGGAGATCTGTCTCGAGAGGAACTGCATCGTCGGCTGCCGCTCGGACTCCGACTGCCGCTACGACGAGGCCTGCGTCCAGAACCAGTGCAAGAACCCCTGCGACAACCCGACCGCCTGCGGAACCAACGCCGAGTGCCAGACGATCCAGCACAGGGCTCAATGCACCTGCCCGCCGCGATTCACCGGAAACGCGCTGGTCTCCTGCGTCCGAGTCTCGGTCTCGTGCCGAACCTCGGTCGAATGCGGCGACCACCAGAACTGCGTGTCGACCAGATGCCGCGTCGAGTGCTCGACCGACGCCGACTGCGCGTTCGGCGAACGGTGCTTCAGCAACAGCTGCTTCATCCTCTGCCGTTCCGACTCCGAATGCTACGACGGAGAGATCTGCGTCGGCAACCGCTGTCAGCTCGGATGTCGATCCAACGAACAGTGCCCCGATCATCTCGCATGCGTCAGCAATCAATGCCGAGACCCCTGCGAGGGACAGGCCACCTGCGGCCCGAACGCCGAGTGCCGGGTCGCCAACCACCGGTCCGTGTGCTCGTGTCCCGCGAACTTCATCGGACGTCCCCATGCGAACGTGGCTTGCGTACGGAAAGCGATCGTCTGCAGCTCGAGCCAGGCGTGCGAGCCCGGAAGCATCTGCTTCTTGGGCTATTGTCGTCTCACCTGCAGCACCAACCAGGACTGCGCTCTGAACGAACGGTGCGTCGACAACCGATGCCACGTGCAGTGCCATCGGGACAAGGAATGTTTCGACTGGGAGATCTGCGAACACAATTTCTGCAAGGTCGGATGTCGTGCTGATACCGATTGCCCGACGAATTTGGCCTGTATCAAGAACCAGTGTACGGATCCCTGCGCGAGTCCAACCGCCTGTGGAACCAACGCCGCCTGTCAAGTGTTCAACCATAGACCCCAATGCTCGTGTCCGGCCGGACTTCGAGGAGAAGCGGAAATCGAATGCGTCCGAAGCTCGATCGACTGTCGGGCGAACGACGACTGCGGAGTCGGCGCTCGCTGCGAGTCGACCATCTGCCGCGTCACCTGCAGCAGCGACAACGAGTGTTTCGATAACGAGCGATGCGTAGAGCGACACTGTAGCCGTAAGTTGATCGTGGCAGCTCTGAACGCTTCCGATAATCGACCCAAATTCTAGTGCATTATTCCATATATTATTATTATCCTTCATCTCTGCGGGCATCATTGTAGAACATTATTATTATTATTATTGGTATAATTTTCCTCCCGTCGCCCCTCTCTCTTTCGTTCGGGCTCCAGCCACCGTGCTGAGGATATTTATCGGATAAATGGGTCGGAATGAGAATTCTCATCGACTCTCTCCTTTCAGTCATCTGCACAGCGGATTCCATTTGCCCGAAAAATCACATCTGCGAAAAAGGACTGTGTCTATGTGAGTATCGATAGTCGCTCGAGAGAGTATTACTTCGAATTGACCATCCAGTCAGCTGTTTTTTCTTTTGTGAACGCGGAGACGAGGCTCCGATTTTACTCGTCCGTTTTTCTTTTTCACTCGGAAGTGTTCTGGCCTCGAGAGTGGACTCCGGTCCAGCAGAAAATAGCATTCGATATTCTTCGATCCTCTGCATGGTTTCAAGCTCTACGATATTTTTTCCAGTCGGTTGCCGATCCGATTACGACTGTCCGAACAGTGAGCAGTGCATCAACAGACAGTGCGTGGATCCCTGCGAGAGCCCAGCGGCGTGCGGACCTCAGGCGAAATGCGAAGCTGTCAACCATCGAGCTCTCTGCAACTGTCTTCCCGGATTCACCGGAGACCCACAGGTGGAATGCTCCAAGGTCGAATGTGTCATCGATTCGGAATGCGCTCTCGGCAAAATCTGCCAGAACTACCGTTGCTACGAAGGCTGTCGATCCGACTCGACGTGCCGCGACGACGAAAGCTGTATCAGTCGACAATGTCAGAACCCGTGCAAATTCATCGGGGCTTGCGGCGCCAACGCGATCTGTGTCACCAAGAGTCACCGTCTCACCTGTAGCTGTCCGCCGAAAACGCTCGGGGATCCGTTCGTCGAGTGCATCAGCGATCCGGACATTTGCAGCAGATCGGACGAGTGCGGAAGAGAGCGATCTTGCGATTCCGGACGCTGCGTACTCAAGGTCGAGTGCAACAGGGATTCCGACTGTCAGCTGGGCCACATCTGCGAGGACCATCGATGCTTCGAAGGCTGTCGAGGAGACGCCAACTGCCCCGTCAACCAAGCCTGCCACAACGGACAGTGCCAGAACCCGTGCTCGATCCGAGGGGCTTGCGGAGTTCACGCCGACTGCCTGCCGGAGAACCACCGCGCGCACTGCTTCTGCCCGCCCAGTCTCACCGGGAACCCTCAGTTCGAATGCAAGAAATCGCAGGACTGCCGCGTCAACGAAGAATGTCAACCCGGTTTCGTCTGCTTGCGCGGAAAATGCGCTCCGGCCGAATTCTGCGCCTCGGACAACGACTGTAACCGCGGAGAAATCTGCGAGAGCACCCGCTGCGTCATCGGGTGCCGCTCGAACAGCGACTGCGACTTTTTCCTCGAATGCCGCGACCGGGTCTGCCAGGACCCATGCGTCCCGGGAGCCTGCGGTATCAACGCCAAATGCCAAGCGCTCGGACACCGGGCCGAGTGCAGATGTCCGCAGAACTTCGAAGGCGACGCCCGCGTTCACTGTAAGGAGATCCAGGTCGAATGCCTCACGGACAGCGACTGCGGACTGGAGAAGTACTGTGTCAGCACACGGTGCATCTTCGGCTGCCGCGTCGACGAGCACTGTCCGTTCGATAAGGCCTGCGTCCAGGGCTCGTGCAGGAACCCGTGCAGCGTGCCCGGCGCCTGCGGGATCAACGCCCTCTGCCGGCCCCACCACCACCGAGCGGTGTGCACGTGTCCCCACGAGAAGATCGGGGATCCTCGCGTGCAGTGCTCGGCGAAGATCGTCGTCCACGAAATCAGAACCGAGTGCTCGACCGACCACCCGTGCGCGATCGGTTTCATCTGCCGCAACCACCACTGCATCGCCGATGGCTGCTCCCACGACTCCGCCTGCAATCCGGGAGAGATCTGTGAACGCAGAAAATGCATTCTCGGCTGCCGAAGGGACTCCGACTGCACGTTCGACAAGGCGTGCATCAACACCCGCTGCACGAACCCCTGTTCCGTCCAGAACTCGTGCGGTATCAACGCCGACTGCCGACCCGTCGTCCATCGGCCCGTCTGCTCCTGTCTGTCGGGATTCGAAGGAAATCCGTACGATTACTGCAGCAGGCCCGAGATCCGACTGCCTCCTCCCGAGTGCACGAGGGATCCCGACTGCATGCTCGGCAAGATCTGCGACAGCCAACACTGTGTTGAAGGTTGCCGTACCGACGAGAACTGTCCGTTCGACCGGGCCTGCTATTCGCGGTCGTGCCAGAATCCGTGCGCTCAACCCCACGCGTGCGGAAAAGGAGCGAAGTGTCTCGCGGTCGCCCATCGACCCGTATGCACCTGCCCCGCGGGTCTCTCCGGGGACCCGGCGTTCGAATGCATCGTACCCACCCAGGAGTTCTGCTTCCACGACGCCGATTGTCCGCTGGGACGGATTTGTGAGAAGGGCTTCTGCGTGGACGCCTGTCGAACCGACGACGCCTGCTCCTACGATCAGGCTTGTATCAGGAACCGCTGTCAGAACCCGTGCAGTTTCGAGAACGTCTGCGGTCTCAACGCCGACTGCAAGGCGGCCAACCACAAAGCCGTCTGCCTCTGCACCCCGGGCCTCACGGGAGACCCGCTCGAACATTGTATCGAGGTCCGCGAAGTCGGATGTCACCACGACCGCGAGTGTCCTTTCGGTCAGATCTGTACCAACAAGGATTGCGTCGAAGGATGCCGGACCGACGATCACTGTTCTCCTGTCGAGTCCTGCTACAGAGGGAAGTGCGCGAATCTGTGCAAACTCACCGGAACCTGCGGAACCGGAGCCACCTGTGTCATGGAAGCCCACAGACCCGTCTGCTCGTGCGATCCTGGTTACATCGGCGATCCGAGATTCGAATGCCGTTTGGCCCCGCCCGAACCGCCGAAGGAGTGCGAGATCGATTCAGAATGCCAGCTGCGACACATTTGCGAATCGCATAAATGCGTCTGTGAGTACTACATACGTTCGACGGTTTGATTTTCGCCTGCAAGGGTCTGAACCGATTCAGATTCAGGCTCTAGTTGAAGATTTCACCGAAAACCATTTTCTTCCGTTGTCAAACCGCTCGTTGCATGGATTCGTACTTCGTTCAGCACTTTTTATTTATTTTCCTTCTGTTGTGATTTTTAACATTTCACGTTTTTTTTCGCAGTCGGTTGCCGTTCCGACCAGAGATGCGGTCTCGACGAGGCCTGTATCAACGGAATCTGCCAGAACCCGTGCTCCGTGTTCGGAGCTTGCGGACGAAACGCTCTCTGTACTCCTGTCAACCATCACGCCGACTGCGTCTGCTTACCTGGTCACCGCGGGAACCCGAACGTGGTCTGCGTGAAAGACGAGCCCAAACCCGAGTGCACTCGCGACATCGAATGCCCTCTCGGATTCATCTGCGAGAACCAGCGATGCATCGGTGAGTATCGATAACCGTCGTCGTCGTCCTTGTCCATCCGTGTGCGGGACTCCTCGTCGAGGAGTTCGAACTCCATCTTCTCCTGTCGACGCGTGCGGGCTCTGACCGCTCGATTCTGATCTATTCCAGAGGGATGTCGTCACGACAACAACTGCGCCGACGATCGGGCTTGCATCAACGGACAATGCGAGCTCGTCTGTCGCTTGCCCAACGCGTGCGGAATCAACGCGTTGTGTCAGCCGAGAAACCACCACGCGATCTGCTCGTGCCCGCCAGGATTCCAAGGAGATCCTCAGACGGACTGCAAAGAAGTCAGAGAACCGGGAGGATGTCTACACGATAGCGACTGCGCCGTCGGGTTGCTCTGCGAGAACGGCGTCTGCATCCCGGGATGCAGGACCGACCACCACTGCGGTTTCCTCCAGGCGTGCATCCGTCACACGTGTCAGGACCCATGCAAGCAATACGGCGCGTGTGGGCTGAACGCCGTGTGTCGCGCCTGGAACCACGACCGCATCTGCAGCTGTCTGCCCGAATTCACCGGAGATCCCAAGCACCACTGCGTCAAAGTGCTCCCGCCGCCACCGGAGTGCGTCCGGGACGAAGAATGCCACTACGGGAGAATCTGCGAACTGAACAAATGCATCGTCGGATGCCGGACCGACGTCAACTGTCCCGTCGATGAACAGTGTCTCAACCGTCAATGCGCCAACCCGTGTCTACGATCAGGAGTTTGTGGACGAAACGCTCTCTGCTCTGCGGTACAGCATCGCGAACTGTGCACCTGCGATCCTGGCTTCACTGGAGATCCAATCGTTGCATGCGAAAAGGTGCCCGACGGATTTTGCCGACGCGACGAAGAATGCGGATACGGCGAAATCTGTCACGCCTCGCGCTGCATACCTGGATGCCGAACTCACAGCCAGTGTTCGTTCGACAAGGCGTGCATCAACCGTCTTTGTCAGGACCCTTGCCTCATCGGCGGGGTCTGCGGCAGCAACACGAAATGTCACGCCGCCAACCACGAGGCGATCTGCAACTGCTTGCCCGGGTACACGGGAGATCCGCTGTCTCGGTGCGATCTCGTCCCGAAACCGGAATGCTACCAAGACCTCGACTGCGGAAAAGGCTACGTCTGTCACGACGGCTTCTGCAAGGACATCAACGAGTGTCTGCACGGCCGCGGTCCCTGTGGACACGGCGCCATCTGCAGCAACCTGCCCGGTAGCTTCCAATGTACCTGTCCAAGCGGACTCATCGGAGACCCTTACCACGAGCGCTGTAGGCAGAGAATTGAGGGTTGCACAAGAGACGATCAATGCAAGGACTACGAAGCGTGCGACCGGATCACCGAACAATGCTATGACGTCTGTCACAAGCCCGGAGTCTGCGGACGGGGCGCCGAATGCCGCGGCGTCCACCACCGCGCCGAGTGCGTCTGCCCGAGCGGACTCCGCGGCAACCCACACGTCGAATGCACCATTGCCAGAGGCTGCGTACACCATCACGAGTGTCCGGGCAATCTGCAGTGTCTCGGCGAGTACTGCGGATGCCCGCGGCCGTTCCAGCAACGGAGCTTCTTCTGTATCCTCACCTCGCACAACTGCACCACCACCGATCCGTGCACCGAAAACCAGGAATGCATCTACGACGGGCCTGTTCATCACGGTTTTTGCGTCTGTCCCCGAGGCTTCGTGCTCATGCCGAACGGGATCTGCCGCGACATCAACGAATGCGACCAGCTGCCGTTCCCCTGCGCCAGCGGGGCCCAGTGCTACAACAAGGTCGGATCCTTCGAGTGTGTATGCCCACCGGGAACAAACGGAGAACCCTACCACGCGGGCTGCGAGCCGCCCAAGGGAGAATGCACCACCGATAACGACTGTCCAGACCACAAGGCTTGCGACGTTTCCATTCTCAAGTGCTACGACCCCTGCCTGGCACCCGACGCCTGTGGCCACAACGCACGCTGTCGAGCGACCAGCCACAAGGCGCAGTGCGAGTGCCCGGCGGGCCACACCGGAAACCCCAAAGTCCACTGCCACAAGCTCATTGGATGCCCTCACGAGTTCCAATGTCCCGGCAACCTTCTGTGTCTGGACGGCTACTGCGGCTGTCCTCCTGAATTCCAGCGACGACTCGACTACTGTTTCAGGACAAGCCACAACTGCACCACGACGAACCCTTGCGACCGACATAACGAAGAGTGCGTTTACGTCGGCCGTCAGGATGGCTTCTGCGTTTGTCCCCGCGGTTTCCGCATCACGCCCAATGACGATTGCGTCGACATAAACGAATGCGTCGAGATCACACCTTGCGGCAGAGCGGCCGACTGCGTCAATCTGCCCGGAAGCTACGAGTGCGGCTGCCCGCCCGACCACGAGGGCGACGCCTACAAGGGCGAATGCCTCCGGCTGGCGCCGCCCAAGCCTCGCTGCGCCGTCGACGACGACTGCCCGCAACACGAGGCCTGCGACAGATCGATCCCCGATTGCATCGATCCATGCCTCAAAGACCAATGCGGCGTCGACGCCATCTGCCGCGTGCAGAACCATCGGCACAGCTGCAGCTGCCCGCCCGGCTACACCGGCGATCCGCTGGTGCGCTGCGTGAAGATCGAAATCTGCGGCATCGACTACAACTGTCCCGGCAACCTGATCTGCCTCGACGATCGCACCTGCGGCTGTCCTCCGAGCCTCGAACGACGTGGGGACTTCTGTATCGCGGAATCGCGAAACTGCACCACCACCAATCCTTGCCACAAGAACGAGGACTGTATCTACGTCGGACCGAAGGACGGCTTCTGCGTGTGCCCTCGCGGATTCAGACATCAGGCCGATTTCAGATGCGTCGACATCAACGAGTGCATCGAGCTGCCCGACCCGTGCGCCAAGAACGCGCTCTGCAACAACACGCAGGGCGGCTACGACTGCCATTGCCCGCCGGGAACCGTAGGCGACGCCTACATCCGAGGCTGCGAGAAGCTCGAGGAGGGCTGCAAGAGCAACGACGACTGCCCCAACGATAAGATCTGCGATTTCGGAACGAAGCAGTGCATTTCCCCGTGCTTCGTCTGCGGACCGTCCGCCATCTGCACCGTCACGAACCACGTGGCGCTGTGCACGTGTCCGCCAGATTTCATCGGAGACCCGTACGACAAGATCCACGGCTGCTACGTACCGCCGCCCCAGCGAACCGAGCCGCCGGTGCAGGACACCCCGCCCGGTGGGCTGGACGTCATGTGTCTCGCCGACGGCGTGCAGGTGCTCATATCTCTGGACAACTTCAACGGAGTCGTTTACGTTAAGGGACACAGTCAAGATGAAAGCTGTCGACGAATCATCGCGAACAGCAACGCCCGCGAAACGGTCGACTTCAAGGTTCTGTTCAACTCATGCGGTCTGGTCCACATCAACGGCGAGGCGTCGTTCGTTCTAGTCATTCAGAAACATCCTAAACTTGTTACATATCGGGCACGAGCTTATCACATCAAATGCGTCTACAACACCGGTGAACGGACCGTGACGCTCGGCTTCAACGTCAGCATGATCACGACGTCGGGAACGATTTCCAATACCGGACCACCTCCCACGTGTCACATGCAGATCTGCACTGTCGACGGAAAGGAAGTCTCCCAGGCCGAGATCGGAGATGACCTCCTGCTCAAGGTCACCGTTCAACCCCACGGTAAGTTTTTCCACCGCTTCCCTCCTCTAGTTGCGATCACCTGGTTCGATTAGACATTCGTTTGCCGTTTGCCGCGTCTTTCCTTCTTAAACCCCCATTGCGTACACTCGTCCCCTCGATCGTTTTCTTCGTCCCGGCGTCGTTCTCCGTCCTCCTCCTCCTCCTCCTCCTCCTCCTCCCGAAATCCCCGGGGGAAGATTCCCATGGCAGCAGCAAGCTCCAATGATGACGTACTGTATTTTTTTCCCCTGATTTTCTTCACTCAAATTCGATTCCCCCCGCAGAAATCTACGGTGGATTCGCTCGAGGCTGCATCGCCAAAACGATGGAAGACGACGAAGAAGTTCAGTACGAGGTCACCGACAACAACGGATGCGCCACCGACACGTCCATATTCGACAACTGGAGTTACGATCCCGAGACCAAAGTGCTCATGGCTAGATTCAATGCTTTCAAATTCCCATCGAGCAACAACCTGCGCTTCCAGTGCAGCATCCGAGTCTGCTTTGGCTCTTGTCCTCCGGTTCATTGCCAAGGCGTTGACGCATTCGGTCGAAGACGTCGTCGAAGGCGGCAAGTCGCCGGCGGATCAGACCTCAATCCGGGATCCATCGGATTCCAGGAAGGAACGCTCCGGGAGGAAATTCAGGTTCAATCGAACGCGATTCTAACCTTCGAGAAGAAGGAAAATCAAATCGGACCTCTACAAGAGCTGAACGAAGGCCCTGCCATCGAGGAAATCGACACGGTGTGCCTTCCGAAACTCGGTCTGCTGATTTCGTTGATTTTAACGACTCTTCTCGCGCTCGTGGTCGTCGCCGTAGCGATCTCCTGCTGGCTGATGGCCTACAGACGGCGGACCCGCTCCCCCGGACCGCTACCACATCCCGCGGAGTTCCCCAATCCCTTGTACACCACTCCCGAACCAACCATTGCCGAACCAGCTCCAGATTACTACCAAGCGCCTTCCAGGCTACACTCGAGGCTCCGTTGAGAAGATGAACGGAGACCGAAACGGCAGTCTGTGAACGGTGACTCGACAGTCAGGAGCTGTGCAAAGTTCCGTGAGTTGGTTCACATCAATGTGTCTGAGTGTACAAAGCATAAAATCGATTCAAATCATCAGCCAAAGCTTTAAGGGTTAAGATGTGTTAATAATTAGATTGCCATCGACATTCCATAAGCAACTTCTAGGTAGATAAGTTTGAATTATTACGTGACGAGTTGAGAGAGCATCAGGCCGCGACAGAGGACGCGAAACGACGCTGACGGCCGAAAGCTTTCGAGTATATCATTCATGAAGAAAAATGAGCTGCCGTCAACGCAAGTCTGTTCGCTCGTGTAAAGATTGTGGTCGTTCCCTTGTGACGTGGGCGGACATGGGACAAAACGATTGCGCCGACTCGTAGAGTGTATTAGTTATTTATTCTACGCGAGACGTGCGAGAACTCGACCCGTACCCTTCACTGACGACTGCTTCCCTGAAGTGCCAAACTCCGGAGCCGGATCTACGCCCATCTCTCACCACCTCGACCCCACCTAGCTCAAATATATTTATTTATCGAAGCACATCGAATATCGAATGCGAGTTCGCGGAAACTCGAGAGTAGCGGATCAAGAGGGAGGAGAGAGACGAAAGAGAATAGAATCTTCGAAGGAAACGAACCGGTCGCCGGAGAAACGGGAACAGACGAAGCTTGACTAGGAGAGTCTTCGCATGAATCGACCGAATCGACCACACTAATCTTGTGATAAAGCTTTGAATAATTTCGTCGAGATCGGACGAAACGGGAGCGTCACTCCCGTCAGTGAACGATCGACATTGGGAATTTGCTTCTAAGTAGTAACTCTTTTAGAGCCGGCCTTTCGCAGAACTAACGAAGCGAGATTCAATTTTTTTTCGTGTAGTCGCTTTATCATTTCTTTCTTTTTTTCCCTTTCAAAGAGCGAGATGAGATATATACTCTACTATTTATGAGATCGTGTGAAAGTAATAGGAAGTAATAATTAAGACAATGGAATCTACGACTGAATATCTGATAATAAATGGATCGAATTCAGATACGAACCGTTCTCGTTCCTCCAGCGTATCCGACGGGAGGTCACGCATTCACGGAATGCCTCGAAGCTTTCCTCGCTTGTGGGTCTAGGCGCGGGAACCCTGATGGGCTTGCAGCTGCAAAGTGCCGGTGACGGTGAGTCCCAGCCATGAATCAGAGATTTGGAGTTGCCTCACCAGGCGAGCTCGTCGCCGGAGCCCCGTCTGCGGAGGCGAGGGCTCCTCCTCTGACAATCGCCGCCTCTATTCTCCCGTTCATGAACATTGCGGAACGAGTTCTGTTGCGAGCGGCTATCCTCCATGTTCCAAATTTGGACCTTGTCCACGAAAAGTTGTCCAAGCGAATCGGTGTCTGATTCAGGGGATGCTTAGAGAGGCTGCCTAAAGCTTACGGATTCAATATCCTGCTTGTTTTCCGTAAACAAGTATATCATCCAGGTGTATGACTTTTCAAGTTTGCAGACGAGGAAAAAACATTCACCGACAGTTGTGAACGGCCTCGAGCACCATGTTGAGTCCAGAGACTCCCGCCTGTTCTCGGTGGCAGCTCTGTCAATTCATTCCAATCCGAATTCTCCGATTATCCTCGTCGGAGAGGTGGAAGACCCCGACCGATTGCAAGCACGAGTGCAACAGCAGAATCGACTCAGCCGAATCTCTCGTCCAATTAGATCTCACTTCCGCGAGAGCGTGGGTCGATTCGCTCGCCTCCGCGGTATATTGATGTCATACGGTATTTTATGACGTTCGGCTTCGGCTCTCGGAACTCTCCAACAAGCCGAACTCGATTAGTTCGAGGTAATAAACGGAGGGGGAATTGACTTCTGACTAATCAATGAGAAAGATTGCCGAGACCTCTTGACGATAATGTACCACCGCTGATTGCCGTTCACGTCGGCGCTCATATCCAAGGAGACCAAGATTCACCGGGGTGATTGTTCGCCACCTGTTTCCCATCCTGAGTGAGCGAGACTTGATAAGTCCTGGGTTTGAAGTTCTCCTGTTCACATCTATGTACAACTACGCCGATTCGGGAATTTTCTCGCTGGTCATATTCCGTCTTCAGGTACATAGTAAGGGACGAGGTACTGGCGTGGCTTGAGGCTCCAATTCGAAATTTCCGCTTCCGACCGCCGCGCCGGTCACTGAGGAATGAATGACATAAGAAGCAGAATTCTCAAGGGACGTGCGGTTCTGGCTGGGTTTCTTTCCAGCACTTTCTCGAGACTCAGCGTCCAATTTGGAAGCTTGAACTGCCAAAGGATCGCAGAGGCCGGGTTGGCACTGACTTCATTCTATACAACGCTACGCGGATTCCATATCGCTTCCGAGGCGCGCGATTAGCTCCCATCCCCGCCACGCCATTAGTTTTGTGAGGGGGCATATTCTCGATCCAATGGAAGCGGAAATCACATCCGCACATCAATGAAGCGAGCAGCGGATTAGCATCAGACTTTTACTGGTGGTCCGGGGGAACCACTCTACCGAATAACGACGAAACGGCTACAACTCGCGTCATCGAAATCATGGGATGCGCGGAAAAGACGTCACATGGGGGAGACGTCGAATGTGGCGATTGGCTCTTCATTCATATATTTTTTGTGCGATTTCATGAATAACTGCTCGCTCGGAAGGCAATCTCACTTGTTCGTCCACCAGTCGGACAGGCCTTCATTCTCTCCGGAAAGGAATGTTTGCCCTCCTACCCAATAGTAGGCTTATGGCGAAGGGACTCATGACATTCCTCAAGAGGCTACCTACGTTTCCTTGAAGAGTCTGTGAAGCGATGAGAACGAGGTCGAGACTGTCGGAACAAAGTGATTAAGCTCTAGCTGTAATCCGTTGGCCGCTGGTCGCGTCTCGCTGATCACGGGCTCCCGACCGTCAGAGCCATCGACTGGGGTGTGCATGTCGTCGAAAGGCTTCGCGGCGACCACCTCAACTCCGGAATCTCGCGGCCCACGTCCAACGCTCGTCCATGGACCTTATCAGGAATGATTTCGGACTTCCTTTCCCATGCGGGAGTCGGGCATACGGAAGCTGGGGATCAAGTCTGAGTCGGCTCGAACGGCGAAATCATGTTTCTTGGTTCACCTGACTTAGACCCCTCCCCGAGAACTCTCTCCCCTCGAACGATCGGAACCTCGTAAGAATTATGAGCATCCCCCCATGAGTGATCTGTGTGCTGAGGCGGGGACTGCGAACGTCGGATATTGACGCTCGCGAGAGACAACCCGCGGCATAACGTAATGTTGAGACTCATTGGCACCAGCCGGCATAGACGTACTGTGAGCATCGGCTGACCGACGCGGACCAAACACGGTAAAACTGCCTTCGATATCCGATGTCGCGTCGGAAATCGTCGTGACCTGATCATCCGAAGGAAAACTGATCAGAGATTGATCTACCATATCCATTCCAGGGATTGCCCAACAGACATGTCTCCCGACAGTTAGGGCTCAACCGATTCGCGTGAATCTGAATCTGACTAATGACAATGACCATTGAACGCAGACTCGTACTCTCCTCGACGAGAGTTCGCGATCTCTGCTCGGCATCGATTTTCGAGTCCCAGCGCCGGGCTCTGAGTCCGGAACCACATGAGCTCTGTATGAAACGAGTCGTATCTACGAAGTACGGCCTTATAAGAATGAACCCAGGGTCGACAGTCTCCTGGGTACCTTTCCGAGATCGATCGATCTTCCGGCGAGGATGATATTCCTCCGATGAGCCTCGTCGGCGATTCGAAAATGCCTTGAAGGACGCGGCGTGTTTCTATCTATAATCTAAAAATGAAAGGTCCTGGGCTCTCGAAATTCAGGGCTGGGCAAAGAGAAGTCGATCAAGCTGGGTAAAATAAGTCCAGAGGGAAGAGGACGCGTCTTTATTGTCAATCTAAAGAAAAACGGTGTTTGCAGGTGAAGATGGATCTCTTTCGGAGGCAGAAGAAATCGGAGGTCAGATATCGGCGCCATATACTCTTTTAGTGACGCCGCCTCAACCACTTAGTCGAATGCAACGGGAAAACGTTTGCAAGATACCAGCAGAAATCGATCTTGGAGAGGCTGCCTAATCCTGGCCGGCATCCGATCACGGGAAACCTCCAGGGGAAAAAATTATGCCAATGGGGCTCTTTTCTGTGTTTCGTTTTTTATTTTTTTCCATTTTCTCTGCTGTTATCCATCATTCGTTTCGACGTGGCATCATTGAATATCTGCTTATTTTCTATAATTATGATTATCACCAACATCGTTTCTTATAGGTCTTTTCACGTGGCCTTGCGTGCTCGAGGACAGGGGCTTCAGGGGCGCCAACGCGGCGTGGAATCACCGAAAAGTATGACATGGAAAGCAGGAGCGGTTCGCGGGCAGACAGCCAGCAGGTGGGCAACGAGCTGGATGATCCCGCTGCTGTTTCTGCGGCTCGAGCTTCCTGTTGTATGGATTAAAGTCGAAACTCGATCGGATGCACCAAAAATACATCATCGACATTTATCCTGTAGATGATCGCTGCTGCTGTTGTTTGTGTTGTTGTCCTTCGGGAGATCACGCATCGACGATGAGCTCTCACAGATCTTCGACATTTTACGGAACCGATTCTCCTACCGTGCCAACGCAGAGCTGTGTATTCGGATTCATTTGTGTCTAATCGCTAGGAATGCCGTGAACAAGTCTTACAAGCTTTTGATACGAATGCGGACTCTGCAGCTTCCCACGCAGTTTCCTTTCGAGAGACGGAAATAAGGCATCTCCGTTGAACCGGCTCTGACACCGCCTCACCGAAAAGTTCTCTCTGTACTATCATCTAGGGAAGCGTGCGGAGGGGAGACCGTTCACAGGCTTTCGTGGTCGATTTCTTCGCCCAGATCATCACCCTAATCACTAATACGGCTCGGTACAAGGTTCAGCACTATCAATTGTTCCATTATGAATTCGTCTCGCCACCGACTGTCATTCGAGATGTAGATCGAAGTCCTCAGTGATCGCTCCTAGACGTCATTCCTACTCCACATAACACCGACCCTGTCGCGACTGACATAAATGCTCTCGCAGAATAAAAGAAAACTTCGAAACGGGATTCCGCAATTGAGGGGATGCCATTTTCTGTTTATTCGACGGTTTCGAATCGAGCTTGAATTTTATTATGTCTCCCTCTCCTTCCTCCTTTCTCTCTCTATCTCTCTCGCACCGACCCCCCGCTCGCTTTCATTTATGAATGACTCGATCGTAGCGTTTCAAGCGAATGCTCAGGATTTTTCTGGCGGTTCTAGCTCCTTGCAATTCGACTGCTCGGCGAGGGACACGTGACAATCAGTCGGTCAGTGATAACTTGTGAGCGAGACAGAGAGACGATTTAGAATAGCTCCCCTGTGCGTTGAAAGGATTACGGCGACAGGATAACAACGAGGTCGGTTCTGACAGTCCGGGTCTACGAGCTCGGATTTTACTTCCGTTTGAAGCACGACACTGGGTTGAAGTAGCACTGGTGATAGCGAAGTTGACGTTTGGATGGAGCCATTGGTTCAGCGTACGAGTTCCTTCCACGGCCAAGTCCGCCTTGAATGAGAGCTTCGATGATGTTGTTCATGCGCTCGTCTTTCTGTCGAGGAGAAAATGGAGAGCTACTTTAATATGCCTCAACCGTCCGTTCGCTTTTCTTATGTTACACATATTCCTTTATGGAAATGAAGCGCCGCAGCCATTAATTATTAATTAATAGCGAAGCTATGCCTTCGTCAGTGCTCTGTGCACAGTTTTTCAGTCTCCATTTCGGATGGTAAAGGCCATTGCTTGCCCCTGGCTGTCTTTCGAGAGAGGCTTCACCGAGTTCGTCTCCCGAACACAGAATGAGACGCCTCGTTGACGGCTCCCTCAAAATCCCGAATGGTTTCATTCTCCTCTCCAGATGGTGGATAAGAAATGGATTTACGCGACTCAGAGGCACGGAACGGAGGAAGATTGCCGTGTCTCGCTGTTCTGCGGAATAGGAATATTCTCGAGAGTCGTTGACACAGACTTGAACTGCAGGCAATCACATACGAGTCCACGAGGACACATGTACGACTCACTCAAACCTTGGGCATTACGAAAGAAAGGGTTAACAGCAAACAGCGTGAGAACTGGCATCGCCGACTCACTCAAGGAATTCACGCTGGGAAGGAGCCTTCTACACGATCGATTTTCGCGCCACCAGCTCCCCTTTATGTTTTTCCGCTCTCAGTCTCGACGTCGACTCGTTCTTGCTTGGAACGAGAGGTATACTTCACTTAGTGATTTAGAACTTTCATGTGGACTCGTCGGCGGCGACCTATGCTCGACTCTGTAAACATCGCGTAGGGCAAACCGAATTCACTTGGAAGTGAAATCCTTTCAAGTCATATGCTCATACACTCAGGAGCTCTATCGACTTCTCGTGACGATCCATGGGAACCCCTGCGGAGATTCCCGCTCCGATGTTGAATGTGAGGAAGTTCGTGTAATTCAAGTCGCTCGTGAGAGTATACGTCGAGTTTGAGAGCTTTGAAAACGAATCGATTTTTTGTCTGCCTCGGAGGATGACTGCTCGGCTCAGCGGTATAGCAGATACGAGACGAGGCATGGGGGACCCAAGGCAGTTTTCGAGGTAGCTGATCGACTTTCCCCCGTACCGAGCTCCTCAATGTCATATATTGTGTATCGATGTACCTTTCGAGTCGGAGCGAACTTCATTATTCGAAAGAAGGTGCTCTGATCATGGCAGTAATTTGAATGAGGATTTTATGAGCGAAACGTCATAGTAAGTCGGAGAAGACGCCGGCTTTCAAACCGCTCAGCCCCTAATTCTTGTTAGGCGAGCTTTTATGAAACCGCGGGCAGGAATCTCCATTCAGCGAAGCACCCTTTGTTGATGGACTCGTCGAAAGTTCTGGGGTTCCAGAATGGAACGAAATTAATCATTGCGCTCCAGCTTACGTCAACGCTTACGTAAAATTTCGTCTAAGCATCGATCTCTTCTGTCGTGCGACGCGTAACTCTTAAAGCGCATGGGTGACGGTGCGACGTCTCTCTCGGGCAATCGGGAGTTATCCAGGTAGTTGTGCGCACCCATCCCTCGTAATTGTACGGGGCTAATACTGCTGAGAAACGTCAGAAGGATTTTGTGAGCATTCGGCATCGGTACTCAGCGCTAAGGAAATCTCGAGTACGTAGATTAGCTACGCGGCCGGATATACTGCTCTGGATTGCCTCGTAACGAGAGGTGGATGCAGCATAAGGCTGACCCGGAACAATCCTGCTCAAGTGGATGAGTGCCCTCCAGATGGGAATCCATCAACGATCTAGTGCCTACCTGGGAGAGATTGCGCAAATCAGACTCCTAGGTTCTAGACCGGCCGAGACTCTGATTCATAGGCCCCTCGACTGGTTCATGTAATTCGGAATGACGATGCCTCCTTGTCCGAATCAAGGGATGGAGAGGAGAGAGGTGTAGGAGACGCGAATAGGAGAAATCGTGCAAAACATCCCGCAATGTCCAAAGAGACGTCGAGGGTCAATGTCGGAGATTCTCCGAGGCCGACTCGAGCGCCAGGGGTTGCTAAACGCGGGCTCGAATCTGGATGCTCATCAGGTACCGATAGGAAATTCGTGTGGAGTCTTCCTCTGTTGAAGCGTCGGATATGATCGAATGATCGAGAAGAATATGATTTCACTAATTCGAGTTTGGGCGGCGGTTGACGTAAGCAACAAGAGCGCCAGACTGGAATCGATTGTGAATTCTAGGGCAGGACTGTTTCGGTAGCCGGTATTGTGCTTCCGCATCTTTTCATACAGACAGAACGCTGCTCGAAGAGTGGGTGTCGCGATGATTCATTGTCAAGCGGCTATTCGGCCGACTAGCCGATTGATAAATATAGGTGGGCTGGAAAACCCCGTACATGCATGGACGGTGAGGCACTCCGGACTTTCGCCATAAGTATTTGTTCGGGGCGGGAAGTCGTCAAGTCTTTGTTCCCGACACGTAACTGCCATTTCCGACGCTCCTGCGCTGTTCGGATAGAGCTGACTAGAAGGAGGATTCCGCCGATTGAATGCTAGCTGTCGTTATGGCTTTTGTTTATGTGTCAAAGAGGCTCTGACACTGATCTCGCAACCTTCGGAGAGGTAATCCACCCATCTAGACAAGTTGTTGCACAACGTACGCCGGCCGTCTCAATGATGTCACCAGTTATCACGTGAAATATCACTTCTGGCGGCGTCAATTTCTGAAACGACATCTCATATCTGCCAGATTACGAAATCGGACTCCTTGAGCTTCCAGTGAGGGAGAACGATTCAGCTTCGGATTATAGATTCGTCGTCCTCGAACAAATCACTCCAGGCGGCGTCCGCTACTCGAATGACTGTCCCTATCCAGTTTGGTCCCATTGTCCCATGATTTGTGTCATTTAGAAGAATAGATCCGAATGGAAAGGTCGATCCCAATAATTGGGACCGCATCATGAGGCAACTCCATATCTGGGACAGATCTCAAGTCCGGAGACGGAGTCTCCCCGATCGAGAGGAGCCGATTGAGGTCTTCGCGCATGGAAGCCCCCTCGCTGAAGTAGTCCACGTGACCAACAGTTTTCGCATACGGAAAAATTTGAATCGGGACAGTGAGCACATGTTCGCATTCGCGCACGCCTCCGGAAGGTCGTTGAGAGAGGTGTTGATTTTTTTAATTTCGCTCTTGAATGCGGCGTGTCACACGTGATCGAGATTCAGAATAAACGGCAGAAATAGCTGCGAGGAACGTGAGTTCTTCGAGGCCGCACTCGTTGTGGGCGAGATTTCTGTAATTCGCAAGCAGTGTGAAAGCATATTGTCTGCAAAGACACTGCGAGACGAAAAACTACAGGAAGCTCTCAGAGGGCCTGTCATTTTTGTAAGACCGTCATTACTTCTGTAATTCTTGCATGTTTCTCGACATAGCGAGCTGCCTCTCCCGTCGGGTTTGCCATTTCTCGTAGAGGCCTCGCTGCGAACGCCTAATTAATACTCAAGTAATGTTTGTAATGGATATTTGTCGTGCGAGACGTGGGTACTCGAGCGCGTGGGGGAGTTTTTCTCCGTTAAATTCTATGTAGATCCATTCTTCGCTCGACTGTACCGCTGATAAGAACCCCGCCCACGGGAAAAATCGAGCCCTAAACGAGCCTTTCTGGCGCTCGGGAACCGCGGCTCCCGACGATCGTAGACTGACCGATAATATCGACCCAGTCTTCCCAACATCCCGAAGACGAATACCGATAATTGGGAAACAACGATTCTAGGCGGGGAACTTCTTTCAAGGGGGCAAGGTGGTCGAAAGTTCTCGGAGCTTCGAAACTTCACGAGCGAGAGCAGAACCTCTAGAAGTTCTGCTCCGTCCCCGACATACAGGACACTCTCGAATGCGGGGCAATCAAATTTCGTCTCGAAAGTGATCCACCGTTTCCCTGCTTAATATGGAAAGAATACTTTGAATGCTTATCTGTCTGCTTCTCAGATGGCGTGTAATTACGGCTCTCATTTCACATTTGCGGTCGACCATATCCATGTCCCACCACGAAGAGTTCAAGGGTGAAAGTCGGAGGAATACGATACAACCACCCTCCAACGGGAGCGCTTATCAAGCTTGATATCGAGTTACAAGATCTGAGCAAGGTCTTGTGCTTGACCTCGGATCCTCGTCTGACAGATGCATGACCCAACCCGATGGTTATGTCCTCTGTTAGACGGCGACTCTAATCCTGCGCTCATCATTCTCTGGAGAAGTCCATCGAAGATCATCAGGTGTCTCAGGCTCTCTCGTCGAATATTCCGATTCGTCACCCTCCTGGTCGACTCATTTCAAGGAAAGGGATCAGACAATCCATTCGTTCCTGCGACGTATCCGTCAACACCTCGCCCGTCACTCACAACACCAGCGCATATTATTCCTTTTACTAAACAGTCAAGGACCAGTTCAACTTCTCAAGCTTCACGACTCCTCGCCGAGAGCAATCTTGAAGTTGGAACGGCAAGTTTACGACCGCTCAGTCGAATCGGATGAGTGTTGTAAAATGAGAAAACTCACCGGCGCTTGGAAGCCGTAGAAAGCTCTGATATCTTGAAGTCCTCCAGCCGGCTCGGCATCAGCAGAACACGCCAGGAACACGATCGCGACGAACGCGATCAGTCCGCAGGTTCTCAGCATTGTCGAAGAGTTCATCGCGGAAATTTCGAGCCTCAGGATCCTCCTCCGAAGTCCTGGAAAGATGCGGGAAGCAGAAAGTGCACGAGACAACTTGTTGATCGTGCGAAGACGTCGTGCTTTTATAGAAACACCCCACGAGTCTAACCAATAACAGACCCGCGGGCGGTCTCAGGGTGAGGGTCTCCTCCGAGGCGGTGACGCAAAATCCGGAGGAGGGCACGTCGAAGCCGGCTTTTACTACTCCACCGCGTTTATCCTCCCTGTGTCGGGGGAGAGAAAACTCGCGACCTTCTTTTCCTTGTTTATAGGTGATTTATAGGTCAATCAGAGAATTACACGTGGCCACTAGGCGATTATTATCGATCGATGAAGCTCAAAATATCTCTGACGGAGGGAGCGGGCGATCCATCTCCCGGGAGGGCCGATCCTCGCTCGAGTCGGGACAAGGCGCGTCGACTTCTCCCCGATGTGTGAGTTCGCACCGGGACCGCAGAGCTCCCCAGGTCCAATTGACCAGCTCGTAATGCGTATGGAGGGTTCTTTTTTTGACGTCAAAACCTCGTCGAGTTCATCGAGCATACAGACCGAGGCTACTCGGTCCTTCGCTTCTCTACGGAGTTCGGAACTTGTCGCTCCACAGCTTCGTGAAGTCCGAACGGAGATAATCGAAGGCGCTTCTAGGTTAAGGAAAACTATAACCTGCGACTACTTTGATTCGAAGCTCGGAACTCACCTACTGCGAGTCTCGAACGAATTGGGGTCAACATGCTTCAGCCGCTCTTATCATAACTCCCGAGATTTCAAGGCAGGGGATATTCAAGAGCTATTCGTATCATTGCGCGATTTTCCTCGATTTCGTCCCTCTACCGGGAGGTTCGACGTAGGAGAAAGAAACAAAAGATATGGGACTATGACGCGTGAGAGGGATTCGAATTGAGTCAAGGACGTATTACCGTTCGAGACGGTCTGAAGAGCGAAATCGTTCTCGAATGGGGCTAGGTGGGAGGTCGAATGTGCACTCCCTCCTCTGGCCTCGCGGAGTATTGAAGTCGGTGGATTGATTCTGTTCACGAAGCGATTTTTTTTCCAAGACTCCTCGTCATGATTGCCTATCAGCGGGAGCTTCAGGAGTGTGACCGCTGGACATACTGGTTCCATGATGACGCCCAGCTCGGAGCAAGCTCGCCTTCTATGCATGGTTACCTCCTAAGAATGATGGCTGCTAGAAAAACAGTCTTCAGAAACACGAGGATCCGCTCGGAATTGTTTCCGGATCTAGCGAAGTACCGTTCCATTACTTATGTAGGTGCACATCCGAGAAGATCGGAAGGTAGACGGACATCCCCAATGAAAGGGAGAGGAAATCTGTTATAGACGGGCACTCCTCAGAAGGGCACCTGTAATCATGTTTCGGAAGCCTGCGTTGTCTATTTCTGGAATTCGGATCCTAGGGGCTCGGGAGTCGCCTACATTGCTCTCTCGACTTTGCGTTCACGGACTGAGTCATATGACTCGAGAATGCTATAGACTATATTCTATACTAATTCTGAACCACGCTAATAATCATGTATAGTGCCGATTAGTGATGCGAAGATGATGGGAAAGAGAAGAGGCTTCGTTCTCCGGCTTCCAATGGAAAACACACGAGAGAACCCTCCAGTCGAAGGTCGAGAGTCAGGAAATCGTAGAATAGACGGGCACCCTTGATTAGAACGGCTCCCTCTGACAGGCAGACAGGGTGTGAGGAGCTTGGGGAATAGACTCGCGAGCCCCCGGGGAATCGGTATATCGCGCGAAACTGACAGCAGCGATCGAGATTTCAAGGAGCTGAGTGTGAATATCGAAGACAGTTCTCGGGGTACAACTAAATTCAACCCAGGTATTCGGGAGGCACTTTGATTCAAGCCAGGGAGTCAGGAGCAGTTTCGATTATGAGCGTTCTCATGCTTAATGAACCGGTGGGAGAATTACTCATTGAGGGATGAGTTTTTTTCACGCAGCCTCAACGGTCGTATCATCGAGACCACCTGTGTGTGCACAAGTGTTCCCTTTTTCTGGCAGGAGCGAGCTATCCCAGCGCTAGAGGAGCGACTCCTCGCACATCCTGCAAAGTCTCACCATTCCGAAGACGGACCCCTCCATCGAGGATGAATTCACGCCTGCAAGTTACGTACGGAAGCGGAGCTGTAGGATCGGATCGTATGCATGATCGAGAGGAAGGAGACGTAATCCAAGCTTTTCCATTCCGAAAAAAATTCTTACTCCAGTCCTGGTCAAGGCTCTACAAGGAAACCGACGGGTCTTTTCGAGAATTCGACTTCTTCGCTCTGATTGATGCTCTTCCCGAGGGAAGAAAACGAAATCGTGTTCGGCTGCACTCTCGGATGAGGACGGGCTCGTTCCGAGGATTGTCCACGGAAATTATGGCGGTAGCCGTACAGACTCACAATAGATATCCGGGAAAGCGCCTAGCATCCTGTCAGCCTGCCGTAGACGATTGCCAATCCTTGGCTCCTAGGACAATGATTCGCGAAGAATACTGATTTCCCTACGCACCGTCAGAATCAATCGGTGCGGAGCTCTTCAAGAAGGTTTTCGAAAGCGTGATGAGAAGTTTATTTCTTGTGTCGCCCGCTCTCTCTCGCCGGCTCCATGAATGCTTGTCTGGAGTAATTTCTATTGTTGGTGAATCTGCTCGTGGCTGACGGTTCGAGTCTACATGCGAAATTCTATTCGGAGAGCGCGGAAGAATGAAAAGCTCGTTACGTGTCCGGAGACGTTCGCCTATTTGCGCACGTTGAGATGATGTTATTCCTCGTTCTTCCTCCTCATGGAGGGACCTCATTCATTTTCGCACACGTCAGGCTCCATTTATTTCTGATTTCGTTTGACGTTATTTCTATACCTCGCTCACGAACTCCTCGGATGACGTACCCTTCTCCACCTCCATGACCCGGGAAGGCACCTATGAGACTCATATAAGTCATTTCGCTGAACTGAAGAGTCACACGTGTTTTTTTACCTCGCGTTGACTCGGTTCGTTCATTGAGTATTCCTCAATAGGAATAGTTGATCGCTTACAGATTGTCGAATCTGGTCATGGTTGCAGCTCCCTGGTCATCTTCCGCTCGCTTCAGGCAATCAGATTTCCGAGCTATCGTTCGAGCGTGATCCTGGAATTCCTATTTTGTGGACATGGCTGAAAGTTGCGCTCGTCATGGATTCGTCCCGGACTCGATGAAGAATTATCGCAACCGCCAGCGATCGAGCAAATCGTCAAAGCATCAGACCGCTTGTCATCTTCCCCTCGGTCAAAGATCGGGGGAGTTCCAGCTCCACTTCCACCTACGGGCAGAGTCAGCTGGACAAGAGGAAGGTTTGCGACGGAGAACAGATAGCTTTCCGTGAAAAAGTCGAACTCCTACGAAAAAGGCGCCACGAGGCTCCAAATTTTCCCCTGCTCACGGAGATCCATCGGTGGCTGTATCCTCGTGATCATCTACCGGAGCCATCGGATACTTGCCCCGCACGGATCAGCCGTGACGTCGATCTCCAAAGTGGATGAGGAAAATAAGCCAACGGCGATCTCGTTCGGACCAATGGCCGCCCTTCCTAGTCAAAATGCACAGAGCGACACGCCCTGATTCGTTACGACATGGGACCGCATAGTGATCAGAATGAAATGCTTTCAATGTTTTGTCGTTTTGTAGGGGAAGCGGAGAGAGAAAACAGAGGCTAACATATGGATACCTCGGGTCTCCCACACAATGTACAGCAATCACGTTACAACTTCCAGGGGTACTGTGAGGTGAGCAGCTATTTTAAGACTACAAATCGCGTGCAAGCATCTGCTGAAGGCTATTTGGGCTGGATGTCCCATTCCGGGTCCTGCACATTTCGCCTGTCGTTCGAGTTGTCGTCCGATCGGACGACCTTTCCCAGGCCCTCAGCCGGCTAGAGGGATAGATGACAATCACGAAGCGAATCCGCATGGATGTGAGGAACGAAGCATGCTTATCCTATCAGGGTGCTCTTTTCTCGCAGAATAGTATCATCGGTGATCCGGGACTCAGCCGAAGAATATCGTCGCTCGGCGACGCCAGCGGCGGGAGGGAACGGAAAGCGGCGCGATGGGGTCAGGTAGACACGAACATTTGCGAGCTGCCGCTCAAGTTTATTAGCAGCCTCGGGTAGCACCAGATGATTAAGAATTACTGTTGATGAATCACGTGGGGAGCGGAAGGAGCCTCAAGTCCCAGGCGAGGAAGTTCCTCGCTCCGGAGGCCGAGGTTGGAGAAGCATTCTTCCAGAGAAACCCCTCCGATCTCACCCTGCGACCAGTTGCGGAAACGTCGCGACTCGATAAGCAATGACTCATTTCCTCATTTGATTCCCCATGCATCCACAATGGCATCCTGACGTCTACCGAGTGAAGACGAAATAATTCGGAATAGGGTCCCTTGGAGATCCACCAAGAAAAGGGCTCCGATTCCTATCGAATCAACCACGACTCGAATCAATGAGATGCCGCTCCGGCGGCTTTCGCCGCTGAAAACCGATTGAAACTGGGCCTCTACGTACAGCGCGAAATTGAAGCTGAAATTCCCCGACAGAGGGTCCGAGGCGTGAAATTCCGGGTCAAGAATCCGACTGGGGTGGAGAAGGCAACCCAGGCGGATCCGTGAGGGTGTCGGGAGTCTCCCCTACCCCGGGGAACCTCCGAAGGATTGAGGATCACGCGACAAGCAGGCGGGTATCGAAGGGTTGCGAAGGGGCAGAAGACGAAACTTTCTCGCAAGAGTGATCGTGATCTTCGCATACCGAAGCATTCTCATCAAACGTATTATTTCTCACATCTACTGGAGTTCTCATCGAGGCTCCCACGGAGCGGATCGTCGTCGTCAGCCATCAAAATGCCGGCGTTCATTAGGCCAGTCGCGAGCCTGCATACGAAGACGTAAGTATTCTCTTTTGAGACGGCTCTTCGTAGTCGTCTGACAGGCTGGTTTTTCCCCCGTAGTCGGTAAAAAAAGCGACTCCGATCTGGAAGCAACGACCAATGAGAGCTCGCCATGTTTGCTAACATCTTGACTCGACAGGATGTGTCCTCGGAGACGTGGAATACATATTCCAATGCTGGTGTTCCAACACGACGTTCTGACGCTAATAGTGAGCAGACTTCCTCGCCGTCCGCGGCTCTCGAAGAGTCGACGCCTTTCCCGAGGCTTGGAGCTGTTACCGATGCAACCTTGGCCTAGTCGAGGACGAAAGGAGCTACCTACTCATTTTTGTGAAGATCGAGAATTCCCCCGGATATCGAACCGGAGAGAACATTCCCGTCGCGTCGTTCCCCGGCGCGCGCCGAAGTCGTCCCTCCCTCATCACCTTCCTCTAATCGACTTATTTAATTGAATTTGTTATTGAAGACCCATCTGTGTATGGCGAGGTCTGAGAAGAAGTTTCATAACAGTGTTTCTTCGTTAAAAAATATCCGTCCCACATGGAACGAGTGATCCTATTAGTCCACACGTGACGCTTCCGAGGCAGCCTTTTCGTCTGATCTTGAGAAAATCCGAGGACACTCATCCTCACCTGGCAGGACTCCGGATCCAAACGGAGCCGTTCTCGGAAACGTCGGAGTGATGACTGCGAGTTTGATATTATCCTCCAATCACATCGATTCACCCATTCATTATTGGGTCGGATTGCCTTTTTTCCTGGATTTCGATACACACGAACACAATTTCGAGAGAATTCCAGAAAAAAATCATTCACGTGGGGGGAGGAGAGGGAGTGAGCGACTCACCATAGAGCCGATGCCGTGATTTGCTTGAGCCGGGAAACAGACAGCTATGAGACGCTCCTTCTTTATGGAAGGTGTCCAAGCTGAGTTGTTTGCCATTCACAACCTCGAAGCTCTGCGCTAACACGGCGGAGGCCGCACGCAAACTCGCCATGTGAATAGCTAGTTGATTGAATCTGTTCAGACTTTCATCGACGCGACGATCATGGCGCACATCCGCCACGCCGGCCCTTATGATCCATAAGAACCGAGCGTCCTATACGTTTATCCGGATTGTGATCTCGTCGTGGGACTTTTCCGATTTCCAAGCCCCCGGAATGGCGGTTTGGGGAGCACGCGTCCCCGAGCGCAGGATTTGATGGGGCGCAGAATGGCGATCATCGAAACTTTTACCGCAGCTGAAGCGAGGAGAGCGGCATTTCATTGGTGCTACACGATGTCGAAAAAGCGTGTGCTGTTTCGAGTGAAAGGATGATGATGAATGATGAGCAAAGGGGGCGCATCTGTTAGTGTTGCCCCCGCGCGCCATCTGAGCTAGATCCGATAGCGGAGAGCTGGGCAGGGCGTTCGAGGCTCACCGAATGTCCTCAAAGGGAAAAAGAGTCCAGCCAGCCCAGCTCGGATACATCGGGGGAGGAAGTTTGTGAAGAAGTCACGCCTCTTCCAACCGTGAAATCTGTGGAATGTTAGTCTTTGTCCGCCTGAATGTAGTCATGATATCGGATGGGTTCTCCTCAGCTCGTGTCCGACGAGTGCTGCGAGGAGTACTTTCTGACAGACGGGCTCAGTTGGACAAACATCGGGAAATTCTACACCCAAATAATCGCGATGCGTGATCGATTCCGGAACCATCCCTTCCTGAGCGACGATATTGACGCGCTCGGAACAGACTGCATCTCGAGACTGAGTAAGAAATTGGAATCCCCTCAATGTATGTTGAAAATCATGCGAGAGGGCTCCTGGACTTGAGCAGTCGTTTTCCCCAAGGCGGGGAAACGATTAATCATCTGGCGATAATTCGAAGCTCAGCGGAAGGGAAAAGTTATCCTACCCCTCCGGAGTGGATCAATATCCTCGCGCAGAGAGCAAAACCGGAGTCACCGCTGCATCGGGAAGTCCTTCCGTGTCTGCAGTTTAGACCCGCGAGCGGAAAACTTCTCGATTCTCACGTCCCCGAATCGGAAAGCAATATCGCTCGATAGTCATGACTCATGACACATTCTTGTAGGCGAAATGATCGACTTTCCTCCCTCAGGGAACAGGTCTAGGCACGAAAACACTGCGACACGAGTCCGGTGTGATTCGTGGACTTACCCAAGTGGATATAGAAAGTTTAGGAAGCGCTCGCACCCATGCCCGAGCAGGCCATGTTATGTCGACTCCTGTCGAGTCTTAACGCGCATTCGAGACAAATAAGCATTCTACCGAGCGAGAATAGTGACATAAACTAATGTTGGGTGGGAATGCTCATCGGAGTAGGCTGTTTCGCAAAAGCTACTGAGACACACCTGTCTCCGAAGTGAGCTGACAATCCTACTTAGCCGCTCAGAATTGATATAGATCTACCGGATGTATCGTGGGATCAATGAATTATTTGTCAAGGAAGCAATGACGCAACACAGCCCGCCGAGGGGGCTGTTTATGAAACACAATGAAAGGTCGGCCGGCCCCGGCGTCTCCGAAAACCTACCAAGGATCTTGTGCAGTGGATTCTAATCGTAAGTCGGATCGGAGCACATCCGGAAGAATGTTCGTTCCGGAAGTCTCTGCGATGATCCCGAACAGTTAAGTCTCCGTTTATCTGGTTGAGAGTTCCGCGCAGAGGCGATCCTCTCCACTGAGGAGCGGAGCATCATTATTTCTGGACGAAATGCCGTGGCGGCAAGACGCACATAGTCTGAATGTACAAAATGCAGATGCGAAGCATCAGATGCCCCGAGTAAATCTCCGATTATGCTCTCCCAGCCTCGTCGGTCGAAGATACATCTGAGCATGAATTCGGCGATTCCGATGATCGGTACCCGCTCGAAGGATCCTCTATGCGGTATTGAATGAACCACCGTTCTGCGGGAATCCATAGCAAACTCCCATACCACGCTAGAGGGAGGATCGTGGATCGTGAGCCGCTGCGCTGGTCAGTCTTCGGGCGGCGGCGTAATTTGAGGAACGGATTCTTTGCGCGTTAGTTGGGGACTTGGTACAATTATTCGGGTGCTGTTGATCTACAGTGACCATAAGGCTTACCAAACTGGAGATGACTAGGAAAGAATCTGGAAGGTGATGTGACTGCCGCGGGAGTTGACTCGAGCTTGGTCGGGGTCCCAGATCGGTCGAAACACGAGGCGTACCCTGCCACTCCATTGACAGACTTGCCGTACGCGGAGAGAATGAGAAGTCAGTAAGCCGTGATACCCGTCGTGTGCGAACAATGCTCCACACTTTGAGACGCGGACGGAACGCTTATTCAGCTCGATGACGCGGCAGATATAAGAATGGGAGCTAGTACTTTCCAGAGCTCCGGAATCCTCTATGTCGTGCACGTCGAGAAATCGAGAAGAACTGCGAGATGGAGCTAGCGCGGGGCCTGGGGCTCGGTGACCATCTTCTCGTCAATCATCTACAATCTATAACACCTCCGAACTTCCAGTGACAAGCTTGAGGCGGATGCGATGGGATGGTCGATCTGGAAGTCAGAGATTCTTGCTCTTTCTCGGAGCACTCTGGTAAGTCGGAGCTGGTTGTCAGTGTTGAGGAAGATACCAGTTTCCTTTTCCCAAAACAATATTCCCACTTCTTTTTATTGATCGCCAGAAGTCGGGTCCATTCCTAATGAAAGATCTCTCGAATATACAGCAGCTCGTATATCTTCCTTCCGTTCCCAAAACAATGTCCATTGCGGGCGGTTCTCGGTCTTCAAGTCGGGAATACGCGTGACTTCGTACATAAACACGGGATCGATGTCCCAGAACAGGGACGCTTCGCGGTTCGCGGGTGGATATCTAAGAATTTCCTCTAGAGAAGCTCTAAAATTTACCGGTCTAGATAAGTCGAATCGCTAAAAAATCATCCATCGGAAATCTTAGCTCTACTGATTTGGTATATCGCAGTCCTACTCGGTACCTATGATATCGCATTTGTTCCCCGAGAGCATCACCCCAAGTTTGACGTAAGTCCGCGGGCAATGGAGATTAAAGCTGGCAGTGTTCGAGTCGTTTATTACTTTGTACTCGAATTCGCAGGGATGCTTTGAATGCCGAACAGAATGTATCGGCCTCCGCCCCATGAACTGCCTGATTCGCATGATCGAGAGACCACGATCATCGCTTAGCTCTTGCGACTTTGGTTTTCACGGATGAATCCCGACCCAACATATTGGGAATATATTCCCGAGGAGCGGAAAATCAAGCGGCTCGTGGCGTCTAGCTATCCGAGCGGACGACCGCAGCGTATTCCACCTCCTCCAAAAACAAAACACATTATTCAGGGGTATTTACAGAAAAAAACGCCAAACGCTCGAGAGCTGTCGGCCGGTTGGTTGTTTGGTCGGTCGGATCCATAATTTGAAGAAATGTCGTCAGGTGATGAATGTATGCTTACGTAAGAGATATAGACGAGGAGTAAATGAAAGACGGATTCTTCTATTTCCCGCGGCGCTTCGTGAACGATGACTTAAGGAAACTATGCGCTTCTAGGTTGATTCGCTTCTGATGGAGGTTTGCTCGCCCCTTCGGAAGGCTGATTCGCTCTGGCCGCGGCTCTCTCCGGGGCCCAATAATCCGTGTTGGGTTGTGCGGGACCTTCTCGGTCGATCAGCGGCTGGACGTGATTATCATAATGCTTTTGCAAAGCTTCCAATTGAGCAGCTTGAAGGAGGATATGTTCTCGTTTACTTCTCATCAATTCGACGCAGGTCTCGGGTTTCATTCGATACCTCCGCATTAGGTAGCAGCCGACCAGCGTCGCCGAACGAGTTCGACCAGCCTTGCAGTGCACGTAAACCGAGCTACCGTCCAAGTACTTCTGTTTGATGAACTCGACGCCTCTGACGAGCTTGTCCTCGGTCGGAGCTTCGAATATGTCGGTTGTCGAAAGCTGCAGAAAATCCGCGCCTTTCTCGCTCCACTCGTCTTTTGTCGGAACCCAGAAGAGGAGCTCGAAGTCTTCGTTCATCGAGACGACACCGCGGACGTTCTCTTTCTCTACGAGGTCTTCGATGATACTCCGAAACGGGAGCGCACCCAGAATGGCGGTGTCATCCACGCGGTCGTACCAATTCCGATCGGTGAAGCGTTCCATGACGATGTTATACACCAGAGATGGGTAAAATGTAAGGCGCGAGAACATGTTTGCAGTCGGTCTCCTTATCACAATGGATGCACAAACGAAAAGATTATTCCGGCACAAGTCCGCGAGGGTTCGATGGCACGGGTCGTCGAGATCGAGCCAGCACCAGCAGCGGCTACCGGTGAATGAATGTTGAAGCACTTCTTGGATCAGCCGCTCGTGCGACGAGCAAGGAGACCGATCGGATGGTGCCTTCGACAATCGAATCGCAAGTAGGTGTGCGATTCGGCCTTCATGCGAATACGCTCTGAGCGGCCTTACTCCACACGCTTGTATGCTCAAGGTAGCGTAAAATCGTACGTATGTCGGGTTTATAGGAGGCGCGTACAAGAAAACGCGGGGAAAAAATCCCCCCCTGTAAATGGAATCTGGCAACCGGAGACTGAACGTGATGATATTGCTGATCTGTGCTGGGAGTTCGAGCGGTATCGGGCGGTCCTGTTTTCCGGTGCTTCTGTCACTGACACCGTGATCCCGGGGCAAAGTACCGTGGCCCCGGAGAGTGGAAAAGGGCGCAGCTCAAAGCTACCAGCTATTTCGTCTTGCTCATGATGACTCTGCGAGAATCATCAAGAGAATTACCGACGCTGAGATTTTGCGAAGATTGGCTCATAGAAAATTCTATATATCTCCTTCCACAAATCAGAGAGAGACGTGCAGATCTCACAAGATCCAGGTACTCTTGAATTTCATTCCCCGGTAAGCTGCAGCGAGGCTGGGCCCTGGCAGCTCTCAGCTGAAGAACAGGGGCAGAGCGAAAGAAGTTTGGGAGTCCGTAGCCTAGACCAGTACGGCTTTGTGTGGAATTCTCCCCGTCCTCGTCCCGACGTCAAAATTGGTCAATGTGGAGTCGGTTCTGGTCGAGTTTCGCTGGTACGCCGAGAGCTCATAATTGTCGAATCTCACTAGTCTGATTTCTGTATCAAGAATGACGCAACGCTGCACAAATAATTCACGCTCGGCTTTTCGAAGGACTAGAGGTCGCAGTATGCGTACTCCGGGCTCCTCGAAGTTGAGTAGTCGCTCGGGTAGCGACAGTCGTGCCGCGAGAATGAGGCTGAACCTGCGAGATCCTGCTCATGGCTGTATTTTCGGTGGAGCTTCAGAATGAGCAGTTAGGCATCACAGAAATGGTTGCAACCTATCTATGAGGCCGTCGGCCGCACCGGAGCGATGCGTCTCTAAGGGCCTCAATTCGATTAAAGAAGGATGGGGAATCGATCAGCCCCGGGACTTGTGCGAGAGCTTGGCTCGACCGCCCAGTGTAGAAACAACTGTGACATAGAGCATTAGAAGAGCTCCAGGATAGGTTTGCGATGCCAGATCCGTGTCGTATATCCCGTCCTTGTCACTCGAAGAGAAACGGATGGCGAAAAACACATTTTCACGTTTCTTTCTTTTATAGGAAAAAATCCAAAAAAATACAATTTATTGTAAACCGCTATCGTAATCTATAAAGTCTAAGCGTAAATGTCTCTAGTTGTAGTTTTTTCCCCCTCCCTCCCTCTGTATATGAATATATTTGCTGCTTCTTTCATCGTCATCAGCTTTCGCAGAGCTCCCGACTCGTAAGCATACATCTGCAAAACGCTCATCGATTGACCGCGTTCGCCCAATGAGCGGTCTTGAAAAAAAGTTTCATTCTCGTCTTTCGATGGTGTCAATCTACCAATCTGAGATTTCCAAATCATGAGCACGTAAGCCAAAAAACAAATCGGAATCGATGGTTACTCTCTCATCGAATGAATTAGAGTATCGGGATGACCAAAATAGCGTAGGTTGAAACAAATATTTCCTCCACTCAAAAATGACGCCAGGTTTTTCGGAAATTTCAGAAATCGGGCTAACAGATCCACCATTTGACATTGTTCGTGATTGTGATCGTTCAGTGTAAACTGATGGACCAATATTCACCAGTTCGCTTCCTAAGGGGAACCACGGCGCCAAGAAGATAGGTGCAGAAGATGCGAGGCATCGCAAGTCTTCCAGAGGTACCGGTACTTATGCTACCATTACTATGCAAATCGTAACACGAACGGAGTTCGAAAGGTTGGACTTTTCTTCAGGGTTTCGGTTGTGCTTTGTTCTGTTCGTTTGTTTGTTTGTTTCTTTCTTCCGGTTGAACGTATTAGATCTCCTCTCATCCACTGTCTAGACTTCGAGCGACGTTTCGTCCTTGGTCTGAACATATTGAAGATTCGGAGTATGCTGCGCCCAACCATTATTCCGTCGAAGCCGCCAATCGTCCTCACAGCTCATCAGGCACTCCTCACAGGTTCCTGTCGGATCTCCCCATCTACGAACGTCTCCTCCTCGATATTGACGACTTCAATGATCATGGTGCTGAGCTCTAAATCATGAAGGATGTCGCGATTTTCCAAGTGCGCTCTCTCTTTTCCTCTATATAATTCCGTGAATCCTCCGTGAATCTAAGAAGAAACGACGGGCTCTCTCATGATGTCATTTGACTCGTGCTTTGGATCTGCGTTCTTGTTCGATTTCGCGATCTCTTCGATGATGCTGCCTTCAATCGGCTGTTCTTCGTTCTCCGGGGTCCTCTTGGTAAACTCTACGCGCAGCGCCTCGATGTCTGCATGACTGTGAATAAGGAAACGGCGATTATCGTTCGATGATGGCTGGCCTTGATGACGATTTCAGGGAGAATATGTCAGGGAGGGGGATCATTCCCGATCAGATGCATGAAAATACGAAAAGAGATTATACGGCCTCACCTGATTCTGAAATAGATGATTCCATTGATTTTGTTGAGCCAATCGAGTACTCTCCCCATCGGGATAGGCGCGACGTTGATTGGAGGGATGACCTTGTTGGCATTCTTCGGCATGTTGGCACTATCACTGAGTTTGTTGATTTGCTTCTGCAGCTGAACGGCTTGCTGCGTCAAGTGTCGGAGGAACTCCGCACTTTCCTTCGTGTTGTCTTGATTGTCTCCCAGGATCGCCCGGTAGATGGCGTACGTCTCCTTCTCGTTCTTCAGTCCGCTCCGGAAATCTCCCAGGCACGACTGTGCTTCGGCGACCAGATGGTAACTCAGCGCGGTCTTCAGCGACTTTTCCCCATGGAACTGGATGTTGAGACGCAGCGAATGCTCTAGGAAGCTCAGCGCGAGATCGTATTGCTGCATAGCGAACAGGACGAGTCCGATGTTTGCGTCCAGGGTCGCCATGTCGGGATGTTTCTCGCCGCACACCGTCAACATGAGGTATCGCATCCTGTAGAGGACCTTCAACGTCGTTGAGACCTGTCCGCAAGCGAAGAGATACAACGCGAGACTCCCGTACTCCAGGATCGTGTGTGGGCTGTCGAACCCGTTGACTCGCTCCGACATGATGACGGCGCGTCGCTGATGCAGCAGCGCGGTTTCGTGCTCGTTGAGAATGTACGACAGTCTAGCGAGGAACTTCATGCATTGCACGATTTCCGGATGCGACGGGCCGTACACGTGATTCATGAGCTGCAACGATTCGGCTATGAGGTCGAAGGCGTCCGTCAGAGAGCCTTGTTGAATTCTGGTTTGAGCATCCAAATAGCGCCGGAACGCGTCGCTCGCGCGGGGCTCCATGTGACGCACGACGGGGAAGAGACTCGCGACGTCCTGGTCCGTGAACGCGCCGGTGCTGAGACTCGATTGTAGATGATAGTTCTTCTGTCGGAGCTGAATTCCGGTCTTGAGACAGAAACCTCTCATCAGACCGTACCGGTGAACGTCGTACTGTTGATAAGTGGCATCGAAGCAGTCACCGTCCAGCTCGTAATCGAAGTACTCACGAGCCTCCCGTTTCACGAGATCGAACAGAGTTTTCGGTGTGATCGTTGTCCAATCCAGGGTGGCATGCACCACGGGCGTGGCTGAGCCGGTCGAAGTTGGCGACTGGCTGCCCTTCGCTCTCCGGTTCCGGTTCTTCGAGGCCTTGCTCGCGCCGATCACGCAAGCCGGAAGGAAGTTCGCCGGGAGCTTGGTACTCAACAGGCAGTTGAGAAAATGCGATACGGCCTCCGCGACCATATGAGCCTCGGCCGACTGCATGTAACTGACGTATATGTGTTTAGCTGCACGGCACAGAATCTCCTGTATGCAGATGCAGTGCAAGTAGCTTAGTCTGGGTTCGGCTGCGACCAGCTTCGTGAGCAGGCCCAGATATCGCATATTGATTCCCTTGCTGTGCATGGCGCCTGTCAGCATATAGCCGTCCATTATCGAAGCTCCGTGTTCTTTGGTCTCCTTGACGAGATGGGGGATTTGGGTGTTGACGAGGAAGTCGGCTGCTTCAACGATCAGCTGACGCTCTTTCGCTAGAGTTGGACTTTCAACTAATTCTATGTTTTCGAGAAAGGCATCCGAGTTGAAAGCAATGTGGAACTTGTCGTCCCTGAGCGAGTTGACGGCTTCGGTGGCTTTCTTGAGGATTTCGGATTTCCGCTCACTTTCCTTCGTCTCATCTTCCGGTGACTTGGTTTCCACCGAATCGTTTCCTTTTTCCACAGCGGGAGTTGCGGACTCGGATTCTTTACCGTTGGAGATTTCTTTCGCTTGCTTCGCGTCCTTGTCCGCTCTCTCGAGATTTTGGTACTCCATTGCGCAGCTCTTGACGAACATAACGTACTTGTGGTCTGTGAAGAGAAAATCAACGATGAATACTCGTTCTCGTGTCCGCTCAGTGGCAACGACATGGAGGTGAGAATCGCATCTAATCTGAGCCCTTCAAAGATGCCCGGCTCAGACCGTAGATCCTTCCGGCATTCCACACGTATGCGGTGAGGGTGACTTACCAACAAAATGTTCGATGAGTTCCTGACGGAGAGAAGACAGCTTATGCCTCTGCTCCTTCGGGAAGCCCAGATCCTTAAGCTCACTGGGCAGCTCCGCGAAGTTCTGTTTCAAGTAGTTGACGTCGGGTGGGAAGGTTCTCGAGAGGTCCAGGATATAATGTCTCGAATCGTCTCCGACGATTCCTTTGCATTCAATCGAAGAGTACAGTTTGACCGCTTCGTGTTTCGAGTCGTAGACCCCGTGGGGTTGAACGCGAACCGTCTCCGCCGCTTGCGACAGCAATTCCACGTATTTTTCATGGGTGACGATTGTTTTCCCACCGTCGATCGAGCCATAAACGACAGATTGGTCCTGCTCTTTGTCCAAGATCCCAGGGATGATGGACTGAGCCATCACGCGATACCCTCGGTACTCTATAACAACCGTTCCCAACGTATGTAGGCCATCGACATCGGCGCTGAAGTAAGCCTGGACGCCTTTCAGATCGTTTATCAGGGCTACGTGAGCGGCGGCATCTCCTCCGAAATCCTTGTAGTGGTCTCGGACGTCGAATCCCATCGAGAAAAAAATGTTGTTCCAAATGAACATCTGTGATCGGAAGTCCTCCCCGGGATTTAACGCTAAAACATTCCCGTCGACGACAGCCATCGCACCGCGCGTCGCCGCCGAAACGAAATCTCCGTGGACTTTGAATAGGGCACGCTCGCGCTGAATTCTTTGGCGCAGATCGGTTTTAGGCAATTCCTTGCTCGACTGAAGTTCGTCGTTCCAATCACGAGTCTGACCGGGTATCTGTTCCTCGTATCCGAGCTTGAATGAAGATGCATCTTCGGCGCGTATCGCGTCTAAAGTGTGCTCGATAGTCGGTGCGAGCCACGAGTACACTTGGTATGGCGTTATCACGCGCTCGAGGTCGTTACGGGAGCAGCGGAACTTCTGAATCAACGCGAAGTTTTTCCTGGAAGGGGGAGAAGCATGAGGGGAAATGCTTTCCCGTCTCGGTCGAATCGGATGAATTTCCCCGAACGGATATGGGTGGGGGGGAAGGGGGGACTCACTTGAAGCCCGAACTGAGGTTATTGAGCAAGTCGACTAGCGAGTGATAAGTCTGCGAAGCTTTCCCCAACTGAGATTGTTTCCTCGGGTCGAACACTTCCTCGGTAGAACAATTCACGAAGAATCCTTTGGAGGAGGCGGTCAGGTGATAGGTTTTCTCTTCTAGTGTCGTAACGTACAGGTACAATAGGTCGCCTCGCAGCTTTCGCGGACCCGGGGGCGGGTTCCATCCGCTCAGAGTCAGAACCTTGAGCGCTTTCCTCTGGAAACAAGGAGTCGAGTTTCGTGAATTCTCTCACACGAGAATTGATTGATTTGGTGAAGGGATCGACAACGCAATACTCGCACTCACATGTTGTTCCTCGCAATCGAGCAGGAGCCCCGATAAGGGTACGTCCTTCGCGCCGGGCATGATGAAACTCGGCGGCGTGCAGTCCTCGTCTAGCCGGATGCTTTTATTGCCGTCAACCACCCTGGCGATAACGTCCCCGCCGGTGAGGATGCTGAGAAACGACGGAGAATTGAAGTCCTGTCCCGAGAATATCTCAGCGGGCGACACGCAGTTGATCATGTCCCTGATATGGCGCAGGTGTGTCTTGGCTTTGCGCTGCGTGTACGGCTCTGGAAGATCGAAAAATAAGTCTCTCTGCCACGGGAATCGGCCCCTCGCGACGAGAACGGGGGTCGGCATCGCGGATCGGTACCTCTGCCTGTACCGAGAGGATGGAATCTCGGGGACTACGCGAAAGGAGAATCAGGGAGAATTCTCCGCCGCGAGGATTTACGTATGACTATGTCTAAGGAAACCTTTCACAATCACCTTCTATGAATTTGACTATGCTCCCTTCCTTGAGACCTTCGATCGACTTCAACTCGGCGAAATTGTCCAATGTCACATTGTTGAAGGTCAAATGGAAGCATGTTCTATGACACGTGTCTTGCATATCCATCAATCGCTGATGAGTTTCTTGGACCAGCTCCTGAGGAGAAACGCAAAGCTCCACTGTTTTATCGTTGGGGAGTTCAACGATGATGTTGAAAGGCACGTCCGACATCATGTCGGCATCTAATTCAGCTTCGCCGTTCTGTTGATTTCCGGCATTCTGCTCTTGGGTGCTCGGCTCATTTGCAACGATCGGCTCGGCATCTTGTTTTTGCTCTTGTGCTTCTGGCTGACCATTCACAACATTCTGCTCGCAATCGGTCCCACCTGGAACGGAAAGACACAATCAATGTTTTAGTCAAGGCATCGACGCGGAACGGCAGAAGCAATTTACACTGACGAATAACATGCCGTGAGCACATGTTCGAGTGCGCGCACCAGATTGACAGGATCAGTCGGAGGAGAATTTCCCTCTCTCTGGTTTTCTTTCTCTCACCGGAACAGACCGCTATAGAGTGCGCATCTTGAGTCGGCTTTATCCACCAATCGGAGGACCGAGGAGCTCGGGCTTATATCGGACCGAGACAAAACGATCGGGGAAAATCTTCGAAAACATTATCGAGAAATAATTTATCCGCTGATATCGCTTCCAACTTCAAGAAATTATACATCGAAACAGGATTTTCCGGTCCTCGGGTCCTGACGGGATGCTCTCCGGACGTTCGGAATTCCGGCCTAATCAAACGCTGAAGTTATGATTGGTTCGTGCTTCGGACAATGCAACGGATTGATTGATTGCTCGTGGAAAGGAGTAAGCGAGTCATGTTTGAATATAATCTCGAGAAAGCAAAGCTCCCGAATTGTCACGAGGCATGGGGCACCTCCGATGAAGAGGCCTCCGCTGGCCGGAGAAAGAAGGTTATCTACGCGAACTTCTCGACTGAACCGCGCAGAGAAGATCTGAGAGGGTGAGAGAGATATGTTTGGATGACCAAAGGTCCGCTTGGGACAATCGTCTAGAGCGTTTCCCCGATAGTTCGACGAAAGACGTCCCTTCTACCATAAACCCGTTCAGGTCCGGATTCAAACAGCAGCTCGAACCCGTTCCGCACGCATCGGTATCGACCAATGCAGCCGGAGCGGAGCCTCGAGAACTTCCCGAGGGTTCAAATATTGCGATGTTTGATTAATTACGAGCCATGGGACTTTTCCCTTCCCAATTTCCCCCTATCAAAGGGTGCCCTGTTCTTTGATCCGAATGCCCTGATCGAAATCATGAGATCGGGGCACGGCAAGCGTCCTCTCAGGGGTCTCGCTCAAGAGATGGCACAGCTCTGATCGGACTTTTCCCAATCGTAATCGACTAACGCGGCCGCTGCGTGCCATCGATGAGCCATTAAGGACAGAAAGTTCGTCGCCCAGCTGATGGTTTCGCGTTCCCTAAGCAACGGCAATGAGAAACAAGGCATGAAGTTCGAGATTTCAATGGGGAAACTTTTCTTCCTCCGCACGCCAAATCTGATCTCGGACCGGAGAACGACTCGAAAACTTCTCAGCGGGCGATCCGGACGTCCCGGAGCCCGGTTCACATCGATGCGCGCAGTGTTCCATAACACGTGATCCCTTCTCCGAAGCCTACGAACGACTCTGCGCGATCCGGCGCTGCGACCTCTCCGGTCCAGGCGCCGCTCACGGATATACGGGAGTTTTCCTTCACCGTCCGGGCGAGAGACTCCGAATGCTTTCAGAACTTCGCATACAGCGTAGCGGGGGGAAACATCGATAGGATGCACGAAGCGACCGCGCGCAACTCACCGTTAGAGGTGACCCCGGTCTTCAGAGCGTCCTTGTCCAAGGGAAGTTTCGTGGCCTTGTCCTGACGCTTCTTCGTCATGTCTAGCCGTAGAGGGTCAGCAACGTGCAGCACGAGAATCCGCGGACAAGAAACTAACCGCGACTATAACACGTGTTTGTTGTTCAGCACACCACCGCTGTACGCAGTCGCATGAGCAGAGCAGAGATGTCTGGTCTGCTTGCTGCTGCTGCTCAATAGTCGCCGTCGGCGCCGGCTAAATGTTGAGCGAATCTTTCCCTAAAGACGGGCTGCTCGCGAGGGCCCGCGCGGATTCGGATCTCTGTCTCACCATCCATGGATCGATTTTCCTCTTTCGTTCTGCAGTGGGAGAGGCATCGGGAGGAAGCAAAGACCGTCGACGCGAGAACAATACCGAATCTGAGTCTCCAAGGGTCGGACCATCCGCTACGGCGGTGGGTCAATCCGAAAGAGAATGATCGGTAGCATGGCCGCGGGAAACTTCCTTTTTATCACAATAAATCGAAGAGACTCGTCCCGAGGAAAGTAATCAAATCATCCATCTGTGACTCCCTTGTGTCTGATTTCGGATCCTGGATGCCCTGAGGTCCTTTTGCAGCTCCGATACCCCCAACTCGCCAACAGGCATGGACCTATAAGCCCAAACAGCTGACCCCTAGTTTTCAACATGACCCCTGCTTATGTCTGAGTCCTCACACCTTGATCCTCATTGCTGAGAGAATTCAGTCGTGGATTATGGCCGATTCAACTTGCCACCATAACGTCCAGGTAGTTCCATTATCGCAGACAATGTACAACGATCCTGTGAGCGGAGCAAACGTAGGTTGGTCGAGTTTCCAGGGGCCGTCTCCGGATGATTGGTTCGTCGACCATAGCGTAAGTATGAGCGGTATCCGCCAGGACATAAGCAACACGCAGGAGATCCCTGCCCTTCCGTCAAGGCTCCCAGCAGTCTCTTTCGAGATCCGGCTTGGGGGATTTCGGAAGAACGCCGTCGATTCTTCCGAGGGGAAATATCCCCCGAGCACAGCTACAATGACAGAGCGAGAAGACGATTGGGAGAATTTCTCCTCGAAATACTGACCATCGGAAGCCCTTTGGGTTCCCGCCGTCCTCTAACGCTTCTCTGCGATCGTCAACTGATCCCCTTTGGGAAGCGGCTGCTCATGCATGCCCTATGATATCGCTCGGTGTTGCAGCTTTGTTCCGCGCGTCTCCATCGATAGCGAGTCACTGACCGGCTTCATTACGAGGGAATAAAGCATGTTAATTCGTAGAGGATAAACATCGATGTATGATACTGGCCGACGTGTTTGCCAATCCAACTACCATGGAAGGGATTCATTTATTCTCGGTGAGGACAACACTGCGTCTGTCCTGAAATGATTGTCAATCTGCCATCCGACCCGTGCTCGCGCCGAACTCATCGCTGTGACCAGTTTCTTATCAACTTCCAGCTTCGAACCGATGCGAGCCCCGTCCCGCATCGATCGATTCCGATCTGTTGGCCGTCCCCAGCATGAATCAACACGTCCTTCTCCGTCTTCGGCGACCCGAATAATTCGATGCGTGCAGCCCATCTTCTCGTTCCAAGTTACGGTCACGAGCTCCGACTCTCTCTACTGGATTCACTCGATGAAGAGGGGATCTACTGTAGCTTCATCATGAAAATCCACTGCGAGCTCGATCGACCTCTCCGCTCTCGATGAGGGCTCGCGCCAGGAGGAAGTCTGCAGACCTCTTAGAGCCGAGTTTCCTTCGAGCAGCCGGAGGCGATCCTGAAGCTGGCCGTGTTCTTGCCCCTGCATAAGTACCAGGATTTAGAGGAGGAAATATTTCGGGATACTTCCTGCAAGAAAGATCGTGCATTTTGATGGATCACCGGAGAAGATCGAGGACGATTATAATTATAGAGGTAATGGACGAAGTACGCGAGGCATGAAAGATGATTGAGAAGAGGGGGGTCGCCGTACCGATACTGCATCATCGTATGCTGGAAGCTTGTTGCTGCACATTGTGACCTGGAGAGTCAGAAGGCTTCGTAGATCCACGGGAAACCCCTCTCGTAGCCTCGGCTACGATCATCCATCTTCTGGATGCACGAGGAAAGACAGAGACTCCCAAGATAGGCGAATTCGTGAGTCGTATTAGCATACTGAAGAGAAAATGGAGCCTGCTTCCAACCCTGCTCGCAGTTCGGTCCCCATCGGCGCAGTTCGCTAATTTTTACCTATGCCCGAAATCGAGGACTTCCTCCGCTTTTTCCGGAACTGTTACAGCCTCCAGGCTAACTAGGCAAATCCGCGTGCCTGCAATCAGGTCGAAAAAAAATCTCCAGTCGTGATCAGGTCAGAGATCGATTAAGAGGAGCTTCGGTGCAGCAAGGCATTATTACTTGGCGCAAAAAAGAGTCGAGCCCATCGTTTCTCAGCCCCGTGTGAAATCGGAGCTTCCTAATCACGGCGAGATGACTGTGCTGCCTCGAGTGAGCCCCTTAAGAGTATCCTTCAAGAGTTTCTCAGGCCCACTCACCCCTTCGAATGACTCTCCCGTGAGAGGGAGCGATGTTCAAGAACTTACGAATTTCGAATTTTCGACATTTGGACGGATGCTTCCTAATCACAGGCAATTCTCGATAAGCGACCGAGCTATGGGGACCCATCTTCGCAACGGACTACGGACTCTCACTCGTATCTACTCTCTTGCAAGGCAGCGCTTCTCGACTCAAATCATCGACTCCCGTGGGAATGTTCGAAGCTGCGCTGACACCGGTGACAGGAATCAGCAGCGCGGTGTTTCCCATGCTCTCCTTCCGTATGGACCGAAATGGCGCCAACACACTGCGACGGAGCGGTTAGTTCGAATTGCGGCCTGCAAAAGTCCTCTGTCTGAAGATCAGATGTTAGATATAAGCTCGAAATCTCATATAATAGAATATGAATGCCCAGAGCTCGATGGGGTGACGAAGACTTCCGTGAGCTCTTTGGCTGCTGCCGCTGTTCGTCTGCTAGGAAAGCAATCGCTCCGGGGAGAGGGCATCGTTCAGCGCGGCGCACGTGCTCGGCCGTTCGAAAAAACAAACAAATCCTCGTGGTGTTCGCCTTGCAGGTTACTCCAACTCCTTGTCAAGTCTCTCTAGGAAGTGCAGAAAACCCGCAAAGCATAAAAAGGGGGGAATATCACAAACCATGCAGCTTCGGAGCAAGGTGCGTCAAGCCGACGACGTGGTCTGCACAGGGAGGTGCGGGGTGGCTTTGTGTGATAAAAGACCTCACATCTCGTACGACGCAAGGTGAGCGAAACAAACACCGAAATTTCGCGATAGACGCTTCAGAGAGCACCGAATCGCGTTCGAAGCTGCAGGATGAAGATCTGTCGAACCAGAGTCTTCGCGCACCGGCTCCCTTGTAGCGACACGATGACAGTGAGTGAAAATATTCCAGCACGATTTTCGTACCTTCGGGATCTATCATCCGCCAGTTCTCTCTGACATCTGGAGAACCCTTGAAGACTTTGCGGTTCCACCAGAGTTTCGTGGTCGCCATCACACCCTATGCCGGCAACAGGGTCCAGTGCTTGTCATGTTCCGTTGACGGGCGATTATTCAGATGGGACTCCCTGGATTGTTCTGTCATTTCGGAGCACCGCTTGGTTCAAGCCGACTTGAAGGTTCAGGTGAGCTACCGACTTTTCTGCAGCTCGATGGCATTCGATCGGATATAATTTATCCGTCCGTGAACCGGGCTCCTGCGCGCGGACGCCACATCGGGATCGTTTCGTCGGATTAATTTCTGAGAAAACCTGTTTGTCCATACAAACGCTTGTCGAGAGAAATGGAACGAACTGTGTTTCTGATTATTGATCATTGGCCGCAGGTTTTCGTGGCGTCCCGTCAAAGTCCCTTCATCGCCTATGTGACTCACACGAAAATCGACGGCAAGGCTCAAAACACATTGTATATTCGAAACCTCGAGGATCTCGCGGAAGCGCCGCGAGAGATCAGCAACTCTTGTTCGACGGATAGTAGTCTCTACGCGTTCGCAGCGCAGTCGGATCTGATGGCATGGACGGAGCAAGGACACGTCGCAATCATCCACTGTTCGAGCCCGGGCGTCGTCCGAAACAGTAGATGTTCTTCGAAACCGACCTGCTTGGCGGTCCATCCAACGAACGAAATTCTAGCCGTGGGTGACATTCACGGTGCCATCTATGTTCACACGGCTCCGTTCAACCAGGCCGCAATGAAACTCCATTGGCACACTTTGGCCGTGGGCGATCTACATCTGAGCTCGAACTTCCTCTACTCTGTCGGCTCTGAGGGTGTTCTAGTCAGATGGAACATCGAGAACGAAGATAGACAGTACCTTCCGAGATTGGGCTTACCGATGAAATTCATATCGGTCGCTGAGAATGAAAAATACGTGGTCTGCAGTCACTGTGATAACAGTAAGTTGGCATTCTGGGAACTATACTGAATACACTTACTTACATCGTCCTCCTTCCGTCCCTCGGTGGGAATCCATGGTTCAGAGATCGTTCCCTTCCCAGCGTTAACGGTCGTGGTTGCGCCGAACACCGTTCACCGGGTGCTACAGGGCTTGATTCAACGCAGCTTCTCTGGAGACTCACCGTCGGAGCTCGGACTCCTCTACGAGCCTTCCAGAGGCCACCTCGTGGTTTCGGGTAGACCCGGGCAGCTTCAGTTCTATGACTTGGAGCAGGACCGACAAGTCCGAGTGGTGAGTCCTTGCGCAGAGCAGTCTCCGAAGAAATCCCTCTCTCCGTTTTGATGATTAAGTGCTCGGTAGCCGGGAAGAAGTCCCAGAAATGTAGAAAGGAGTCTCCGGCGGTTCATGCCGTTAGACGATTGCGAGCTCATCCAAAGACGACGTACATATCCCCATTGGTCTCGTTGCAGGTCGACGTGACGGGAGAAAATTTCGCGACGGATTTCAAGCTCCATTACCAAATGATGAAAGGCATAAACTCCGAAATCATACTTGCGGATTTCTCGCCCGATGGGAAATACCTCGCGACCGTCGAGTTCAGGACAACACTCTCATCGACGAGTAAATTGAAGTTCTGGAAGTGGCAAGACGAGAGTGGAGAATTTGCCCTCAACACCAACGTCCTCATGCCCCATCTCAAACATCGGCTCCGAGCTTGCAAAATCGGATATTCAGACGGCCGATATTTCTGCGTTACGTCGGCGGACAGAACTTTCAAACTGTGGACTATCGTGCAAGGAGGTTAGTGGGTTTCGGAATGAATCTCTCATCTACCTAACAACATTCGTGCGGAATAATAGCTACGATCATGGTTATGGTTGTGAGTAGTAAGCGTTGTGATACGAATGTCCACGTCCTCTCTTGTTCGGTACTTTGAGTTTTTTTCAGAAAATATCCGCTTTCCAGATTTTTCAAGGATATAGTACTGGTGTCGATTGAAAATCGAAAATGCGCCATTTTTCGCTCTTGGCACCGAGATCTCGGCGGTGCGAGCGATGTGTTGGATCGGAAATTTCTTCCTCAACAAATCCTCTTTCAACGATCCTGTACGGATATAGAAATTCGTCAGAATGTTGCTCGTTGCTTGAATAGTTTGAGAGTTTCTTGGGACGGGCCGAAAGCCTGGAATGAATTTATCTGTGATCATTATCGGTGATTCTCGCTCATGCCTAATAATATCCGTTTCTAGAAAAGCGACCCTGGTCCTTAGGCATTCATCACTAACCACTCTTCGGGTCGCAGCCTCCCGCTTCTCGAATGTTTTCTCTGTATCCTCCCATCCCGTCTCACGAACCCGATTCCAGTTTCTTGGCAAGTTCATCCGTTTCGGAGTGATGAGAGTCTCACTTCATAACGATGAGCGGTATGGCCTCTTTTTGACCCCCACATCTTGAACGATGCGGGTGTTTTAATCCGTACTTCGTTCGGCGGGCTCGCGAAGGTAACGTTTCCGCACAGGCTGAAGCCTACAGTGCGCTGCCTCGGCTGTTTGTAAGCCGCAAAGGATCATGTCTCTCTCCTTCCAAGCTCTAAAGAACACAGGGCTTGATTAGGATTTCGTCGACTTCGACCGAGTGTCGGTCGAGTTCTCTTTGATACGTCTCTCCGCCCTACCATTGACGGATGTGAATTTTGCGCTTGGATCTCCCCCGTATTCCATGGGGATATCCGATTTCCCTTCGAAGGACTCGAGAATCAACCCCCTAAGAACCTGCTCGATTTACGCATTTTTCAGGTGATCAAATTTTCTGGCAATCGGTGGAAGAACGCGATTTCCGACGATATCCGTGTGATAAGATTGCGCTATCCGAGGACCACACGATTCTTGCGGTTTCTTTCGGTCATATGATCACACTGTGGCAAATACAGAACGGCGACAGTCTGCGTTACCTCGGCGAGCTGTGCGTCCAAGGCGACAAATCCTGCATAACTTCGCTCGAGTTCTGTCGAGCATCCCACAGCAATATTCTTCTTGTCGCTAATCACAAGAGTGTATCGGCGTGGGATGTCTTCTCTCTTGATCGGATATGGACCTCGCCGACCCTGATCAAACAGTTGATCGTCGATCCTCAATCGGAGAACGTCGCTGCGATCCAGATTAAACCTAGTCGATCTGTTGTGGTTTTCCATCCTGAGCACGGAATCGAAGCGCCGATCGCCGAAATCTCAACAAGCCAGGTAATGAAGCGAGGGAATTGAATCAGTTCCGAGGTGAACCTCTCACGCGAACGGTCTCACATCGTCGGAACGAAACCCTTCGCTGAAAGTCGAGCTTCAACTGACGTCGCCGTGCACTCTTACAGGAGGATCAAATTCGTTGTGGATTGTTTGTGCCACAGAAGCTACGGCGAGGGAAGTGTTCCGAGGTTCCCTGGCAATCCGCGAGTTCCTTATTAGTCATGGGAAGGAAAGATAAATTGTTTCACTTTGTGCTGAAGAAATACGAGGATACCACTGAAGATGAATTGAGTCACGATGTCGTGGAATCCGCGATGAATACGGCGAGTCTCGTCACTCCTTTTGGATCACATCTCATCTCGATGACAGACCGCAGAAAGGACGCTCATCGACGCTCATTGAAATCTAACGGTCACCTTGAGGGCTCTCGGTTCATAGAGCAGATTCTACAAACTCCGACGCATGTCATGCCCTCAGCGGCTCTCCTGGTCGAAGGCCTCTTGAGTTCTTTCTTGGGCCACGATGTGTCGGACGAGTGAGTATGATCCTCCTCCCAGCGGCGGGAAATTCTAGAAATCGGGAAGCCAGGATATATACGAGACGGGATGAACAATATAAGTTTTGAATCTTCAGGACGTCTGACCTGATGGAGATTGATGGCGTAACGAGAGCAGAACCGGCGCTGGACGACGACAGTGGGACCGACGACGCTCATGATGATGTGATCAAGAAATCGAAGATCGTCACGGAAGACGTTGCCGAAACGGATCTCGTCGAAAAACTCCGAAACGGAGTAAAATTGGAGAAAGTCAAGTTGCCGAAATTGAAAGACTACGAGTGGATTCGATTGTAAATATAAATTCGATATTGTAAAGAGACCAAATTTATTTGCCGTGTACATACACGTATCGCGTTGACTTATTACAATAAGACTGAGAGTTTCGTTTGGATGTGAGATTCATTTCATAGGCGTGAGAATCATTGAGGGACCGCTCGTCTCTCGAGTGGCGGAGTCACTTAGGGGCTTGGGGGTCAGCGGTCTTCTAGACCGGCTCCGACATCCCGAAATTAGCCGAGACGTAGGAGTTGGGAATCACGAAACTTCGGAAAATTGTGTTACGCTTTTTTGGGCCGTAGCAAAAAGGACAGCAGCTGTCCTATTTGGATCCCGAACGACGGGATCACTTTATACCCCAATTCGTCGCAGAGAAGCTGTAGGTTCACCGGATATGTGGAGCTGATGACCGTGATCTTCATGGACGGGCGCTGGAAAATATACGAGAGTTCCGACCGAGTCCACGACCGACTTCCGAAGAAGAGTATGTCAGAGCATAAGACAAGTACTTGTTGACGCCCAAAACTTCCACAAATAGACATTCGCGGAACTTGCGGTGCACGAACCTTCTTATGGCACTTCATGAGCTGTTCATTGATGTTCTCCTTATCTTGATGCACTATGACTCCGAAATCCGGACCTAACAAGAAATCGATGCCGATCCTTTCGCGGAATACAACGGACGTCCTTTCTGCGTGGAAAAGTCGCTAGTATTACTCGCTGCGATGAAGACCTCGGAGTGCTTCTTTCGAGTTCCCGACCACAGAACACGTGATCGGGTCTGAGGATCCGTACATGATCCCAAGAGGATCTCAGGGCTTTGTTCATTATTCGTTGATTATTTATTTATTAGGGTCAGTCCATCCCATTTATTAGGGAATTCCATCCGGTTGGGAGAGCCCGGGAAAGGATCCGAAATCAACGCGGTATCCTCATGTAGTAGGGAAATCCCGGCGATTACCTTTGAGTGGATCGAGATCGATGCTGCGCCATTTTGCTGCGGCGACGACCGCGTGATACATCGAGGGAGCCATCTGCAAGAATCACCCGTCTGTTAACCTGTCTGTGGAGTCTTGGGCGGAAACTTCAGTCAGAACCATTCAAGCTCCCTTCGAGAAGACCTCTCAACCGATCCAAAAGCGTATCCGTTTGGTTTCGCATACTCTCCATAATGGATCTCGGCAGATCACACAGAACCGCTTCAAAGACTGATATAGCGTAGGAAACGGCTCTAGAGACCAGGACTGTCGCGCCGTCGTCCGAGATCGAAATTTCGGTATTCCGCGAATGCGACAGCTCTCTTTCTGTATGAGGTTCCTCTTGAACATTCTAGACATCTAGAGACTGACCTCTCGGCCGACAGCGCTATCCCCTTCTTGCCGCCTCAAATCCGGAAGTCAATATTGAACATGGAAGCCTCTCAATCATTCTCGTTCGAGATGACGGGTTGAGAGTCTTCGACTCGCATCTTCAGTGCATTCATAGGCGTATCGCTCGAGATGATCAACGGTTGACAAAATTGTCAAGCCTGCCGCCTATATTTAGAACCGTATTCCCCATTGAACATGGTTAGTGCTCGAGATTATCTCACCTCGATCGAAAGTACTCGGGAAGCTCACGACGCAATCAAAGGCTCCTATGCCGTTAAGCAGTTCGTTGACAGTTCTCGCTTCGGGGCGATAATCTCCGCGATCTCCATAATCAGGATGACATTCCGGCTTGGCCTGTTTGACTGGATAGAACTGCTTTTTCCAGTTTGGATTTCTCCTATTCCTCCCTACAAACATCTTATCCGAGAGGCGAATCAAGCCGGATAACGGTCGGGTAATGAGGGGACGCGAGAGAAATTTTCCATTCAAGCTCGCCACAAGACTGGCGAGCCCATCCCAGACTGCACTGGTCGTTTATGTACGGCGATCATGTTCTACGCTACGAGAACGTTCGGCAGACGGCTGCGGCGAAGTCGCTAAGACTAGTTTGGGTAAACACCGAGTGGCAAAGGATCGGCATAATCAAGCGCGGTATCTAACAGAAAGGAGCGAGTCCTAGGCAACTGAAGCAACCAAGGCTCGATGGAGGGCTGCTTCGCGCTGATTTCGGACCATGATACCAGATGATCAACGGATAAGGAATGAGCGTCTCGAATCCTTGAATAACTCGCTATTATATCTCCCGAACATTCTTAATTTATCCATTTCGCAAGGGCGAAGACCAACCACCTTATATACCGACAAGTGAATCGGCTCTGATGAGTTTTCCCTCGTGGAGGTGGGGTGTGGGGAACGCTCAAGTGATGACACCGCAATCAGATCCCTTCCCAATCAAACGTCGAGAGACCAAAATGTTTGAAATTCAGGAACCCCCCTCATTATCCCCCCTATATAGAATAAAAGCGCAAGCGCAAAGGCGCGAAGGCGGGTACATATAACACTGCCCGACAGCCAAAACCCAACAGAATCGGTGAGACCTAGGTTGGGATAAATGGGGGCCGTACATTCCGAATCTGTGAACAGTTTTCTCGTATCAGGTCTAGTTTTTCTGTAAAATCCATTTTTCGGATTTTCGTTGTTCTTTCCCTCAAAATTTTTTGTTTCCTGCTTCACGATGAGCAAGATCCATGAAAATTGGGAAACATATAGACCCATCCCAGGTTTATCTCTGGTGGAATTCTCGTGTAATTCAGAGCAAGTCTCTGAGCTAGAGTGCATCAAAGTTCGAAAATGGCTGAAAAACGCGGATGGCAAGCCTCTTTGCCGAGGGCTGACAAAAAAACTATCTCCTTCGAACCCGTCTAGCTCAGAGACTGTTGCCCCGAATTACACGAAAATTCAACCAGAGATAGACCTGGGATGGGTCTATATATTCCCCAATTTTCATGGATCTTGCTCATCGTGAAGCAGGAAGCAAACATTTTTGAGGGAAGGAACAACGAAAATCCGAAAAATGGACTTTACAGAAAAAGTAGACCTGATACTAGAAAACTGTTCACAGATTCGGAATGTTCGGCCTCCATTTATCCCAACTTAGGTCTCACCTATTCTGTTGGGCAAAAAAAAAATTGTACGGGCTGTGTAATAATAGGAGGTCTCATCCAGGAGCAGCCGAGTGCTCTGCCTAATACCGAGGAGGATCAGGCAGAGCTCGAAGCATGTTCTCTCGGAAACAATGATTGAAACTTGATGTTCGGATCCAATCGCGTTGTCGGTGGGCCGCGAAACATTGTGTACATGGCAGAACTCACTCTACCGAGATCTGCATAGTTCCCCCGTTGATTACGTCCGTCGGACACGAACGCAGTGGCCAGGGGAAACATGCGAATAAGTCGATTTCTTTTCCTAGAACAAGCTCTTCCGTCCTTTTTTCGTGACCCTCTCATGGAGAGAAAGTTCGAGATTATTCCTCCCTTAAGGTTGCCGGCGGCGGAGTCCGACGCGGCTCCCGATTGTTTGGGGAACTCCGAATGACGCAAAATCCTAGAGTACCTTCACTCTAGACTCTAAATGACCGATGAGAGCGTCGAATATTGCGTCACGTCGCATATCACCGCTTGGATCGGTGAGACGGCGGAGTCGCTGTCTCAGCGCTCGCTATATAGATCTATTATTATAACAAGGCAATGGTTATGACGATGGAGTATCTTTTCGCGTCCAACACTGCTCGAGTGGCGCGTCGCAATCTCAGCCGAAACGCCTGCGGAGGAACCTCCGCTCATTGGACCACTAAACTCCCCGGTTGGCCCGGGACTTTCTATCTATTGCGAATGCGAGCTTGCCGCCGTCTCGGGGCCGGCAGAATGTTCGGGAAGCTATTGCGACGCATTGAACTTTTTCGGGGGCTCCGTGGTGAAGTGTCGTATCCAGACAGTTGAAGAGGGGTGTGCGAATGGAGGGGGGCGATCGATCCCATAGCCCCTGTGGTGGTCCCGGCTCGCCGAGCCTCCTGGGCTGGGAGAGCACATGGGTGCTTTACCCCCTCTCCTCGGAGCGTCCCCAAATCTGCCATTGATGGGATGCCCGCAGCCATAGCCATCGGAGCCCCCGATCGATGAAAAACCGACGTCTAAGCCATTCCCGTCCGGCCATCGGGCCCCTGCATGACTACATAAATGGCGGCAGATTGAGCGGCCGATTCAAGTTCGCAGAGAAGCTTAGAAGTCTGAATCGGTCTCGTAGCTCTCTCCCGACGAAGAATGTGACCTCTGGATGAGACCTGCGTACTGCGTCCTCCGAGTCAATTACCGCTTCTGCGAGGCCCCTGATCGTCAACTCACCTAATTACTCCTGTCTCAGAGCTCGCGAAATCGGAACCCCGCCACGCTCTCTCGCGAGATGAAAGGTACCTCGGACTCTGAAGCTCATCGGAGCGAGCTCCATCACGATCTCATCCTGAGACAGGATCGTCACGATCTAGATCAGCTGACGGTCTCTCCTCAATCAGATGATCGTAAGGTTTTCGAATTTCGAATTTTCGCGGGCAACAAGTGGGTGACTGACTTGACTGCGAGATTGTATGCTCGTATTTCCGCGCGGAAATCGTCATCGCGGCTGTTAGGTTGCCCAACACGGCGGTTCCCAAGCATTTCCACCCTGCAGAACCCTTTCAAGCGATTCGGAGAGACTGTAGAACCCTGGCGAATATCTCGTGTTACGGATACAGTCCTGCTGATACCTTCAATACGATAGCCAAGGCGGAACCTATACTCGCATGCTTTCCCCACGAATGATGGTGAGTCAGATATTTATTCCTTTGGATCGAGTTTCCTTGACGTTTCGAATCTCCCCATCGGATCGTAAAGATCGAGACTTGGAGCTGAAAAACAATACTTCCGGCGAACACCCTATATGTACATCGACGGCCGACTTCCATTCCCGGAGCCTAGGATCGATGACAGCTTCCAGGAACATTGAGAATGACGAGATTAAACTACTCCAGGGCAACATGAGCTGCGAGAGAATCACATGAATTGGTCGCTCAGGCGGTGAGAGCACGTAGCTCTTAGTGGCCGCAAAACAGACATCTCACTCCGGATACTGATGTCGCTCGGTGAAAGGTTCGGGTTCGAAACCTGTGAACCGCCAACACGTCTGGAGATAGAAGTCGGGATCGGGGTGCTTCAGGGGATTCCTGTCAGCCTTCTACTCTGTGAGCGAACATTTGACACTCTGATCAAGGTCTCGCTGAGCTTTCGAGGAACTGTTCTGTGAGAGAACCTTAGTTTACGCAAGGGTACGGCTTGAAGTCGCCAAGAGCCCCCCACAACGACAGCCGATACTGTGCACGGCGGAATCACGGAAATCTGTGAGGCGTCTTCCTGATGGACTCCAGGAAAGGTCGCGCGGAACCCCAGGTTTCCGCCGAAGCCAAGTTGAGGAACGACAGCCTAACAAACCCTCACCCGACTACTGGAATCTTTCCCTTTCCCCGAGCGGACCTTTCCTCTTACACAGACTATCTCTCACATGGCGTCACGAACCTCTTGTGCTACTGGCATTCTCAGCTCACAAGGTCGGCTCAGAGTTCCGCGCCGTGCCTTTCTTTGAAACACCGGAGTGAGGCGTAATCGCTCAACCGAGGTGGGTTCCCTGAATTACCATTGGAGATCATTTCGGACACTGGACAAGTCGTGTCAAATCACGGAAGGCGGCCTTTCCCCGCAGCACCGACGGGGGCTATCTACTCTGTCGCTCCTAGATCGCGCTGACACTTGCTGATCCGATCACAATCATTCTTATCTTTGTGAAGCACTCTCGCCCGTAAGATAGCGAGATAGGATTCTCATTTCCGATAGGCCATGAGGACACTCTTACCGCCAGCCAGAGCTATATATTAGGGATGACCATTCGAGGAGTGATACTCTTTGAACATTTGTGTTTACGAATTGATTCTTTGTGTCGTGTCTTCATTACTGGATTCGCCTCTGGTCACAATGGTGAGGCAAACTGTGATGTCATACTGGACGTCCTCACAGTATTCACTCCTTCAGGCTCTCGATACTTAAGGAAGAGGGTTATAAACTGCTCGACAAAAATAGAAGCGTTGCTCTGCCAAGGAAAAAGTTCCATGTCTCGAGGCTGACGCGCGAGTGAATCGCGAGAGCTGTGCCACTCTACATGTATAAATATTCAAGCGTGTGTGCGAACTCGGCTGAACTCGACAGCGCTATGTGCTCCTACGCGGTCGGCTCCTGATTGCAATAATTTCTCGGGGAGCCTGGTGAATTGAATTTCCGGCGAGAAATCTGTTACGGCTCGCGCCGAGACATGAAGATCTTCCGACACATCTTCTGCCCGAACTCTCGCCGGCGATGAGGAGTCAGCAGAGTCTCTTTACGCGATCTAGAATCCTCCGTGGCCACTGCGTGTTTCCGAGTTTCCCATCTTTCCGAGGCGGTTCAATCATACGATACCCTGGAACTTGAGGCTTAGCCTCATCGATGCGTATCGGCACTATGTAACGATCAGATCATGGTTTGTCGGACTTCTCGAGACAGTGGAATGACTCTCGGATTCTCCGTGGAGGGACTGTGGCTAGGAACCTGACCAGAGCGATCTCATGTTCGTCTCGCTTGCCGGAGCTATCCACCAGCTGACTCTTCTGACATCATGGATGAGCGTCAAAAGGACGGGGAAGCTCGCAGACGCTGACGCCACCAGCGCAACCTTGAACTTGCTCTCAGACACAGACGTCTCTTGGCGAGTCTCGATGCGAGGCTGTTGCGATAACAATCCTTAACCGCAGATCGTCAGCTCATCGAGAAACGGCGGGGATTTCCTTGCGGCATAGATCGGCTCGGTGCTCGCATAGTTGACTTTTTCTGGAGTTTTGAACCGGGAACGTGAGCCCTTGCCGACTAATCTCGGAACAGTGCCAACAGCGTGCAATTCCTCGGCTCTTATCCCATAGTAATTCTCATTCTATCTATGCCTTCGATCTTCTGTTCGATCGATCGACTGTTGCGTTCTTGTCTATTCAGTCTCGGTCTCGCCGGGACGTGTGATGAACAGTAAATCTTATCGAAGCTCAGGAGGTCAGACTCTAGGTGTTCTATGTAGAGCAGCGGTTCCCAACCTTTTTGGCTCCGCGGCTCCCTAGCGGACCCAGAATTCCCCCGCGGCTCCCTAGCGGACCCAGAATTCCCTCGCGGCTCCCAGGATACCCAGTGCCCACGCGGCTCCCGCGGCTCCTACCTACTCTCCCTTCTTCTTCCCCTAAAAGGACCATTCGCAGCTTAATTCCGGCAATCGTGGCAGATGAAGTCGATCCGTTTCGGAACCTTTCCTTGGAATTGACAAACCCTGACGGCCCGGACCTACACCGGAAATTCGTACGCGGCTCCCTCAGAAAAGTTCCGCGGCTCCTAGGGGAGCCGCGGCTCCCAGGTTGGGAACCGCTGATGTAGAGTGTCGAGCTCAACGAGTTCAGGACTCCTAGGGGTCATCCGAGACTTTTCTTGATTTCTTCAGACAAGATAGATTCATGAAACACTCGATGCGATCTACGCTGTTCTTTTGGGGCTGCTTTTAGACACGAAGGCTGCTGGGAAGGTTTTGGTGTCAGCGATCGACTCTCGGATCCTGTATGACCATCACTCTCACATTTCACCATGGATCTGTCCCTTTCATCCATTTATCGGTGAATAGGCATTCCATTTATATGTAGCTCGGAACGAGCTTTCGCTCCGCCACTCACAATCTACGAATGAGACAATGAGTACGGTTGAAAACGGATGAGCGAAAACAATCTCTGTTGCTACGAGGAGCTGAAGATCTAGTGTTCTAGGTGTGATATGAACAAATGCGTATCGTCACGGGGTCTCCGCGGTCAGGAGCAGGTCTGCATCACCAGAACCTCAACACGAAGCGGATCGTCCGCCCGGCTCTCTATAGACTCCGTTTTAGCTGGGAAATCGGAGCGGGGTCTCTCAATTCCCGACAACGCAGCTCAGGTTTCGCGGGTTAATATCGAGTCTCTTTCAATTCCAGCCCTCGCTCATCCGTCAATTGTCGAGTGTCAGCACGAAAATGCCCTGCCACTCCCTCAATTTGAGTGAGTCCCAGACTCGGGCTATGTGGAGAGCCGCAGATTGCGTTTGCTTCGATGTGGACTCTACAGTTTGCATGGATGAAGCCATCGACGAATTAGCGAAATTCGCTGGCAGAGAGAAGGAAGTTGCCGACCTGTGAGTTCAATCCTGCGATTCAATATCCCGGTAGATTCTCTCGCTCGTCAGGAATACGTCCCCTTCTCCTGGGTTGGAGATGACTAGACGAACGTCAATGATTGGCGAGGGCACGGTGACGGCCGACGATTGAGTGAGTGGATATCCGCCGGATGATCGGAAAAAGTGCTTATCATCTCTCCTTGCAGAACTGAGCGTGCCATGAAAGGCGGCATGACATTCCGCGAGGCTCTGGAACAGCGACTCCAACTCATCCAGCCTGACATGCAGATGGTTGAAACGTACATTCGAGAGAATCCTCCGCGCCTCTCTCCGGGCATAGAGTGAGTATCGGAGATGATTCGTCGCGGTGCTTTCCTCAACTTCATGATATAAAGGTCTGGGGCATTCACGATCGAACGTTGTATGAGCTTTGTACAGTTGGGGAGGCTCGTGGACAAAGCGTGATGAATCTAGCAGCCGAAACTAGGAAGCTTCCCCTCATCACTATTCGATACCTCGGCATTCGGGGAATGTTTCAAGGTAAATCGCGCTCTCTCCATTCGAGAGACGTCGCTGCGAATCGATCATCGTCCGTCTTCCTGACGCAGGCTGTGCCTGTGAGGGTTGCCGTGATTGGAATATTCAAAACTCACACAGCCTGATCAATCCCCGGCCCCCTCTTCTCTCGGTCAATGCCATTGCCTCCATGACTGCCTTATCTTAGAAAGGTGTCCGTTGATTCTTCTGGTAGATAAGGGAATCGAGCTCTTCTTGTGCAAGCTTTTTCTCCCGAACCTCTCGAATACGGGACCCGAGCTGAATTCGGCTGCCTACAAAGCGAGGTATCCCTTTGTCTTCCCGCCATGACGCGTGTCCCCCTCTCGGAGTTGATATCTCGGAGCCTTTCGCTTAAGATTCGAGGGAGCGTTCTTCTGTTTTTCTCACTCGGGTAATTTTTCTGGGGTGAATAGTATATCAGGTCAGAACTAAAGACGTTGGCTTCACTTTTCCAGAGAGCTCGTAGGTCACCTCCAGTCGCGAGGAGTTGCTGTCTATCTAGTCTCGGGCGGCTTCCAGTCGATCATCGAGCCAGTCGCCACGGAGTTGGGAATTCCTCACGAGAACATCTTTGCAAACCAACTGAAGTTCTACTTCAATGGTCGCTATGCTGGTTTTGAGACGAACCAGCCCACTAGCAACCAAGACGGCAAGGCTCGCGTTATCCAATACTTGAAGAAGAAGTTCGGCTATCAACGGGTAGTGATGGTGGGTGGATTTCAATTCATGAGACGACTTTGCGGAATCCATTCGATAGCCAGGGCCTTCGGCACAACCTTGCTCATCTGTTTTTCGTGTAGAAAGTCATCGCGGAGAGTCTCTCTTCCAGGTGGGGGATGGAGCCACAGATTTGGCAGCATGTCCACCAGCCGACGCTTTCATCGGATACGGAGGCAATCAGATTCGGGAAAAAGTCAAGGCGGCTTCACCGTGGTTCGTCGAATCGTTTTCGGATCTCGTCAAAGAATTGAGCATGGCTTGATCGTTCGATCATTTCACAGCCTCTTCTCCGAAAGGCGGTGTCCCATGGTTGATAGTCTAAGATGTAGACACAGGAATATTTCGTATAGTGTACAATAATTATGATTATTTTGCCGCACTCCGGCGAGTCCGCACAATGTTCATCGATTCCGCATGAGGGAAGAAGTTTTATTAAACAAGAATGAATCTTGAGAGAGCCTTTTGGGACTGGAGATCGCTCATTTGCGTAGAGAGAGAACGCCGGCCGAAGGGCGTACGTATCTCGGAATCGATTCGGGTTGCCGTCTCTCTATCCAGGTGATTTTCCAATTCTATGTCCCCATGGCATCGATGGTCCAATATATTCCTCGCTCAGCTCTCGTGAAAAATGGAAGGAGTGCGCTGTGGAGTGTTGGAAGTCCCCACATATAGCCGATGAGATGGCTGGGTGATACCTAGGTGTAAGTGACTACCGATCATCGAGACCAGTCGCCCAGCCAGGGATCAACGTACGAGTGAGGCAACCATTCTGAGCCCAGAGTAATCTCCCCTCGTTTCGCCACCGATCACGGCTCGGGAGTTCGGAAGACGCTCGGGTCTGGATTCGCATGCGGTCTATTCGTGTGACGTAAACACTTCTTACAAAGACGATCTCCCGTTGAGCATGGCCTGTGGTATCGACTATAGGCGGACCACTTCTCGTATAGACCGTAAGCAGCAGACCGGCTCGTGTGAAAGTCTGAGTGCACGGAGCCCGAGCTCTAGATGGGAATCTCCGTAGGGAAATCATGAGCCAGGATTCGGATCGACATCATTCTGCTCGGGGAACCTGCTCTACAGCGATTCGGCGAAATCCGGCGCCGCACTACGCGAGGTATTCCTGTATCGATTCACGCTTCACCCGATTGGCTTCCCTCCTCATCATGTTTCGCACGATGGAAGACTCTGAAATCTTGCTGGCTCGAGATGCAGCTTGTTACAACCCTTGAGAGAATTTGTATTGATCTCCGGATGGAGTCTTGAAATACGTAATATGTGCGGGAATCGCTCAATCCTAAATGAGGGTACGGGACTCTCCCTGGTCGAATGCGGGTATCGCCCTCTTTGAAAATAATCGCCTCATCTCAAACTAAGAGTTGGAGCTGCGATTCCCTTGTTGTTTGCCTTGTTGTTCTACTTCTACATTTGCTTCTGCGGGCTGTTCTCGCGAAGAAAAACTTGTACATTTTATAGAATCAACGATCATATTATTCAGTGAACATTCATTCTCAACTTTTCCATGAATCATGGATCGTATAATAAACTATCGTTTCATGCAATGTCGCTTCCGACCGCCCCCCGGCGAACATGCTCGATTGATATCATTGGTGATTGGTGAGGTTTCGAATTTTCTCCATCGAGCCATCGACGCTCACTCGAAAGCGAGATGAAATGATTGCGGAGCAACGAGTGACCCGTCGTATAAGAGAAGAGGTAGAAGGAGAGGCTTCCCAGATTCGAAAGATCATGTCACAGAGAAACGAGAGCGCTCCCGATTGAGAAAAGGTTCCTGAAACATGGTCGACTGCTTCGAGGGTCGAGGAGTCCGCTCTGGTCTCTGCAAGCCTGCTCGCAGCGACGACCGAATGGGCTTCCGCGGTCGTAATACTCTCCCGACTCGAACCATATCAGACAGGAGTAAGGAGCAAAAGTTATTCACAGAAGATTCGACTGTCTCTCTCAGGTTGTAACGGAAGCATCGTAAGTTTTTTCGGGGAGACACGCCAGGAGTTAGCATGCGTTGAATTGCTTGCTCTGAGAAGCTTGATGTACGAAGGATCGTCAGAACTCTACAGGATGTCCTAGACTCCCTTGTTCAGGTTCCGAATCAACCTTCTGCGAAATGCTAGTGAGATTTCAAAGACCGACTCAAAATTTCTTTCGCGCCCGCAGATTGAGCATCCTAAGGCTGGTGGTGTCGGAAATCTCTACCCCGAACAAATTAGCGTGCGCACCCTGCATATCATCTGATGACCGAGATTTCAGAGTGTTTTCATTCGATTATCGCGAGGTCAGGATCGGTAGCAGCCATCCTGGTGAGGAGGTTTTTTCGGGCTCTAATTAGTCCCGAAGCGAGACCAATGCCGGTGCAGACGACCATCGAATAACAGCAGGAACCCCCTCCCGGTGTTCTCGATCACAAGGAGGATCTCATGAGCACCCCAATGTACTCGAGAGAGTTGAAATATCCGCGCTCGCTCCCGACCCATTTCCATTCATCGAAACGAAATCAGAAGAATGTACCGCAATGATTGTTTCTGAGTCACTCTCCTTCTCCTCTACTTCAGTCGGTGAGGATGATTTCGTCCGCGTGGGGCATTCCGGAGGACGTCAGAACTCTCGAGACAGAGTGCGTCAGATGGAACTACTTTCTCAGCGCGAGGTCGACAAGAAACTCGAGTTCATCAGAGAGCTTCAAGCGGCCGAGCATTATTGAGTGAATCGAACAAGAATAGATACGATAAGTCCGAGAAGAACTTCACTCTGAGAACGGACCGCAACCCGATAATTCAAGTCCGCCCCCTGGGTGATTGTTCGATGTTCTCCGAATATTCTGCCTCTTTGTGGTTCGGTCGTCGCACCTTTGTGCTAAAGACCTGAAGAGAAGAGAGTCCTCGCCTCTCGACTCTCACCTCTGAAACTCTTCCGGGAGTGACTTCGAAGAGTCCTCGACGAGCTCCGTCCTAGATGAACCCGTCCGAAGTGAAGTGCGAATCAAGACTCAGCGCCCGTGAAGCGTTACGCCGAGTGATTTCTCGGATCGGAGATTTCTCGCAGAGATGACGTCACGGATTCCAGCGCTCATCCTGCTGTTTCTCCCCCAAGTTTGCGGTTGGTCGTGGTCGAGGGACGCACACGGGTCCCGGATATGGTTCACCAACTCGGGCAACGTGTCCGTCGATGGTGACCCGAGCAGGCTTCAGCTCTTCACAAAAGGTGTGATCGTTGCGGAGGTTACTCGGAACGAGACGGACGAAATCATCGCGTGCCGCTTCACCGAGGTCAGAGATGCGGAAGAGCGCAAGTGGCTGTACGGGAAGCTTGGCCGGATCCCGAAAGCGGTAACCTTCGATGAAATGACTCAGATCATCGAGAAGTGTGGAGACAGTGTCGTGAGCACAAGTTATTACCTACCGCGTTTCACAAACCCCGTATTCCCTGGAACCATGTGGTGCGGACCCGGAGACGCAGCCACAGACTATGGATCGTTGGGCTACTTTCCGGGACCAGATGCTTGCTGTCGAAATCACGACCTGTGCCCCATCAGATCTCTTCCCGGGGAAGCGATAACTCCCAGAGGTCCCAATAGATTCACCCTATCGGATTGTAGATGCGATCATGCTCTCAGAGCATGTCTGACGAAAAACTCTGCGGATGGTAATAGCTACACGGCGAGCCTCCTGAAAAGGCTCGTGGAGATGAGCCTGAGTTATTGCCTTGCAGAAGATGGAAACGTGGTCCAGCTCGGTTACTGAAGCTTCGAACTTCGGGAGAGACCTCTTGGATTGGGGGAGCTTTTCGGATTCAGCTCAATCGTCGCAGGCCGCTCCTCCCGTTCTCATGATGGGGAGTCGGAAGCAGGGAATAGAACAGAAACATTGAAGAAACAGTGAGATAGTTCATGATGTCCAGTCGTTGATTCGACGGCTTCTTAAACTCATGATTTCATGATGTATCTGGCCTAACGATGCGGCGCCCTCGGAATGTCTACAATCCACGAGAACTCAGACGTACCTAATATATTCGAGTGTGATTGATGGTAGAGAGGAAGAGGAAAAGAATAAATTATGTGCTCAAAACTCGTCTCGTGTCCACGGGGAGTGAATATCAGAATTACTTATCGTGGTTTTAGATTCTTCCTATCAATCCGAACTGTGTCCACCTCAGCATTTTTCTCCAACCGTATTCCGAACTCTCATGGATTTGTGCGCGGTGACGACTCGACGCCTCCCACTGTACATTCCAGCCGCCATCTGGATGATTATTATTAATTATCATCATATCATCATATATCACCCCCCTGGGAAAGACGAAAGACCTCGGTATCGGTACTTTCCGGGCTTTAGTTCCTCGCGACTGCTAGAAAAGAGGTCTCCATACGGTGCAGACGAGTGCAGAGGCTTTTCTGAGGAGCGGCATCTTCGGATTCCGCAATCAAAGCGAGGGTAATTATTGTTTCTAGAAAGTGGAATTTCCTGCTCAAGACCGCAGAGAACTCAATAGATGCACATGCAAGCATATGTGCACCAATGAACGGCATTGCAGCCGAATTACGTCATGGGATCGAGGGATACCGAGAGACGTCTCGGGCGCCGACTCCCTGTGAGCACTGCTGGTGTATCTCTGAAATTTATCCCTTGAGAGGTTCTGGCCTCTATAGGCCCTACACGCGAGCGATCGGATGAGGGAATATCCCTGATCCGCGGGGAATTTCTCAATCTCGCCATGATGCGATTCCCTCTTCTTCCTATTTTAAGAAGCCCTCAATCTTCTCTGAGTCGAGAGCCAGTGATTCAGCGAATTGCTTGATGCTTCCCGTTTATTGAAAATCTCGATCTTGATAGGAGAATGATTCCCATTGGGACTGAAGAAACTTAATCGATTGAATGTACAATTTTTGTACAGAGGCTTGTGCGCGTCGCAGACTATCTCCACATGGTACCATTGCCGCCTCGCCGCTGCATGTTTCCCATCGGTCCTCCGCGCATTCCTCGGGGAGCTCCTCTTCCGCGACCTCTCCACATGGGTCCTCCGCCCGGGGGTCCTCCTCCCGGGGGTCCTCCTCCCGGCGGTCCATTGTTATTATTCCAATTTCCTGGTCCTCTACCCCAGTCGCCGTTTCCGTTCGCATCCCAATCCCCTGGCGGCCGCCAGCCGTCTGGGGGACCTCCCCACTGGTCCCCTGGAGGTCTCGGCGGTGGCGGATGTCGGAAGGGCCCGCCTTGATTCATGAACGGAGGAGGTCCCATCGGGAAACCCATGGGTCCTGGCGGTGGCAAGAAGGATAAACCGCCTTCGATCCAGTTTGGATGAGGCATATGCAAGCCAGGCATCATTCCGTCCTGCGGAGGTTGTCGCATATCAGGGGGCATTTGCTGCATCACGTGTGGAGGCGGAGGCACTCGGTCGTTCTTAGCTTCGGACCGGTCCTGTTTCGCCGAATTCGATGACTGTTTGCCTTCACCGTCTTTGAAATTGACCGGTGCACGATTCTCCATCCATTGTTGTTGGAAGCCTTTGTGGATGGGCTTGCTGTGCGGCATCTTCTTCTGCGGTCGATCGTCGTCCAGTCCCGGGATAGAGCCCTCTCTCAATTTTTCCAGCTGATCGGCGTCGATTCCCATCCCCGGGATGTAGGGGTCCTGCGATGCATTTCGATCATGCATGCCGGGTATGTCTTCATCGAGATCATCGAGTCCTCTGGGCAACGTGTTGAGATTATATCTGTCGCGCATTTTATCACCTGGTCGATTCCTGGTCCAGAATTTGCTGGAAAATCGAAGTCGATCAGAAATAGAGTAGGTTGTTACCCTCCGAAATCCCGAATCATTCCGATTGATGCCCTATAGACTCCTGGGATGCGACCTTATCCTGATGGAGAGGACAATCGAGCTCGAAATCTAGACAAGCATGCTATGAGGGCAATGAATTGCACGCCGCGCACAACTCTCATCGAAAAGACCGAATGAGTGAAATGGATTGTCATCCAATTCCGAAGTCGAGAGCCAGGATTGTTCGAATCGATATGTGCAGAATAAATGCCAGTCGATTGTTGAGGAGAATGTAGAGCACGCTATCTCTTACGCTCATCTCGCACTGCGGACATTCGGAGTCGATTGGAAATCAGCGAACTTTTCTCACCTGGTGTGATCATTGGATCCAGTGCAGAGTATGTGACCTACTGGATGCCACGCCAACGACCAAACGCAGGAATCATGGGCCTGATCCATCGAGCCCACTTCTTTGTCAGTACCCACCGTCCAGAACATGACGGAGCCGTCCGATCCACCGCTGGCGAAAACTTCCTCGTGGACAGTGTGCCACGCCAGAGCTGCAATGAGATTCGGTACGCTGTTGGTATCATGCAAGATATGAGAAAACTCCGATCTTTTGAATGGAACGACTTCTGGATTAGAATCTGATGTCAAGAGCAAGTACTCTCAATGCTCGGGAAGACCGATGCTACGTACTGCAAGCTTCGCGTTTGTGTCCACGGAATGTCTGTAATTCAACGTTCAGCTTTCGCACGTCGAAGAGTTTTATGAGATGATCTCTGGAAGCCGTTAACAGCCAATTTCCGTTTCGGTTCCACCGAGCGTCCATGACGGTCGACTTGTGCGCGTGTATCGTAGCTATACTCTGACCGGATTTGGGACACCAAAGCTTTATGGGCTGCTGAGAGTCTTTCGATCCCGAAACAATCAAGGATTTCTGTGGATGCCAGTCGACACACTTCACATCGCTTCCGTGTCCTGTCGAAGAGAGGGAGCAAGGATAAGGATCTCGTATGGGAGAGTTAGTCGTCCCATACCTCTGCTCAGGTCATCAATCGAACTCACCTCTCAAAATACGTTCTTCATCACATTTCTGGAAGTCCCACACTCTAACAGTGCCGTCGTCTGAGCAGGAAGTAAATTTCATATCAGTGGGACAGAAGCTGGAAAGGAAATACAATGTACACGCATTATTTCCGGCAAACTTCTCATATTATCTAGCTTGACCGAATCGAGACTGCTCCGGTCAAGAAGGCTTCGAACTAAACTCCGGATGCCCCGTCGTTGTCAAGATTCGTACACGCAGACTCCGTCTGAGAGAGCTCGGCCTTCCGAGAAAAACGTCTAATGGTCTATATCAGAAATAGCTTCCGGGGAGAGCGGCTCAATAAGCGTGGGATAGAATCGGAAACGGCATATCGGAGTTCTCGCAGCGAGGACGAGCCTCGTTCATACGATAAGGTCTGTCAGATCAGACGTCTTTCAGGCGGCAGCGTGGGGATGTGTCATGATAATCAGCAAGGACGGATAGTTTCCGTATCTCCCAGAGAGAGTTGGGCCAGGCCGGAGCGTGACGTGGAGGCTCGAAGGAGCGACACCATAAAGAAAGTGAGCTCGTCCCGCAATCGTCGCGGCGTCGAATTCGAGCTTCGCGGATCCTTCACTCGCTCGGAGTGATCATCTGTTTCGGCTGATGGCCGCTCATGAGTTCGGCAGAGCGTAGGATTCAAACCTTGCCTCCGATTGGGGTGCGAGAATTTCGGGTCGATGGGGCACGCTCCGGATTCGGTCAAACACAAAGTGCCAAAGCTCAATAATGAGAAAACATTTTGTGATTGATGAAAGCGCTCCGTTTATTAGGTCGATACGGGAAAATGACTCGACACGTCGGGAACAACGATACCAACAATGATGGCCTTGATGGACGAAAGTTCCGATTGATGAAAAAATGAGTATCGCGCGGGTGAAATTGAGGATAACGAGGATGGGGGAGTGTAGAGAGGGTCATGATAGGACCAGATTCCGCAAGTGCTGCGTGTCCTATCCGATCGACACCTCTCGATCGCGTCTGTGCGTTTCGAGGCCTTTATTTTTCGGCATCATAATTTAGAGTATTTCCGCTCGGAAGACCCTCAACGGAGCGTTGTCATCTCATATGTAAAGGTATAACCCTCCGCACGTGTATTTTCCCCTACCGTCTCCCTATATCTCACTACCGTCAAATACCGTAAATCGTTTAAAATATCACAGAGAGTCCTTGTGCGCCTGGGTTGGCAAGTTCGTGTGGTATGACACAGAGAAAAAATTATCAGACGGCTTCGGTCATTCGACCTGGGCTGAGTCCCGGCAAAAATACCTGATTCCTCTAACTGCCTCCTTATGACCTTGAAACATTCGAACATTATTCATGTTGGTCTGCCAGTATTTGATGTAACCTCCGTGGTCCCCGGTGACCATCCATTGATCGTTGCGGCTCCACGTCATGCAGCGAACTGGTAAGTCATGTGCCTGAGAAGGAGGAAGATCGATGTGAGAATCGTTTTTAGATTTCTGAGCCCCTCCACTCCATGTATAAGGAAGTCCCACTGTACTACTCTGAATACTCCAATTCTCAATCCCTTGTGACAGCGGCCGAATCGTCCACCAGATTCAGAAAGATCGGACATCGAACTTCTGCCCTGTGATCGAGTTACCTGGAGAATAGTTTCAAAATTGAACGTGAGACCATTCCATAAAGTGAACTCTCCACTCGATGCTCCTGTGATCAGTCTTCGGCCTTCGGGCGTCCACTGCAAGCGAATGAGACGTACGGATAAGATTCCCTTCGAAACTTGATTATGAATCGCTTTGTACGCTTCATTCATGAAAGACCAGGGGAAGTACCGTGACGCAGAAAACGGGGCATTTCATCTTGTTTGTCGCCGCCCTGACGAATTTCGAGGTGACGACATTTGAGGGATCATTGCCCATGCTCGATGGGGTCACCATTCGCATCTGGTACGCAGGATCCGGTTGGAGAGCAGGTTTGTCCCTATGGTCCCTTTGCCATAGCCGCTCCTGGCAAACGATTCGATCAATTATTATTATCGATCATCAGGAATTGATTTCACCGGGAAACGAAGCATGCGTCAGCCATTCATACGAACCTGGAGCCACTCGTGCATGCTGGAGTTATAGTCCACAGTCTTTCGAGCGACCGGCTTCCGAAGCCGCTTCCCGTCGAATTCCACGGGTATGGCCGTCACGTTGACCTGACCTCCTTGACTCTGCGAGTATTGTTTGTGCCCATGTTGACTCCTAGGCATCCAGTTCGGCATGAACTGGTGCCGAGGCCTCGCGTACACCTGTGTGGTGGATATCATCTGCGTCTGTGACATCGTGTCTTCTGAAATTCAGAGAAGAGAAATACAATCATTACTCAAGTTGAAGAACTGAAGGTGTTGAAATCTTTAGAATCTTTCGACAGGTTCCTCCTCGTCATATCTCGTCACGCATGAGGCGGGCAGCATGAGGAAGAGCGTGACGGATCGACCCGGAAGACGGATCCAGTCCACGGGAGCATCGTCGGGATCTGAGCGGTGTTCCAGCCCAGTAGAGCTACATTGCCCACGTGAAATGTCCTCTGAGGAAGCTTTCAGAAAGCACTAGAACCGAGCTAGACGAGCGCTGCTCGTCGAGGAATTCTTCGACCCCGTCCCCACCGACGGAACTGGAAGTAATCCGCATCATGCCATCGTCAGGTCGATGCAGAGCCAGAACCGAATATCGAAGCTAACAAATATCACCCTAAAGGAGAGGCTTAGGCAGATATGGGGAGCCAATCGATATCCGCCGGAACAAATGTTTGACACAGGCTCTCCGAGCTCTATGAACGTTTGTTCCGGGCAGAGAGCACCCCTTCGCGAAGTGTTCCCTTGAAGGCCTAGACCTACGGCGCTCTACTCGGGGTGAGCCCCGGGCGATCTATACAGCCTTCACGATCGGGGGCGGCTAGAGGAGCCTATTCCAGCGTTGAGCCCGGCTCCAGGAGATCCGGTGGAGAATTTGGACGGGTTTTTTTTTGGAGGAGGCTTCCCCCGCTAAGAGAGAACCTCTCCCTCTTCCTTGAATTCCCCCTCGGGCTTCCGCCAAGCATCGATGGCTGTCCCAGCAGCCCTCCGATGAACGAATGACTCGCTGGTCAATGGTAGGACTGAACATCTGATGGAATCACGACGTCAACTCCCTTTGGGATGACAGCTCGAGTCTCAGACCGACTTCGACTGGAAGAGACAACTGTCCTACAGCCGCGAAGATCGATCCCGAGATTCGGTCTAAGCGAGTTACGCTTCCGGGAGCTTGGATGTTCCAGACTTCCTCGAGACTTTGCAGCACCTGCTTGCGGTGCTCCTTCCAAGTGGCTCGACATTCCCATGAAAGTCGCTGAAGCATTCCGATTATTGCTCGGGAGGCAGACCCGATTCCCAATCGGAAACTTCGGCGGCACGTTTTCACCGGATATGGAGACACTTGCTCCGGATTCGATCCTGCCACTCCTTGAACTTAGACGAGCAGGCGGACGCGATTGTTCGTTGCTCGATTTTGCAACGAGTCGGTGGCGTAGGTCTATTGGTGAAGCCGGTGCCGATCAGTACAATATGTCGTGGTGTCCAGAGCGAGGAGCCTATCCACGAAAGCTTGTCAGATGTACAGAGAGACTCAATCAGAAAGTGAGAGACGATTATGAACAATACTTACGGGATGATAAAACAGAAACCCCTTAATGCTATGATCTACATAGAGGTTATTCTAGCTGACGTTTATTGAGGAGACGTAGCACGGACTATGCACAATACGACAAATCTCGACTGTCCTCGTCGACTCGCAGCCCGCACCGCAAGTCTGATTGCTAGCTTGGCCAACAGCGGCAACAGCGGCCCTAATGTGAAAACTCACTGCCGCAAGGACGACAACAACCAGCACACCACACTGCAACGCAACCGTTCACTTTCACTACCGTACCAGACGACGAGAAACCCCAGACACACACATTGGAGCGTGTAAATACAACACCGGCTACCAGACGACGCATCCGATCCGGCGAGGCGGCAACTTTGAAATATTACTCTTGCGTACGATCGCCGTCGAGCGCCTCCGCCCCTGGACTTCCTCACACCTAGCTCATTGATTCGATGATTCCTTCGTTCGTCGCTGAGCTCGCTGACCCGGACCCACGGAGACATGGCCCACACATGATGGACCGATTTCCATATGGAAACCGACAAGAGCCGAGAGCTTCGCTGCTCCAGGAACAGAATCGGATCCATAGAGGACGGTAAAACTTGAGAGATCCCGAAAGGACGTATCTCCCTCGAGCGGGGGAACGACTTTCGCCATCAAGGATCTCCAACTTCCTGATGCCTGTCAACGATTGGCCGGCTGATCCATGTACAAACCTCGCTGGGCGGCAGTGTGCCCTTAATTCCTATTTCCTATCCGCATGTCTCGAGCAAGCCCTGTACTCTCGGGCTGCCGACTCCCGGGATTCCTCGTCCGACATGATTCCTTCCGTATAAGTCGAATTTAATTCCGCTCTCGTCGGAGATGATCGCGGAGCGGATCCGTGAGACTCCTGATACCGTCGTAACGTCGTGACCCGACCACAGCTATGCTCGAGAAAAATCTCGGTTCCCGCGAATCCTCTGGAGGAGCGCAACTCGACGATCGATATACGATAGTCATATCCCTTTTGGGCTTGCCTCCTCCGTTCGACCCTCCGATGCGGAGTATTCGGAGAATCTTGCTCATATCGACGAAGACGTGACCAGCCGAGAGACACGACTACGTTTCGGGACTCATGGGATATTCAACGGACACCTCACGGAAATCTTGAAAGATTCCATCGAGTTCGATCAGAGTGGTTCTAATGTGTCCATTTCGAGGCTCTGGATCTTGATATTGCTATCGACGAGGAAGTTCTGCGGTCGAATGGATAAGCTTCGTAGAGCACTTACGCTAGCAAGGGAAGGGAAACATCCGCTCCGATCCCTCTGAGAGAGTGGCAGTGGGATATACAATCGAGTTCTCGTAGAGAGGACGGGACAATTTCCGCAATCTCACACGCAAGATTCCCTGGGTCACTTGTTGTATTTCGAAAACTGGCGCCACCAAAGATGGCCTCGGCTTATCCACATGCGCTTTCACCACCTTCTCTCGCAGTCCGCAGTGCGTTGTTGTCTTGTAGCTGAAGCGTAGATTCGTCGGAGAACCGGGGATAGATAGAGACGAGGACCACCACCAAACAGTAAGAGCAGCTGATCCCGAACTGCTGCTGCTACAAGCTGCAAGAGGGTGAAGAGAGTTATCGCTTGTTGTGGTGCTTCTGAATGGATCCTCCGTGCATCTAGCGTTTCTTCTTGCTTGATGCCACAGAGTGAGCTCTTTTGTCTTCGACGGCAGTCGGGGGAAGCGTTTCTCTGTGCTTCACTGAATCCGACTGCTATACCAACAGACTGACTCCCCGACAGATAGACGGGTTCTCCGACCGACCGACCGACCGACCGACTGATCGGCTAGTTGGTTGACGTCGTCGACCAGAAAGCTTCAAGCTGTCGCGGAGAACATGCGAACGGCCTGATTCTCGGCCTGCCATGGAGGTGATCGGGGACTACGAATACACAACCCAGGACCTCATTGGCCATGGAGCATTTGCTGTGGTCTACAAAGGGCGACTCCGAGCGGTGAGTACGCCGTTCGGTATAGAAACGCAGTTTACGTCCAATTCCGACCGCAGTTCCCACTGACAAGAATTTCTCATGATTATATACTGCATGTCCTGAGGCGGAGACTCCTTGTCTTTCTTGAATTGTCGCCTTGAGCTTCCCATTTCCATTCTTCGCTTCATATCTGAAACTGTGTTTGACTCATTCTGGTCAAATGCAAAATAATTTTCTTCTGGGGCCTCTGGTTTATATTTAGTTAGGTGACCAACACGTCGCTTGTGCCCTGCAGCCACCGATTGCGAGCGATCGGCGGTCGTTCCATTCTGTGATGGGAAAGCTTTTCCTGGAGACTTGTGGGTCAAATCAATTTGGCTCCCAATCGCGATGCACAAGATCATGATTGCAATTGGTTTCCACCGCGATTATAGTCCGGTACGGATCTCGGCCGTAGACCTTTCATACATCTGTTCAGGTTGGGTCGGAAGCGGCCCCTCTCAGCTGGCGTCCAACCCCACCAACTGTTCGATTGTGTGAGTCGGGGGAAGGAAGAGACTTTGTTCGTAGTACCGACAAAGAAGTTTGAGTGATGGTCCACGCTACCGGTTCTGGTTTCTACGATAGCCGGATCGAAGATCCAAAGCGTTGACAATGAATCCTCTCCGCTTCGCTCTCCGCGGGGAGATATCGAATCCGAGAATATCAGCTATCAGAGAGCATAGAAGCCCTCGCCATCATATTTTTATTTTTGCGAACGTCTCCCAGTCCAGTTTTCCAAGTTTTCCGACATTTCACCGATGAAGTATCAAGGAAATTCGCATCTGTACGGAGGTCGGATAGTTTTCGCTCCCATCGGAAGAGTCGGCTCCAGGAGTTTCTGATTTTGGAGTGAAGAACGTTTGTTCGATCGCAGGAGCCCGACGTGGCAGTCGCCATCAAATGCATCACGCGGAAAAATGTCTCTAAATCATCGGAAAACCTCCTCGACAAAGAAATTAACATCCTGAAGGATCTGTCGCAGCTGAAACATCCGAATGTCGTCTCGCTTCTGGATTGCAAACAAACGCCACGATTCTTTTATCTCGTCATGGAGGTGAGTGAATCTCTAGATTTAGCAACACAGCTCGAGGTATACCAACGGAATGGGCTCAAAGAGTTCATCGACGCCATCACCCAGTGGCCCGCATACTCATGAGCTCAACAGTCCGAGAGATCTAAGGCGGAGGTCCGAGTCCTCAACTACGGGATAGATTTTTCGCTAGGAGGAGGAGAGCACGGCACAGGCGCTCTTCGATCATATAAAATAATCTCAAGATCAACCGCTCCGTCGACAGTGGGAGAGCTTCGGTTGAGAATACATGGGGAATGATTCTGTCCACAGTACTGCAATGGTGGAGACCTGGCCGACTATCTGCAAGCCAAGGGGACACTCTCGGAGAACACAATCCGAATTTTCTTGAAGCAGATCGCTGGCGCCATGCAAGCTTTATACGTGAAAGCAATTCTCCATCGCGATCTCAAGCCGCAAAACATCCTCCTTTGCCACACGAAAGTCAACCCACCCCCTCAGGACATAACGCTGAAGGTATGGAATGAGTTTTTCGCATCATAATTATCGTTCCGGCGCATTCGAAATCTTTGACGCAAATCGGTGTCAGTCTCGCTGTGTCGTAATCGGAGACCTTGGAGTTTTTGGCCCTCGATGCTCACCAGAGACATCACGAAACTCGATTCCGACAATTGAGAATCGTTTCGCTAGAGCAGCAGAAGAGCATCATGCCCATAGGCAGTCTCGGCATGATTCCACGCTGAATCCGATGTCCTAACCTTCCGAAACTCGAGATTTGAGGCGTGAAATTTTTCCGAATTATTTCAGATCGCGGACTTCGGTTTCGCCCGTTTCCTGTCTGAAGGCGTAATGGCCGCTACCCTTTGCGGCTCGCCCATGTACATGGCTCCCGAGGTGATAATGTCGCAGCAGTATAACGCGAAGGCGGACCTTTGGTCGATTGGAACGATCGTCTACCAATGCCTCACTGGATCAGCTCCATTCCGCGCACAAAATCCCCAGGCCCTGAAGCAGTACTATGAAAGGACTTCGACACTGTCCCCGAAATTTCCTCCGGGAACATCGCCGGAGCTCAGCGATCTGCTGCGGGGTAAGCGAGAGTTCGCGGCCCGAGAAACGGTGTTCAATCCTTCCACCTTAATCACCAACTGATGATTCTGGACATCCTTCCAGGGCTGCTCAAGAGGAGCTCTGAACAACGTATCGACTTCGAAAGTTTCTTCAACCATCCCTTCATAACCTTCAATCCGAAACAGGGCTCTAGTCCTGTGCCTGTTCCACGAAGGGGTAGTTGCTCCAACTCGCCCATCGTGTCGCCCTATGGTAAGTTATCGACGGCGAGCTTCTTTTCGCCCGCAAAAGTCTGCGCGTCGTCGTACATGAGGCGACAGGGATCAAGGCCGATCGGTTTCGTTCCGACAGATCTTGAGCCTTCGGATAGGCGTCATACTCATGTCTTTCTCTATGCCCTCAGGAACCCCCCATCTACCACCGTCACCATCGCCTGGTAATCCGTATGTGGAGAATCCTACCTCCCACGGTCTGCGTGAGGGAGTCGTCCTAGCGGCGGCTCAAGCGGCGAAGGGCTCCTTCTCTTCACCCGAAGAACAAGATTTCGTCCTTGTTGAGAATGAAATCTGCACTGATCACTGCTCGCAGCAGGTTCGTAAGCGTTTTGTTTGTCCTTGTTCTGCTTTGGTGCTCTGTCGCAGAGCTACTGCGTGATGAGTCAATGAGCCGGGCGCAGAGATGACAGCGTGTACGCTGACCCTACAGACAGCTCGGACATTGGCAGCGCTCGCAGTAAGACCAAGCGAGAGGAGGGGCCCCTAGAGGGACTTACAGTGGTTTCGACTGCGGGTTTCCGAATCGCTACCGAGAGTCAGAAATACCTGTATTCTGTCGCTGTTCGTTTCGCGATGCAAATGCTCGCATGGCTGGTTGAAGCGTCCGGTTTCGACCGTTTAATCTATCCTGTCAGCGACAAACTATGGATGTTGACTCTGGTGAATGTTCTCCGAGGAGAGATTCAAGCTGTTTCTTTAGGAGATGATTGCGTAGATCAACTACGCGGGCTCCGGAAGCTTCGGTCAAGTCTCAAAAACCAATGCGATTTCAGCAGACGCCGCGGAGCTCCGACAGCACTCCCCGAACTCAACCTATTCCGGTACCTTCGAAGAATCTACGCCAAAAGAAAAGCGTTCCCGAGGTTCGTTTCCCCGCGAGAGATCATGAACCCTGCCCCGTCCCATCGTAATACGATCGAGAACGGAGATATTTGATCACTGAGTACGCCTCATATCCGAAATCCGAGGCTTATCCTCAGAGGGCATTTGGCAAGAATTCTCTCTACCCACAGTTAACCGACGCCAAACGCTCGTCCAATTCGCCGATCTCGGGTTTCCGTGGGTCGCCGGACGTAGAGAATCTCACGCCGCCTCATCCTAGTTTCATGATTGGAGGTAAGTTAATGCTTCATATAATGCAGAGCCCTCCTGAGCTCGAAAACCGTTCACTGGGAAAAGCGCGTGCTGACCCCTAAAAAGTGCCCCTTCTAGCATCCGGAGTATCGCCGCCGTACCTTGGCACTGGAGCTACCTCGCCCATAAGGATCAGCCAACTCCCACCCGGCAATCATCCGCTCGGAGCGCGCGCCATGACCTTACCGGAACTCCAAACCGAAGCCGGATTCTCAGGATGCGGGGATAGGGCTTTGCTGATGCAGCGATCGGGCTCTGCCAACGCGCTGTACCGAATGTCACCGAACGCATTCATACAGTTCGCTCAGAGCCGCTTCAACGAATCCCTATTCGGTGCGTATTTTATTTCGGTTCGCTGTACTAGTCCAACGCTCGGATATTGATGTGTTCGGTCTCCGGCATACGCTCAGCTGACTTCGGGAAGGCAAACCCTCGAGACAGGGCCAGGAGGCAAGAGAAATTAAGATTGAAACTCTGGTGTTGCAGAAAACTCTCCGCCTGGGGACTCAGATCTGAACTTGTTCATACCACCGGAGCTACCGCAAGAGACAATCTTGGACCGGGAACACAACGAAACGTTGGCGAAACTCAACTTCGTTCACGCATTGGTGACGTGCATTCTCGAGCTCGCGAAGAGTCGCGCTGCTGGAGACCTCGAGAACATCGAGCCCAGGAACATTGACGAGAGTCAGCTAATCAGGGGGTAAGAATGCATCTCCCCGATATCGGAATCGGTGCTCAGAGGAACGAACATCGAAGTAGGGGCGCCCCTCCCCGGCGCTGCTCGCAAGCCAATCTGAGAGCAATCTTTCTCGTTACAGTTATAATTTTGAATCATTCAGACAAGCTGAGCAGCTGGTGCTTCATATGCGAGCGGTACATCTGCTTTCATCGGCTCTCAATCTGGCAAAGCGTAAGGTCGAAGAAAAAACTCTTCAACTGTCACCGACCGTCAAAGAGCTGTTGAAAGAGATGCGAGTTAAGTTGCTGGCCTCCTACGACCAGTGCACCAACCTGAGCCAGGCTGGTGGGCTCACCCGGAGGGCCTTGACCGACCCCCAGGTGAATACTGACGTATAAGTCTCCTGAATAATTATAGCTCCTATTTAATGATCTTGCTGCTCATACGAAATCTGAGAGATACTCTCGGGTAGTCACATATTCTATATGCAATTTCACCCATCTCCGAGAAACCATTGACCCCAACCAAACCATATATTCAAGGTTTGTCAAAACCTGTCGGCGGATCGGCTCATTTACAACCACGCGATGCATATGTGTCAAACAGCTGCGCTCGAAGAGCTTTTCGGATCACCTCTCGAGAGTTTCAAAAGGTGAGTCCCGCGGAAGGTTCAATAGGAGAGCAATGGAGTTGGTTTTGGAGTTTTCCAGAAGAAATCTGAGTTTCCGACACCCATTTCATCCCAGATACCAAACGGCTCAAATTCTTCTCCACTGTCTCGCGCAGCAGGTTGACAAAGAAGAGGATCGATCGGTGCTTGCTCGATGTGAGTCTCTACTTCGGTACTCTTCTCTCCGTAGATGGCTATTGCCGCAGAGTATCTCTCTCAGTACGCTTATTACGTTGGTTGTATGTACTGACTTGCCGCGCTTCCAGACAAATTGGCCGTGGAACGAAGGCTGACCAATCTCCAGCTGAATGGTCCCGAATCTGCCGCAAGTTCTCCGAAGTCAATCGGGGACATTCAGACACCCGTCGGATCGGTCGGTCAGTAGATGCTGCGACCGGCCCCTGAAATTGCCCTCAGGCTGGTTTCTACGACTTCGAAACAGCCACATTGTGAATTTGTTCCTCCCTTGGTTATGTATCTGTTCACGGAGAGGAGGAATCGATTGCTTGACCCAGCGATTCGCTCTGATGTATTTTCGCGGAGATCAGGCTTTTCGGCGGATCAGACCGACGACGCCGACATTCGGCCGTTCGTCACGGCGACAGAAAAAAACGTCGAGTGTATTTCCTGAGGCTGGAACAGCTCTCAGTGAAATTCTCTCAGGCTCATAGGAGAGCTCTTTTAACAATTGAGGAGACTGAGGTCCTCGGTGATTTTCGATTAAGCCTTCGGAAGCAAGGTGCGCTGCGCTCTTATGCCTATCAAATATTTGTTTCCGATCGCTACCGCCGACCGTTTGTACACTTTTCGGAATCGATGTTGCGGTGGTAATGACAACGATTCCTCTAAGCATCGATATTCGGACGCAAGACGTCGTCATATAGACTCGAGAGTTCATGCTGATGAAGTGAGTGGAGGAGACAGTAGCGCAATTTACTTACGCATCGATATGGCAATTTAGGCTTCCTCGTTTTTGTTGCACTTTTAGGTTCAATTCGAAGTGAAGGCATCCATTTCTATTCAATATTTCATTCATGGCGAGAATTGTCTCCCCGCAGTGTGACTCCGAAGAAAAAAAAGGGAAATATATACGAAGAATACAATCGTACCAATGTGCCCACACCCGAAAACTCGTAGCGTGATCCCAAACGTAGACTAATCACCAAGAACAAGCGACCTCTCGCCGGCGATATTTTCTTTGGCCGTTGCGACCGGTTGAGTTCTCGACTGAGTGACCCGTTTCTTTCGTTTTCGATGAGTTTTTCCCACCAGTATTTACCTACGTGAAAAGCTTTTGTGCTCGCTCGCTCACACTATTCCTATCGACGTAGTGCACTGTACATTCTAGAGACACAAGCAACGTTCCGAGACTGCGCGAAAATTGGCGCGAGGAATGTCAATGTAATACTGGAATACTGTCCTGGACGGCTCTCTGCGAATGTCCTTCATGGTCCACTTAGTTGAGCGGTGTTTTAGCTAGGTTGAGAGCGACTGCCGCTCCTACATTTCCTTCGACCATAGAGTAAAAATTTAGTGCTGTAAACAAAGCGCGGATGCGGGAGACCGAAACCGACATATGTGTTGATATATTGAACGAGTAATACTTCTGACGTGATGGTGAAGGTCGTTAGAGCAAGCACACATACACTACAACATGAGCATAGTGATTACAATCGGAGGGAGCAAAGCGTGCTTCAATGATAAGTTGAGTTTCGTTAATTTAAAATGTCGCTGATGACGATGTGATAGCAGCCGTCGTTTACGCGGTCGGCACGAGGAGAGACTGTACCTTTAATTTACCGTGCTGGAAACATTTTGAATAATGGACTAGGATAAGAAGAAAAGTCGGTTGAATAAAAGCATGGCGATCTTACGCTTGGGACGTTCATATCGATTCTGGTTTTCCCTTCTGATGAGGCATCCATACCCATACCCAGACCATACTTTCGGATGTGGTGGTACGTGTGTCTAGAGGCGGTACGATGACCCCGATCCTTCGCGAAAAGAGCCTGGATCTGGTCTCCTCATGAAAGTCCACTCAAACATATGAGAGCCTCGTACGGCAGCGCTGTTCTCTGGAGTCCGACAGTTTCTGGTCCAGAGTTCCGAGTTCCGACCTCATGATTCAGAATTGGCGTCCTTCTCCGAGGCTCCAAACTGAAGCTCCTGTGCAGGCTCATAGAGTATCACTTTTAAGTTGCCTCCAGGCATCTGTTTGAGCTGGAGATGGTTCGCTACCTATCTCGATGAAGAAAGCCTGTACAGAATCCTTCCGTATCGTCAGAGCGGACCTCCGCCATTTCGGGAGAAAACGATGCATGCGCGGAGAGAAGAGTATACAAAATTTATCAATCTCGCGGGCGAGAATTTCGCAGCAAAATTCAATGATGGTTCATGTCCGAAAGTCAGCATTACGAAGATCACTTTCGACGGCGAGGTTGGCTCGGGTAGCTTTGGAGAAATTTACAAAGTTAGAATACAAGGACAAGTTTACGCAGCCAAGGCTCAGCCATGGGACATTGTGGAGCTCTCGCTTTTCGAGAAGAACCTGCTCCGGGCGATGAGTCATCCCTGCATAATCCAAATTCATTTCACGAGTAAAGACGTTGATAAAACCTTCTTGATTCTCGATTTTTCCCCTTTCGGCGATCTCGGGAGGGCTATGAAAGACCAGATGGGCGTGAAGAAGGATATGCCAGAGGATATCTGCAAGAAATATGTGGCGCAAGCGATTCTCGCGCTCGAATATGTTCACGCTTGCAACATTATCCATCACGACGTGAAGCCCGAAAATTTTCTGATCTTCCCTAAAGGTCGCCTGAAGCTCAGCGATTTCGGTGTTTCGAGATTCGCTAGGCCGAACATGACGTTTGTCACTGGGAGCATAAATTACATATCGCCAGAGATGTACAGAAGAATACCTCACAATGAAGCGGTTGATTGGTGGGCCCTGGGCGTAATGATGTACTACATGCTGGTGTCGCAATATCCCTTCCCCGGGGTCCCATTCAGCCGCGGAGACACAGATGAGCAAGTAGCGGAAAAAATTCAAGAGGCTTTCCGCCATCCGAAATATTGCTCCCTGACTGAAGACGCGAAAGATTTCTTGACCAAAATACTGGAGAGAGACCATACGAAGAGGCTCGGTATCTTCAAGGACGGCAGTCGGGACGTGAAGTACCACGCGTGGTTCGGAGACATTGATTACTGTCGCATATACTTCGACCCCGATTTCACGATACTTGAAGAAGACCGCTTGCCACCCCCGATCACGACGACGCATGTTGTTGTATTCAGGATACCACCGAGCAGTGAGCGTCTTGCAGACCCGGATTTCTTCGAATTCTGACTCTTCTCGGAGGTCCGAGTATGGCCATTGAAGGGAAGAATTCATCCGGAGAACATCTGTGCCTCATCGAGACTGCTCTGACAGAGTCCCTACGCGGCCGAATGCGTATAAACTCGGGAGGTGGCGATCATAATAAAATTTAGCGCTCTACGTGTTCTCCTTCCTTTCCCGAGCCCTCGCGGACGGTGAGAATCTTAATCCGGGAACGCGAATGCTTCACCTCAATGGAAGTGAAGGGAAGGACTCGAGCCCGTGAGAGGTTCGCCGAAGGAGCCCAGTTCCCCCTCTTGATTCGGGTAAACAATCTCCCGGAGGGTGGAGGAAGGTTTCGGCATCGGGAGAGCCGCCCGCGATCCCGAGAGAAAAGGCGACTGCCAGTCAAGCCGGCCATCGGTAAGCTACGGCCCGACTCGAGTCGATTAGGAGCTGTCGCAACCGTCACGGAAATGGCGAACAGCTCTGGACTCATCCTGATCCCAAGCTAAAAGCCGGCAGACTAGCCTTGTGCACTTCGGTAGCATCCCCCGGGGGAATGTTCGATTTTATCCTCATGGAAAGCTGGCGGCCGTTCCAAGAAATGGGTTTGGGTCGTGCATGGAGGATCCTCTGAAGGAAGTCGATGGGAATGGGAGCCAGATGTTCAGCATATGTTTATCAAGAAGACTCACCTCCCTCCCGCTGAAATGCAGGCTCTAGCGGCTAGAGGATCTATCGATTGGAGGCGAAGATCCTGGCATCGAATTATGACACTGGCCGGATATCCGCCCACCTGGCACATGTCTCCCGAAGCCCGCAGGATCCCTTGTCGGCGGAGTGCGAATAACTCGTACTTCGTCATATATCTCGTGCTGACTTCCACGGATGAAGTCTGCTCTGGAACTTTTCTGGGAGAGAATCTCGAGATCAATACCCGCCTTGAGCGAATCATGAGAGCCTTCGGCGGAGGCCCCGCTGATATCTGTAAGGGTTCATCGAATCTTGTTGAAATCCACGAAGTTCCATTCAGGATCAACCCACACCGAAAGTACTGCCAGAAGATATTCTTGAGTCCCAACGTATCGGATTTTTCTGCCGCACAGTCAACAGTCAACGCGGGCCTTCAAGCGAGATTTCCCGCGGGAGCGCAGGATGATATTGTCCCGGAACTCTCCCGACACCTTGGCTAGCGTGAAAGCCGATGGAACTCGGGGGGTATAATCTTTCGAGTTGAATCTCTTTCACGTCTAGGCTAGAATTGCTCATGTCTAGCCTCGAGCGAATCATCGTGGGTTCCTAGCCGAAATTCCGAGCGATTTCGCTCTATGGTCATCTGCTAAGGAATTCGGGGCGGTAGCTCCTCCCGTGCGAGTTCTCGGGGTTCGAGAAGTCAATGAATATCGGTCGCCCGAGAGGGCGGAATCACGATTACCCGTGAGCGTGAGATCGGTCGCCAACTCGGCCAGATTGCGGGGTGCGCAGAGCTCAGCCACCGTTGTCCTGGAGGGAAAGATGATGATTCATTTGAGAACCATGGCATTCTCGACGAGGCCACCATCCTGAGTTCCCTCTGGGTTTCCTCTCCCTTAGACTCTACCGTCTGGAGACGCCGCCTCGCGGAGATTCGAGCCCACCATCGCCCTGAACCGAAATCGGATAGTGCAGCGTAGTGGACCTACATCAGAATGTAATCTATGAAGAGACCGCTCTGACCACTCCACTATCAGAACGTTTAGTACTCGACCTCCTAGTTTCTTGGGGTCTGAGAGAATCTCCGCACAGATGGAAAAATCATTTATGCCGGGCGAAAGACATACCGTGGTAATGAGTAGTGAATAAGAAAGCTTCTCAATGACCAAGGATGCGACGTTCTAGCGTCGCTTCTGATCGATAGTGTCAGCGCTGATCCGAGCACGCCAGATTCGGTAAATGGAGCAAGTGGTTTCCGGAGGTCGCAGAAGACATTCGCCGCGCACCAAAGTCCGCGGTCCAATATTTCGGATTGGGTCGGCTTCTGATAGCAACATACCCTCTCGTCAGAAAGAAGCAAAGAGTCAAAATGAAAGATGAAGACGCCTCTCGAATAACTAAGACTGCATTAGGCCTTCTGCGGATGAAGGGCATTTTTCTCATTGAGCAATGCATACAGCCAGATCGACTGATGCTCTTGCTCGAGTTCTTGCTTACGAGAGCGATCCGGAGAGGATGAGCAACAGCGATCAATGTAGTCACGGGAAGAGTTTATTAATGAAAGCGAAATTCACTGCCAAAAATTAGAAGCCCCGGAAGCCTGGCTTTTTGACGTCCTTTGCGCAAGCCCTTGGAATATTGCCTTCTTGTGATTCGCCCTGACGTCTCCGGGGATTGCACGAGACCTGATGAATCCCCGAGACGGGCCGGGTTCGGTATAAATGACCTCCTCCATCTCCTCGTCCGCGCTCTCAGAGCAGGGCTGCTCAGCTTCAGGCTCTGGTGAATCGTGGAAAAAAATTCCGAGCGCATTCGCTCTGGAGACGCGCGATGGGTGGTCCATAGGAATCACTTCTTCCGACACGGTTTCGGGCGAGTTCCGGGGACGTTTGCCCTCTTCGAGAGGCTCGACTTGAGGACCGTCTTTCCGCTTCTGAGCAGGGGTCCCGAATGAGTAAGTCCACGGTGAGCGTGACTTGGGTAACTGCATCATGTTTGCCTGGAAGGTAGATGGATCATGTTAGTATATTATGCAGAATGTTCGCAGGATCTTTTTCGAAAAAGGCCTCTCCACACCAGCCCAGCGTCGCGGAAAACTCCACCGAAATCTCACCATGCCTGGTCTTCGAAGTTTCTTCTCTGCGGTTTCGAGACTTATGATACTTTTTCACCTTCGGAGTCGGTATATATGGCACTTCACGACCCTCTGCGAGCGGGTGAGGGTAGACTTGAGATGGTTTTCTGAATCGGTCTGGGCTGGGGTTAGAGCTAGGGCGTCACGGGCTAATGGTCGGCTTAATCATCCTCAAGATCGGAATCTTCTCGGGATTCCGAAATTTGGCTCGGATGAGGACGCATCTAAAGCGGAATGATAGGGGACCCCATCCGTTCTCAGCCTCCGAATTGACCGCATCATTATGTGCCACCAATAAGCCTCCGCGAGATGTTCGCTCGTAAGACCTACAGGCTCCAAGATCTCACAGGCAGTGGCGCAGCGAGGCGGGGCGGTGGGGCGGTCCGCCCCGGGCATCACTGCTCCGGAGGAATGCTCGATAGGAGTCCCAGGAAGCCAAATTTTCCTCGAGGCTCGGTCGTAATGAATGAAGACTTACGTTAGATTGACTTTCATCGGTATCCAGACCGTGGAATGACGGATTTGGGAGATTTTCCAAAAAAAACTGAGGGGCGGGGGCATCATGTCGAGGTCCCGGCAAGGAATTTCAGGAATCAGGCCCAGGTACCATCGAGGCACGCTACGCCACTGCTCACAGGACATCTTCGTCGCGGATATGAAGCGTGCGGGAGGGGCTCGTGAGCCCTCAGAACACGTTCTTGCGCTCTTCCCGATTGAACTCCCGCTTGCAAATCGTTCACGATCAAAGTAATCATTCGAGAGTAGAGATGTGACTCGTCTATTTTTCGAATGCTCCCTCATTCAGGAGGCACATGAGGGGGATCGACTAGGACTGGTTCAGGTATACGGAGATGGGGCAGTGTTTCCTAGCGGGACCATATCATCCGACTCGCATAGGAGCGACCTCGCGGGAGGCTCTCGAGCGCTCCCCGTTATGCTGGCGGAAAACTTCTAGTCAAGATCTAGAGGTCCCGGGTTCAAAGTCGTCACGGGGGGTATGGTGTTCCGATTCCTCGAGGTCGGATTTTCTGCTGAGACGGAAACTGTCCAAAATTGACTCGCTATGGGAAGCAGGATTCGTATATCTGAGCCGGGCTGCGGGCGCGAGTGAGCGGTGTTAATGGAGTCGATCCTCACGGACTTTAGATCGAGCTGTCGCGTCGTTCGCGACCGCCGGAGCAGACACCGCGATGCGGCTCGACAATGTGCTTGAGTCCCGACAACGCAAGCCTTTGAAACTCGGATTCTCCAATCGAATCATTTCTCGTCGGCTTTCCACGAAATGAATAACTGCAACAATCTCATTGTGTCTGGTGCCAAGGGTGAGTACACATACAGTCATCTTTGCAACGGGACCGGTCTCCGAGTTGAAGAAAACAATAATTGTCATCGAAGCAAATGTTTATTGTTGAGACCTATCACCGCCGCAACTTCAAAGTTAGCAGGCACCGGCGCACGAGCCTTCGACATCCTCTGGGAGAGCCCGCGGAGTAGCATCCTCTTATATCTTCCTCTGAAATCCTCTGGGTCTCCTTGAGTCCTGTCGGATCCCGGAGACGAATTGGACTCTCCCGCATCTTCGTCCGCGCTTTCAGGGCAGGACATTTCGGCATCAGGCTCCGGGAGATTGTCGAAGATGATTCCTAGCGAATTCGCCCCGGAGCCCTGTACCGGGAGGTCGGGAAGAATCGTTTCTTCGGGCTTGGAACCCCCCGAGCTCCTAAGACTCCTAAGATTTTGATTATCTCGAGATTCCGAAATCGTGCTCAGCCCGGGACGCTTCGAAATAGAAATATGGGGGATCTTCCCGCTCTTCGTCTCGAAAAGTTTCGGAGCCCGTTCTATAGCATCTCATCGCCGTTCCGGAATTCCTCAGCCACCCCTAGAGTTCTCGCACCGATGGACTTGAGCCGAGCTCGCCTCGTCAACCTGAGATCTACCCTTGTATATTGACCCCGGAAACCCCCTCCGAAGAAAGTTAGCACCTCGATCATCTTAACAATGTCTAGAAACTGATAGAAAGCGGTAGCTTGCGGAGGTATGAATTGATGCTCAACCCTTCAGTGCACGATGGTTCGAAACTCGAGACACCTCTGCTGTATTATATAATTATAATATTCGAGCACGTTAAGCATAAAGACGACGAATCTCATGCGATAATTCAAGGGTCTTGATTTCATCTTCCTGACTGGAGATCACGCAGATCCCAAAGATTTTCCTATCCATTCCGCCATTCGAGCTCACCTCATTCTTCCGATGGATTTCTGAAAGGGGTTCCAGGAGCGTTACCTGGGTGCGCTCTATATGAGAGCGCGCGATCCTCTGCTCGCGAGAAACGCGACCACGAGATGCGCCCGGGACTGAGCATACCGCGATCCGTCCGCTTTCGGGAAGGAATTGTAATGAGAGGACAGGTGCTCTGTGGAATCATGCCTTTATTCATATATATACATGTCCCAGTCAGAGACAGCTCTTTCGTAAGCGAATGCATTTGGAGATGACCTAAAGATGTCTCAGGAAGCCGTGCTCAAGTCTTTTTGAATTTGTCACAGCCTAGAGACTCGAACCGATGGTCGGTGAAGAGCGAAGCCACTCGTTGCGCCCTCGGCGAAGGGTCCAGCCGAAAGTTGGTCGAGATCGGGGCAAGAAGTCTGCAGCGCTATCAGACTCCTATCTGTTATCGACGAGCATGAAACGATCGCGATTTTCTGCAGGAAGGGCTGACCGCCAAAAAGGGAAATCAGACCCACGTCGGTAATTTTGCGGCAAAAATAGAGCTCGAGGAGAATCAGGCAGCCTATTTGGTCTCTAGTGTCAGCAGGCTCAACGTCTCTCAGAAGCTGGGCAACCTCCTCTTCGGGCACCGCTCTCTGTTCGGGGCCTGCCACCCGAGGTCCCCACAGGATCAAGTGTCGGAGTTTTTTCAGTGCGAGAATTTTGCTCACATGCGCATCCGTCAGTACGTCGATTCCTTCGATGTGGAGCTCATCCAAACCTTTCACTTTCTCAATAATCACATCGAACCACGCGGGGTCGAAGACGCAATCAGTGAAGCGCAAGGATCGGAGGTTGCCGTTGCTTGCAATGCTCTCCAGGGTTTCGAAAGTATGCGCAAAATTGCATCCAATCAATCTGAGATTCCGAAGACTCGGGATTCTGACGAGGTAACGCTGTGACTGAGGTTGTATGTTGCTACAGTCGAGGCACAGGCGGCGCAGTTTCTTGAGTTCCGAAAGGTAGAAGAGACTCGAGCCAGATACGCGGTTCGTTAACACCTTCACCGATAAATATTCCAGATCAGGAGCGCTCCGTATGATCTGTGACAGATAATAATCGTCGAGAGAACGGACTGACTCAATGGTCAGGACTCTCAATCTGGTCAGGGTGCTGATGGCGGCATAAGCCCGGCTCGTGAGGTTTTTGCTGCATCCCAATCGGAGTTCCCGTAGACGTCCTGAGAGTTTCTTAGCCATGTCCATTATGAGGTGATCATCCAGGAGCGCTAGGGGAAACAAATCCGGGTTCTCCGGTCCTCTTGTCAACGAATGGGTCTTCTCGTCAGATTCGCAAGTGGAAATTGACGTCAAGTTCGGCATCGCGTCCAACAAACGGTTGAATGTTTCATTCGACATGATAGCTCTTGGAGAGAGATGGCGAACATTCTGGAACGCATCGCGGAGTTCCCCGGGGCTGACCTCCCTCGGAAGCTCGAATATTTGAGCGGTTTCTAAATGATTCAATCCTAAAAATCGGACCGACCCTGAATATTCTCATTTCTCCGAGCTGTCACGACGATCATCATTTGCTCCCGTCTCCGTGGGGCCCGATTGTGTAAGATGATCCAGAGATTCCACAAACCTCGATCCAAGAACATCAGAGACTGTAGGTTCGGGCACTGTCGTATAATCGAATAGAATATCTGGGTCGACCATGTGCATTTGATGAGTTGCAGGTCGCGAAGGTTTCTACCGAAGCGTTCCCAGAATTCGAAGTCGCATTCGTCGAGATCGGCTGGAATATAGGGTATATCCGTGTAGCAAGAGCGTCGCATTCCCGATGCTCAGCCTCAGAGGTTCCGCGCCGAACGCGCCTCACCCTTCAAAAATGCAAGGTTGCTATATGAGCGCCGATTCCTCAACACCACCGATGTGACTTTCGCCATGTTCTTCCCTCGGATCACGAGCCGGACATCCTCCAATAACCTGTAGGAAGAAACCAGGCGCGCCATCCTCCGGCAGACCCGAGCTTTCCCGAGTCGCTCCGATGGTTCCATCACCAATAGCATTCCTGTCAGTATCTGGAAGGTCATGGAGAGCTCAGTAATTTGCTTTGAGAAAGACAATGAGCTCTACTCAATCCTATATGTATAAGGAGGGAGAATCCCGGTGGAGAAGAAGATGACAATGAATCACACCAACTTCGTCGGGAAGGCTGTCCATCTCAAATCCTCTCAGGGAACTGTCCGAGCGGGATGGTCTGCGCCGACCTGGAAGTCAATTCGATGTTTTCTCGCGGGTGCATCGTTCTACCGATCATATTGTCGAGTGATTATTGGGTATGGCTTCTCTCCTAGTGAGGACCAAACATGTTCGCAAGAGACCAGGCCCAGTTCATAGTTTTGGTCTCTCCTGTTAGACACTAGGAGGAGCCCGGCTCTCCGAAGCTCATCTCACTTCGATAGTCAGATCTCATAAAGTTTTCTGGAAGTACTCTCGCTGACACGGTGGTCGTCAATAGATCATCCCGATAGCACTCTCAATGAGTCACGGGATCCGTATTCATTTTTCCTCTCACTCACTCACATGAGCAATGATCGTACACTATGCGGATATGGGATCCGCTAGTCGGAGTCTTCCAACCGGGAGCGAGAAAATCACCTTGTTTCCCGGCGGAGATCCGATGTGCGTGCACAAGATCTTATCGCCGCGGACAAGCTGATTCCGCCGTTCCCAAAACAATGCGCGCCTTGGTATGAGTTCTCTCCCCTGTTCAAGTCAACCATTTCTCCCACATTCAAGTCAAGAATAAGCGCTTCGAGAATAGGGTCGATAAGATTTCCCCTGGAGGATTTTAATCAAAATCTTCGGATGTCACAGCTATTTGGAGCCACGGTCAAGGCCGATAAAGGCGTCTGCGTTGTGCAGGCGACTTACCAATTTGCAAACGCATTATTTTCGCGCTTGAATAGTCGAATCAGCTAACCAAGCCTGAGGTTCTTGATTCTATCACGCCTAATGTCCCCCTCGGTCATAGCTATTCATATGATCTTCGCCTCAGCATGACTTAAGTTACGCCGGCGCCGGTGAGTTACGCAATCTCAACGATCATCTCCGATCATATTCTCGACCGAGCCTCAAAGCTTCCGTTGAGGCCGGCGGGAACTTTTGATGAGGAGGCGTGGAGCAGAGCCGGGGAATTGTCGCGAGTTTCATGCTCAGCGACGCTGGTTGCGGTGGCGGTCTTCTCTCAGGTATCTCTGCTGACTCATCACTCATCACCCGACATGGCTCATCAGCTGTTGTCTCGCACCTCTCCGACTACCATATGGATATTGAAGACACTGTAAGATCCTGAAATGGCACGGTAGGGCGGACGGTGGACTGGATGATTCGTGGACCCCGGAGTAGACCTCCGTGCGAGTCCGATCACCCCGAGTAACTACCTCTGTTCCATGATGGCGACTGGCGACCCATCACCGAACTCACGACGACGAAGTTATGCGCCGCGCGTAACTGCAGGTTTCCGTCCTCCGTACACCGTCCCGTGATATATTTATTGAACCTCCTTATGGAAGATTATATCAGTTTCATGCAGAATATCATATGTTTTATGCTGACCTCCGAAGAGCTCTACGACCATGTATGACGTCCGAGCGCAAACCGGCAGGGTTCGCGACATCTGATTTTTCGCATGATATCTTCGGCATTCTCTGCACAAAACTCTGGCTTGAACAAGTTGTTGGGGCGCGCGGTTCTTTTATCCCGTAGGAAGGGAGATCGGACCCACCTCTGGAATCTGAATCTGTGGCTAAGTTCCACGAAACAACAGAGGGTTTTGGGTGTTAGCAAAGTTCCGGGATCATTTAGGTCAACGGCCACGTGCTGCATCATTGTCAGTACGCAATGATTCACAAATGCGCTGAAAACGGAATCAGAGAAAACACTCAGTGTGACTGCTCCCTTGATTTCCAGGATCAGAGCCTCAGATTCCCCCCGAGGGCACTCACCAATGATTTCGGAAGTTTCGTAGTACGACGCTGCAGCTATCCATAACCTCACGATTCGCAAACCTTCGGAGAACGATCGATGTGAGTATCCCTCTACGTACTCGGCTCAAGTCCTCACAACTATTAAGATAAGAGCCTCATATCGGATGAAAGCACAGATATATGTAGAATGTACTTACAACTGCAGGTGCTGGCGAACGTCCAATTGGATATCGTGGAGCCGGTCGCATCAGTCCATCTGGATCATCAGGTGATGGTTCGCTGCAATCGCGTCCGATAAGATAGCCAACCTCGGCTCCTCCGGCTTCCGTATGAAGTACAACAGGCTGCGACTGAGGTCCTCCATTTGCACTATGGGCGCTGAATGGGGAAAATTGGATTGAAGATCTCCATTATTTTTGATCGTACTCTTTATCAGCAAGATTGATCGAGATCCCTGCAGTCGATCGATTCTAGCCTTGAAACAACCTCACTTACCCAAAATGTGGAGAACATCCTCCTTGTAACAGAACTGATCCGCGGAGCATATCAATTCACGAATCGCCTTGATGAGGCATTGGTCAGGGAATAAGAGCTTGAGAACCTCCATTTGACCATGGGAATTTCTCAGCGAGGAAAACACGTCGTAAGGTGGAAGAAATCTCAGATTCGAGAACTCACGTTCGGCGGTCAGACTCAAGGAAGCCTCCACTGTCGTTGTGGTTCCGATGCGAATTCACTGCTTCGTAGACAAGGAGACCAACGATCTCCGGCGTCAAGACTGCCCGGATATGATGGAAGGGAAGCTCCACAGCAACTGACAACCTCATGAAGTACGCTATAAGCCAGCTAATGTTGAAGACATTGCGTCCTCTGGTACTGATGTAGATTTGCTGAGGGAAGGATCATCGTCCATCATGACATGAGGTTTTATAGGTTGCACATGAACATCGGATTGTCATTCTCTCTGAATATTCATTGTCTCTTTCGAGAGGAGCTGCCCCTGATAGCGCTTTCAATGCTTACACGGAGGGTGACCACAAGGGCAGAGAAGCCACTGTGGAGGAAAGCCACGGTGAAAGTTGCGAGCAAGCTGCTGAATTCTTCTTGACTTGGAACTTCAGCCGAGCCGTCTCGCGGCATCAAGCGTTTTTTCCTCTCCCACAGAACATCACGAGCCGAAGCGGAGTTTCTACATGCGGACTTCGCCGCATCTAGACACACGCTCGCAGCGCACGGATACTTGTGAGCGCGTCCCATGCTATTGATCGCCGAGGATGATCTCCTTCTCTATCTCCTTGAGAAAACGAATGAGTATTCTGAATTAAATCCAACGTGCACTCACGACAGAGGCATATTTCCGTGCGGCATGCTTCTCCGAAAATAATCATGATCTAATGAATCGTCGGGCGGATGTCTGAATCCATGATCTTGAAGAATCACGCCGAGGAAAAGTTACGGGCGGAAGCTTAGCTCAACAGCGGAGCAGGGTCAGGAGAGTACAATTCCAACTCGCCCACCCCGTCTCACGCCGTTGCATATGCGCGGAAGCCCCGAGCGCAATATGAGACAATCAATAAGATGACACTGACAACCAAAACGTGAGTTCTACAGGCAAGCTCGAATGATGGAAACTGAGAATGATCCAGGA